TCACAAATATCGTATAATGTTTTATACTGCCGATCATAAATCAGCATTACGGTTCGTCTATCGATGACTTAAGATGAATCAGACTTGCACCGTAAGATTAGAATGCACATTGTAAAAATGAACTACTTAGTTAATGGATAGGCGTTACTTAAGTGCTGATTTAAGCTACACAGTATAAACATTAACAACTTTAATGCTTTGTAATGCAAAGTTGATGAAAATATATATGGCAGTCTTTATTAGATGCAACGAAATCTTAAGCATTTAAGATTTATTAGTTAGAAGCTAGAATGTCATTGATGAGTCGCTCTCGAACCCATCGATCATGAATGTCATCAATACGCTTCAACTCAAAACTAGTTCAATTGTTGTTTGAATCTACAGGAAGGAAAGGAACGTGTTTACAATTTCGGCAAATATTTGCGACAAAATTACAGCCACTTTCTAGGAGACTTTTACTTGACGAATGAAGTCGAAGCTGTGAGCTCCGATACGGTCAGAACACGTATGTCTTTACAATTAGTGCTCGCTGGTTTGTACCCACCAAGTCAAATTCAAAAATGGAGCGACGAAATGTCCTGGCAACCAGCGTTGACATCGTTTCTTCCAAAATATCAGGATATTATTTTCGTTCCTCAGCAGTGTGAAGAGTGAGTATCCGCTATTGGATTCATTTCACCGTGATTTTCGCAACTCTTTTCATCGTTGTATATCGCTCATACAGATACAAAAAGGAATACGAAAGAGTGTTAGGTTCGCAAGTATTTCAACAGCAATACGGCAAGCTTGCTGAATTGCTCGGTCAATTAAGAGAGTTCTTGGGAAAAAGAAGAGGATGTGCGTTGATGGATACGAATGATCTCTATGACATAATGTCCAGCCAAGACGTATTAAATATGCCTATTGATCCTTGGCTGTTGTCCATTTATAAGACCGGTGAACTTCGGGAAATTTCACTAATGCAGAACGAGCTTTATGGATACAATGATAAACTGAAACGGCTGGCCGGTGGTAATGTACACGCGTTGAATAGACTTTAAAACCCACAAAAGCACTGCGAAGTTTGTTGGTCAATTCGTATGAAATGTTACATAGAGAATATTTTAACATTACAGGAGTTCTGCTGAAAAAAATGATCAATGACATGTCGAAAACCATAATAGGTCAAAATTCGAAGAAAATTCATCTGTACTCCGGTGACGACCTGAATATTGTTATGTTGCTGCAAGCTCTTGGAGTTTATGAAACCAACATGCCGGACTATTCGAGCGCTGTGATAGTCGAGCTACATGAGGATAACAGCCATTATTACGTTAAGGTATGTTCCTAGGCAAATCGCTTCCTAACGTCTTTACGTGTACATTATGTATCTTGTAAATTTTGAATGTTCCACAATATTGTTTTAGCTACTATACTACTATGGCACTCAAGTGAAAACCGATGTGCTCCGAATTCCTGGTTGTACAGAAATGTGTCCTATTGACCTATTCTGTGAGCTTCTAGCGGCTGTCGTACCGACCAATAAGGAATTGAATTGTAAAAGAATTCCAAATATTTTATTTCCAATGAGAAGAGAAAAGTGTAATATGTATAATGTATAAATATTGAGTATTATGCTCTGATAGTGGCTAAGGAAATCTGTATTTCTGATTAATTGTATAATTAGTAATAAAATGTAACAATGTTACGCACGGAGAGATAAACCTTATCTTTGATATAAATAGGTCAGATAGGAATATTTTGATTTTTAAAGATGATTAGTACTTGATACGTCACTTACTTATCTCTTTCAATTAGCATTCCAATAAAACTTTTATCTATGCAGGTATCGGAATTCAAAATAGACATGTTTTCGTGCCCGAACACATGATCTAATGAAAACACCGGTCCGCGTGATGAACGTCACATACCTAATTCGCTTCTTGCTTTTCTCGGCCAAACGATAGCGAAATTTCTTTGTAAACATTTGGAAACATCGCACTGGCCAAAAAAAAATCCGCTGAAGCTCGTTTGATCGCGAAGCCTGAAAAAAAAAATGCTACGAAGAAAACACGCATCGTGGATTCTCGAAGCGTCGATCCTCGACGGGGGCGTCGGCGAGCGATTGAATCCGCGAGGGACAACACTTATCGTGCCCTCGTGAATAATTCAGCGAGCTCTGACCGCTTGTGTGCGAGCGCGAGCCTCCGCGCTGATCGATGCGCGCTGCCGGCTGGCTGTTGCAACTCGTCGGATAAGGCACGCGACGCGCATCTCCGCGCGAGAGCCTTTGTGAGCGAGCTTTTGGCCGGCGCCCCCGGTTTTCGCGCCGCAAACTCGATACGGCCGATTTACATGCGAGCCAAAGCTCCCGCACAGCTGTTGTCGGCGCTACGCCTCCTCGGCGCTCTGTGATAAGATGAACGATCGATCGCAGCTGCTCAGTATCCGTTCGTCCGGGGGGGCTTGGCAATTTAGATTAGCAGCGCAGGCGCGTTCATCGACACTCGGTCTATGAATATTGGATCAACTGCGAGATCAGTGTATTCCAGATAGTTTTGAATGATCGTTGAAAAGGCATCGATCATCGACTAAGACACTGGGTGGCTACTTCATTGTCATAACTCAGTGTTGTAGCGAATACCCTACGCTTAGTTTTCGAAAATTCATCACTGCAGAGCATTGGCATCCGATAGACGGCTTTGAAAAAAACTTAATCGAAATCCGTCCGTAAGCGTGTACGTCGGCGAATGATCATCACCCTCAAAGCCGATCAATCACGTCAGCGTCCGATCTCGCAACAACGACCAGTGTCCCCCTTTGCGCCGATGGGAATCCGATCGGTCTTACCCGCTGAAATAGATATGCTTAATTGCGAGCATTGAAGCTTTGCACCGCGCGCGGCCTTATTGCTTCCCGTTCTATTTTCATCGAGCCCCCGTGTGCTTTTCTCAAATTGCCAACAATATCATGAGCCGAGGGACGCACAAAAGCGCCCTCGGCCGTAGGTACGCCGATTATTAATGAGTTGGAGCTTATCTAGGCGCTGGCGCGCTTCCGGTTGGCGCGGTACGGACGCGCTAATTTATCATAGTGCGACCGTCTGTAACTCTAAACCCCTTGGCTCCAGCAGCGTTTGACCATCGTCACACCTTACAAACCGAAACTCTTTGCTGGCGCGCCCTCCAGACCTTCAGTTCGGATACACAATCGAGATCTTGTTAAACCTTCCTTATTATTAATGGACATCAGTTGGTCATTTAATTCTTACCAGATCTCTTTGACTACTGATTAAATTTTTCATAAAAATTTTTCTGCGATGTCAAGGTGACAAGGCTTGAGTCGTTTGAACAATTTTTCCAGATAAACGAGCTTAAATATAATACATACAATATATACAATAACATACGATATTTCTCTTCAACTTCGGTGAACAATCAATTGCATCTCTTTTATCTTGCCACCGCAGAAGGATTCGGACGAATCTACAAAATTTACTTCTCCGCCGTCAAAAAATGTTCCGACGTAGTAAACTTGAATAGCTTGAACAAATAAATTCGCAGTCGCCTGTAAGAAATACGATAGATCATCTCCGATAACTCCGAAGGCTTTTATATTTCTTTGCATGCGCGAAAATTCACGAAGCAAAACGAAAGCAGCTTTCGATTCCACGACTATAAGACCCTAATAAGTCCGGTCGACCCGTGAAATATGAAGAGAGAAAGAGAGAGAGGAGAGAAAAAGTAAAGTAGAACCCTCGCTACGAAAATAGGTATACATCCCATAGCCCTCTTTCCAAACATGAAAGAAAGAGAGCGAGAGAGAGAGAGAGAAAGAGAAAGAGAGAACCCGGTAGTACGCGCGAGCTCGAGGAAAAGCAATTTTGCTCAGTAATCGCAACTTATTGCGTTGCACTTTTTTCGGACGCAAGGGCTATGACTTTGCTGATTTCGCGGCCGAGTTCTCGCGACTGCCTTCCCCCTTCCCGTCGAGTTTTCGACATTGAGTTTTGACGTCCAATCGGCCCTTCTCGGGTGTTTTTATACATAAACTATCTCGCGCGCAATGAAACGCTCTGATTAAAAGGGACAAAGACGCATGCGGCGAGATTTTTCTCTCGCGCTGCGCGCAAAAAGATAATCGGAAGGAAAACAATGCGCCATCGGGCGCTGCCGAGAAGCCCCGAAGCATCATACGCACGTCCCCTTTCCGACGAAGGGATTTCTTTTTCGTACGCATATACACGCGCGCGCAGCCCGGCCTGTCTTGCTTTAGCCGCAAGGCAAACAAGAAATAGAGAAGCCGAAAAGAAAAGGGCGCGAAACACATAAGTTAAGTAAGAAATCTCGTAGGGTCGCTTGACAACCTGCCAATTTGCCGCCGGCTCCTCGATTTTCATTCCGCTTGCCTGCCTGTGTATCTGCTTTTTAGGGGCGGATACGTAGACGCGCGCTCGAGCTATAATCTATTTTATGTTGGCATATCGGATTCGCATTGTCTTAGCGCCTCGTGCCAGCTTCTGCTGACGGCTTGAGACGCAAAGATTACACGGCTGATTGAATATCGATCGTTAATAATTCAGCGCTCAAACAGGATTAACGTCGTCGTAACAAACTTCACTCGATTATTTCATTTCAAAGCCTCTTTTACGACGTGCGTTGTTTTTTACGTATACTTACCATACGTGTCGGCGAATGTTATAGGTAAAATTGTGGTGAGGGTTAAGCTAAACGGAAAGGCACGTGAAAATACGAACTCCAGACTTTTCCACTTGCTCACGACAAGTATGTGCGTGGTAAAAATGCGCTGCTTTTTCGACAAAAAATCAACAATAAAATTGGAAAGTCAACAATAAAAGTAGAAATCACGAGATTAAAATGGGCCCCTTACAGATCTGAAATATTCGAATGACACTATTAGCGATTGTTTGCATTATGCAAGATATTTTATCCTAAAATGTTATCTAGTTTTAAAAAATATATATAATTTCGTTAATTCTTGCAACTTTTATTTGATTTTAGATAATCATGGAGTGAATCCTTTAGTTGACGTCGGTGGTTACGCATCTACTTTGCCTCATTTACCAGATCTACTCGATGAGTAAGTAACCACACACATTACCTATGTACTTTTCAAGAAAAGCTTTAGCGTTTAAATCATCTACGTAAAAGTCAAATCTCACGGCTTGATCATTATTTTGATTTTAATTATAAACAATGTTAATAATAAGTTGAAATAAAATTGCACCTTGTTATAACGTAGAAAAACATCAATTGACTCGTAATACTCAAAAGAATTTTCAAACGCGTGATTTCTCCAAGAAATCTTCATCGCATCTAACAATAAACCGACTCAACGACTTTTCTTTGCCATCACGTTTCCCAATCAGAAAGCGTAGAAAAGAAGCACATGAATGCGTCTCTCACTCCGAATATACTCACGCGCATACAGCAGAGAGCCGCGCGCGTAGGCAGCACATCTGCCCTTACATAGCTATTTCGACCCTCGATATCACGTGGTGGCGCTCAAAGCAGGACTGCTATGTCTCTTTCTCTCCCTCTCTACTCCACGAGTTCAGTCAGCGTAGTGTAGCAATGGCCGCCGCAGAGCTGACGGTGCAATGACACGGGATCTCTTCTTTTGTTCAATGTTTCGTTGCTTCTTTTATTGTAATTATGAAGCTAATTGTGTATTTTCTGTTGTTACTTGATTCTCGTATTTTTATACAAACAAACGGGAGCTTTACCAGTGACCTGGATGATGTTGAAGCCAGGTTTGTGTCTGCGCAGTTCGTTTCTTTCTGCTTCCTCTTTTTTTGGCTCTCTTGTAGCTATACATGGTCCAACGGTTTTTCTTGCTTTCGTGCTTTTGTATCAATGATTTCGAGCCTTCACTGCTGTTCCAAGTGATCGGCTTTTTCACTTTGATTCACGAAAATTCCATTCACGTGAAATCTGTGTTTGGCAAAAGGTTATGTTGATGTTGTAAACTGAGCATTTGTTTACATCGTGATCTTCATTGATAGACTGGAAATACTGGAATCTTGACTGAAGTTGATTTAGTATTAAGACTTAAAAAACTAGTGAAATTTCGGTAAATTTTAAAAACATCTCGAGATTTATAGAAAACATAAATTTATGTTTATTATATACCGGTTTTAAAAGAAAAATTTAAAATAAATTTTTATAATTATTTTTTAATTTTATTTGTTACTTTCATTAATTCACGACTACAGGATTTTTACCTAAAATTTATTCTTAAATTTTATCGAAATTTATAATTGTATTAAGTATATTATTATATCAAGAATTAAACAAAATTCATATGGTTATTTGAACAAAAGTAGTGAATTCAATCTAACTATCTCAAAATGAATAATTATATTCGGGCTGTAAATTACAATTTCATGAGTAAATTATATTATATATAAATCAAATTGACAATTCCATTTTCTGATTATATTTATTTTAAATAACGCCATCTGAATGAAAATTCTGCAAGTACATAAAAATGAAAAACACAGGGAATGTTTTCGGGCAATTCGAAAATGTTATAGTCCACGAACATGACTTAAAATAAATAAATAAATATAATTTAAAATAACTTTGGAATTCCATATGGTGTAAATAAAAAATTTCATAAAATATATAACTTGAGAGTGTAAATGAAATAAAAAACGTTGCTGTTTACAAAAGCCTATACTGCTATTTTACATTAGTTTTTAATGTTCCATATTAGCGTTCTTATATTTCAAGAAGCAATCCGTTCGATTTCAAAGTTTTCAAAACTCCGGGATAATACCAATTTGAAATACTTATTTAAAATTGCACTATCAGAAAAATACGCCTTGTAATCGAAAAATAAATGGTTATTTTCAGCAACGAAGATGAAGATAAATTTGAAAGTTCAAGGGGTGGAATTTCGACTCCGTACCAGCAAGGGCCAACGAATACTTATGGAAAATTACCTCCGAGTCCCCAGCCAACGGGCTTGCAACCCAGCACAATAGATCTCACTGAAATCAGTGGCCTTAAAAATGTCAATATGCAACTGCCAGTAGGTGTTAGTCTTGCCAGCCTACCTGGCGTATCCACACTTTCTGGTCGAAAAGACAATCACGGAGGAATTTGCGAGGTAATTTCTTACTCATCTGTATTTTCAATTCGTTAATCCATTCTCATGTTGCTTAGCATTTTTATTTATTTTATTTTATTTTATTTCATTTTTCAGATTTATGTCGGAAAAATTTGCGAAAAATTCGTTGGAAACCAACCTGTATTTTTACCTTATCCTCTCAATCAAAGCATACTCGAAGAAAAGCTCATAAAGGCATTTCAAGTTATAAACAAATCAAGGTATTAAAAACTATAGTTTTCTGGTAATATTATGCATACATTAGTTATTTATTAAAGAATCTCTTATTAACATTTTTGAGTTATTCTTACAGCGAACTTTCCCAAAACTGTGGTCGTTATGCTCAGCCATCGCTATGTTATTCAACATTTCCAATTTGTAAAGAATTCTCCAAAAATCAAAAACTTAGCACTCAATTATTCAACCTTCTGAATGCAAATCAACGAGATCCATTTGATGACGCAGACATTGATGATAACTCAGACGATCTTTCTAATTTGCGTCATGGCATTCCACGTAAAAGAGGTGCTAAATATCGATCAATGGGTGACGCTAGTCCGGAACTGCATAGAGATCGAGGTACGAACATTGATTTTAATACATAAATTATAACCAAATTGTTGTAAGCCATAGTTTTATCGATAATAATATTACTAGTAGTAAAGTAGAGACGAAAGTTATGATTTTGAAGATTAATATTTTTAACATATTTTGAAATCAAAGGTTCACCAAACGGCAAAATAATCAGCACATCGTACGGTGACACACGCTCAGCCAGAAAAGACAGCTTGAACAACAAATTGAGAAGAATCTGCCGGAAAGAATGTGAAATGTTGGAAAACGATCTATGTCGAAAAGAATATGCCATTGCTAAAAGACATCCAGAGATTGGACGACAAGTACCTTTAGTTGAATGCTCTGAGCTGCCCGAAACGGATGATTGCATGAGCATTGGAATCACTATGGAAAATGTTCGAGAGAGTAAGTTTCAAACATTATTGAAGATCTTACAAGTAGCTTGTTTGACAATAAATGTAAACCATACGTTGTTACGCCTTTTTATAGATGAATACTGTTACTGGGGAAATGGAAAATCATACCGTGGAATTCATCAAACAAGCATATTGGGTCCTTGCACACCCTGGATACAACAATTCAATCTACCAATATCTGATTATCCCGAGCTTGCAGGACATCACTCATATTGTCGGAATCCCGATAATACAGAAGCGCAACCGTGGTGTTACGTAGAAAATCGTCAAAAAGCACTTTGTAATATACCTAAGTGTGGACTATTGCAAACTGGTAAATATCATGGAAATGATTTTTCAAAAAAATGTTAGATCAAAAATATATCTGTTTAATTTTACAGTTGAAAACTCGTGGGTTTACGGTGTTGTTGGTTTCGTACTCACTGGAGGATTTATAATTATATTGATTTGTTATTGTTGTTGCTATAAAAGTAGAAAGTCTAGGAGACAAACGAATCATTTACCTACAAATAAAGTAAGTTCTTCATTGTTTTAAATGCATATACTTGTAAAGAAATCATGGCGTTGAGTTCTAAAAATTTTACACAGATGTTAACTGGATTACAATGTGACAAGAATATATATGACGGAAGACGAAATATGACACAGCCCATGGAGATGAGTTCCCTGTTAGCTGCTCCTGGAAATACAACTCCCGGAACCGGAACGTTAAGTAGTGGAAGTAGTAGAACTTCGAATAATCGTGTGCCACAGTTTACAATAAATAATGTGACGTTGTTACAAGAATTGGGAGAAGGAGCATTTGGTAAGATAATTTCGTAGAATTACTGACCTCTTTTCGGAAAAATAATAATTTACACAAATAATTTTACAATTTTCAGGTAAAGTTTATAAAGGAGAATTGCAGACTGGTAATAAGTCTGATGAAGTAATTTACGTTGCTGTTAAAACGTTGAAAGAGAACGCAAGTCCAAAGACTCAGAATGACTTCAAGCGTGAAGTTGATCTTATGACTGATCTCAGGCATCCGAATATCATTTGTTTACTCGGTGTTGTACTCAATGGCGAGCCGATGTGTATGCTATTCGAATACATGACTCAGGGTGACTTACATGAATTTCTGATATGTCACTCTCCGAGAACTGATGTTCCTCTTAACAACAGTAGTGGAAAGATTTTACAGCAGCCTGAATTTTTGCACATCGCACTTCAGATTGCTTCCGGTACATTATTCAATATAAAAAATATATTCCGGAAAGAAAGAGTGCGATTGTTAAACTGAATAATTATTTTTCAGGAATGGAATATTTAGCAAGCCATCACTACGTACACAGAGATTTGGCGGCCAGAAATTGTCTAGTTGGCGAAAATCTCACAGTGAAAATTTCTGATTTCGGTCTTTCTCGCGACATCTATAGCAGCGATTATTACAGAGTACAATCAAAAAGTTTGCTTCCTGTCAGGTGGATGCCACCGGAGTCAATATTGTACGGCAAATTCACAACTGAATCCGACGTATGGAGCTTTGGAGTAGTTTTGTGGGAAATTTATAGTTACGGCTTACAGGTAAAGAATCATATATTTATTAAAATGTTAGCATGAAAAGTCATTTAATAAATAAATTAACTGAATAAAAAAAATTTGTTTTTAGCCGTACTATGGTTACAACAACCAAGAAGTCATTGACATGATTCGCTCACGACAGTTGCTACCCTGCCCGGAAGATTGTCCAACCATGATTTACAGCTTAATGATCGAGTGTTGGCACGAGGTTGCAAACCGCAGGCCACAATTTCCAGAGATTCACCATCGTTTGCATAACTGGTACGTTAACCAGACATATCTGACCGACTACTGCAACGACTCGATAACCAGCTACTCGGGCAGCGGCAGCCACAAGAGTACCAACAAGACTAACTCCACGCAGCTCTCAGCACCAAACAATTTTAAAAATGATTCGCTTAACAGGAATCAAATGCCCAATTTTAATCAACAACAAACCTTCGCCAATGGTATTCCATATAATGTGAATGAACAGAAAATGAATTATCAGGGGGAGGAGAAACAATGTTGTTCACCTAAGCTCAGTGGAGCTAAAAAGGTTCTACCGTTGTTAACAAGCCCAAATATGAAAGTCAACGGTACAAGACCTATGCAGAATGGCGCTCAACTCGTTGTCAGACTACCCGATCCTAGTAAAGTACTCACTGAGACCAGACTATCCAAACAGTAATCTTCTGTGTGGATCGTGATTGAGCGATAGTACGTTAAATGTTCGAATATCAACGCAGTTCTTTATTAGTAGTTTTAAGAAGCAAAGCATAACTGTTTTTGAACGAGTCGTTAAGAAATAGAACAATTAAGTCTCGATACGAAAGGTAGAAAGCATAAAATTTTCAACTTAAATGGATAGAGAGTATTTCTAATTTCGTTTGTCTTTCTTTTATTGAAAAATGGTATTTTTTATTTTTAACTCTTAGAAATAACTAATGGATGAATGTTACCTTTTAGTTTTCTAGTATTTATTTGACTTTGAAAAGAAATCGAGCTAAATGTATTTATCGACACTATTCTAAGAGCTTGTATTTTATTACTACTTTTAATATAATATACGCTATTTCTGAGACAGTTATTAGAAAACCGTTATGTATATATTATTTGTTTTTATATACGATACAGTTTGTGATTTTTTAGTGCCACATAAAAGAACGATAATTTGATCGGAGACATATTTTATATTTTCTTAATTTAACAGCCCAATGAACTGTAACGAAATACGCGATTTTTTTCTTTTTCTTCATCAATTCATAATCTTGTAGTATATTTGTTGTAGCTAAACAGTTTAGCTTTATAATGTACATCTATCCGAATAGTTTCAAAGAAATTCACACTGCCGATTAATCGTGTTCTAATTTAATCGTGTCTTAAATTTTTAATAAGATTCGAAGTTACTATTCTATACTAAAATCATTTATAATGGAAAAAAACTGTTATACCAAAAAAGGAGAAACTTAAGTATGAAGCAATGATCACATTATATCAGATTCGATTGATTTTAAAAATGATTTAATTCGCAAAGCATTTCCTTCGATAAAGTAAAATTTATATTTGTAAAAAGTTTCGAAAACTGTTTTGTATCAAAACAAAAATTCCTGTTACAAAGCGTTTCAAACCAGGAAAACAATTGATAAAACATTTTTGCAACGTAATTTTAGTAAAAGTTAGACACGGTTTGTTGTGTAACTGCGGCGTTTCACTATTGATCTACGTACACAGGTCATGTCAATAATTAAATGTTTGAAGCGTGATGAATGCAATAATAGTTTATTTATTATTCTTTAGACAAGTTCGACCACTATAGAATAATTTTGAAATACCTTACGCAGCGAATTGGATGTTTGAAAAACACGTATTACCGTTTCATTTGTTAAAGTTTAGATTTTTTAAACATTAAGTACTTTTAAGTGTTCATTCTTGCTAACGTGAAATGATAGCATGCTTGCTTAAACATAATTTTATGTTTCACACGCTGAATGTAAAAAATCGAAAAAAACAAACAATAAAGCTGAACAAGTAAATATGAAAAAAAAATAAAAGCTCTCATCGCATTTCAGAGTACCTTCATATGCAAACTCGGAATGACTATTTTCTAAGAAAACTAGAAGAAACATTTTTCATATTTGCTTGATAAAATAAAAATCTTAGTATTATAAGATAGTATGTTATATATAACGAAAGAATGAACAATATAATAAATGAAGAGATTCGTGTAATTAAAAAAAGCGTGTATGATAACTTTTATAATTTTTTGAGATATATATTATATATAATATAAATATTCTATGTGTAAACTGTAAATCCAAAAGAAACGAGTGTGAAAAAAAATAATTTGAAGGAACCGTTTGGCTAAACGAAATTTTTGAAATTGTCATATATATAGAATATCAAGCGATTGCCGAAATGAAAAACGAAAATTTTTTGTGTATCGACTCGCAAATTAATCTCTATGACTGATTTTACTATATTTATATGATGACTGTCATTTTTCAATAGTCTATACACTGAAATTGAAGAATTTTTCGCAAAAATCGACAACTAATCTAAAATATTTAAATATTTTCGATACACATGCAATCGTTTGATAATGTTTTCAAACATCTGTATATGCTATTACTTTTAAAGACTGATGCTCTTAAATATATATACAATGTTTTGATTCATAGTTGTATATCATTTCACAATATCATTTGTAGAGTTTCCTGCGAAACTAAGGGTTATAGATTCACACCATAATTTGTATTTAATATTTAAAAACTTATACAACATTTATATATTCGGTCAAATATAAAATCAATGTTTTTGTAAAAACAGTGTTTTTATCATTTCCTTAGATTTTTCCTCACACCTTTTAGCATGTATTTAGTTCTTCGCAATACTTGTTTTATAAAAACAATAAAACAAAAAAATTAATTATACAAACCATTTTTATCAATTGTTGAAAATATTGAAAGATAATGAAAATAATCTTTCAATTCTTTCTATGATGCATAAGATTATTAATTATGTTGAACTATATATAGATAATAATGAATTTTTATTCGCCATTCAATTGTTTTTACTATGTGTAATCGCATTTGAGTTATCGTAGATGACTTTTATTATTGCTCCATTCCCCTATAACATTTTTTTCAAGCTACGATGATAAATTTCACTCATTCTTTTACTCAACAAATTTAAAAAAAGGTATTGCAGTAAAAATAGTCTGAATATATTATACAGGGTGGCCCATTTTAAGTGATCCACTCAGATATCTAGATTGGAGTGAGTTTTATCGAAAAAAGTTTCAGACAAAAGTTACTCAACTTTGAGGGGGCCATGTTTCTATGACCTTGGATTTGACCTTGGAGGTCATGTTCAAGGTCATTTCAAGATCAACTTTGTTTTTTTAAATAGTAACCCCCATTTTTGACCCCGGATTCGGAAAGAGCGGGAAATTTTACGTCCAAAACGGTATTTTTAAATTTTTTTTCATGGCCTAGAGAAGGTCGATTTAAGGTCAAATGCTTGAAAAACTGCATAAAAGCGTTTTTTTAATTTTTAAGATATCGAAAAATGACCTCTACAAAATTTGTTCAGAACAGAGTGGGCCACCCAATGCACCAAAAACCTTTGACCTTTAACCTCATTTTGAAGGTCATTTCAAGGTCGAAGTGTTGTTTGTAATGGAAATCCCTCTTTTTAACCCCGGATACGCACATAGCGCGAAATCCGACGTTTGGATAAGGTATTGTGTTGAGTTTCGCGCTATGTGCGAATCCGGGGTCAAAAAGAGGGGTTTCCATTACAAAAAACACTTCGACCTTGAAATGATCTTCAAAATGAGGTTAAAGGTCAAAGGTTTTTGGTGCATTGGGTGGCCCACTCTATTCTGAACAAATTTTGTAGAGGTCATTTTTCGATATCTTAAAAATTAAAAAAACGCTTTTAGGCAGTTTTTCAAGCATTTGACCTTAAATCGACCTTCTCTAGGCCATGAAAAAAAATTTAAAAATACCGTTTTGGACGTAAAATTTCCCGCTCTTTCCGAATCCGGGGTCAAAAATGGGGGTTCCTATTTAAAAAAACAAAGTTGACCTTGAAATTACCTTGAACATGACCTCCAAGGTCAAATCCAAGGTCATAGAAACATGGCCCCCTCAAAGTTGAGTAACTTTCATCTGAAACTTTTTTCGATAAAACTCACTCCAATCTAGATATCTGAGTGGATCACTTAAAATGGGCCACCCTGTATATTTACTATAGACTTTTTTCTATCTTGAATGATACTTTTATCTATTATATTAAATAAGTTTTATCAAATGTTGTACATACATTATTTCTTCTATTTATTGAATTTGATTATTTGAGCCACCGATTAATCGTAGCTCGATTCATTTTTAACTCGTAATCGAAATCGAAGTACTTTACTTTACTTTACTAGATGGCGGTGACGAAATCGAAGTAAAATTGCGCGTGCGCGGCAAAAATTATTTTGCATTTTTTAGTTACGGAAGACTAGTCAATTAAATTTCAACCCATCCCGGTGACATTGAAAAATCAAAGATATTCAATTAATTATTCAATTAATTATGTGTGATTATAATTTTGGTTTTATTTTTAATATAATAAATTATTTGATCATTTCTATTTTAAGAAGTAGTAAGTAAAAAAAAATATTTATTTTATTATAGTATTCTGAATATAATTTAACTGAATTTAATATACATCAAGCTTCCAGGAGTTTTATTTTACTAATGAATTTTTTCAACGTCTATGATGAGGATCAAATCACTGGAAACAATGAAAATATTAAAATATCTTTATAAGACGATATTCACTAACAAAACTAAAAACAAAAAGACAAAGATAAATCTCGATGGAAATTATGCAAAAACCTGTGATTGAGCTTATCACGTGTTGTAAATGATCATATTGGAATTATCAATTTGTGTATGTCACTTACGTTGTGCACCTAGTCTTTTTCATTTTACTCAAACTCAAAAAATAAAAGTTCCATGAAAATATTTATTGTAATTAATTGGGTCCATGATCAATTTCATTATTGTATAATAAAACCTTGAAAATAATAGTTAGATTCGATAAATTTCGTTATTTAATAAACACTGTATAAATTATAATTAAATTATTTTAATTATTTAAATGTTTCCGCCGATTAATCGATTATCTGATTGTTTGCGATTCTTTTAGCTGATTAATCTATTAGTCGATTGGAATAGAGTTTGGTAATCGATTGTGTTCGATCGATTACTTTTGTGATAATCGCCCATCACTAGTTCGGAGCAATCGGAGCCGTAATAATATATTGAACATAGATTCCTACAATACCATAATTTGTTTGGGAGGTAGAAAGTATATATATTATAGTTTATATAGCATAAATAGATCTTCAGTGATGAGAACTGCACCCGCACATGGTATGCAAACATAACCTAGACAGTCAGCAACAAATGTGCGGTATACAAGGTTTATTATATTTTTTGATAATTTATTAAACGTTTTTCTTGTAATATTTCTTAGCAAAAATGGCTCAGAAGAATACGAAAAAAGTTAAAGTTTATGTTAAGTCAAAGAAACGACCACCTGAGATCAAAATCATCAAAAATTTGCTATCTAAATACGATGAGGTAGGTTATTTTATAAATACACTTATATTTAATATGGCAAACATACTAAAATAATTATCACTGTGGATTAATTTGTCAACATAATATATTCAACAATCGTTAGAAAACTAATTTATTGTCACTAATGTAATTTACATATTACAAATTAATTTTTTAGATTGATGTCTTAAAAATCAAAAAGTTTACGGATCTTCCACTGTCTTCTCAAACACAGAAGGGATTGAAAGATAATGGATATGTTAATCTAACAGATATACAAAGACAAAGTATAGGATTAGCTTTAGCAGGAAAGGATATTTTAGGAGCTGCCAAAACTGGTAGTGGAAAAACATTAGCATTTTTAATACCAGTATGTATTTATTATTAATATCTTTATTACGTTCATTCAGATTGATGATTTCTGTATTTTTAAGGTCATAGAACTTATGTATTGCAAACAATGGACAAGACTTGATGGATTAGGTGCTCTAATCATAACCCCTACTCGTGAATTGGCTTTGCAAATCTTTGAAACGTTGAGGAATGTTGGAAGGTATCATGATTTTTCCGCTGGTTTGATCATTGGAGGTAAAGATTTACACTTTGAAAAGAAACGAATGAACCAGTGTAACATTATAATATGTACTCCTGGTCGCTTACTGCAACATATGGATGAAAATCATCTTTTTGAATGTACAAATATGCAAGTATGTATTTACAACAATAAAACAAATCAAACACATGTTCATGATAAATTTATTATCATTAAAAATACTTTGATTTCGTAGATTTTAGTTTTAGATGAAGCAGACAGATGTTTGGACATGGGATTTGAGCAAACAATGAATGCCATTATAGAAAATTTGCCTCAAACACGAACGACGCTTTTATTTTCAGCAACTCAAACAAGGTACATTATTTTTGTAGGTTCAGATTACTTGAATTAACAAAAATATCAACTATTTATATTTTTACTTTAATTTTATTAGATCTGTACAAACATTGGCTCGTCTCAGTTTGAAAGATCCAACGTACGTATCTGTCCATGAACATGCAGCCCACACAACACCTGAAGGTCTTCAACAGAGTTATGTTATATGTGAATTAGAAGACAAAATAGCAATGTTATGGTCTTTCATTCGTAATCATCTTAAACAAAAAGTTATTGTATTCTTATCAAGTTGTAAACAGGTGAGTCTTCACTAATACAATTATATCTATTACTAATTATTTTTATGTTTCACAGTATTTTGATTATATACGTATTTTTATATTTTTTCAGGTAAAATATATAAATGATGCGTTTTGTCACATGAGACCAGGTGTGAGCTTAATGGCTCTTCATAGCAAATTGCATCAACTAAAGAGAATGAAGATTTATGAATCTTTTTGTAAAAAACATCATGCTGTTTTATTTGCCACTGATATAGCAGCTAGAGGATTAGGTAACATTCATCAAAATTCGAAATAATTGGAGATTTCAAAATTTCATAAATTTTTTATTTCAGATTTTCCGCAAGTTAGTTGGGTTATACAATTGGACTGTCCTGAAGATGTAAATACTTACATTCACAGAGCAGGGAGAACGGCTAGGCTAGATAAAGGTGGAGAATCTCTGTTAGTACTTTTGCCAAGTGAAGAGAAATTTGTTGAGCAACTAAAAACACACAGAATTCCAATCAATATGATTAAGTACGTTATTTTTTCACAACTTTTTATATTAATTTACAATTCATTTTTGTGTCTCCAAAACTCTATTCATATTTATATATTATAGAATTAATCCTAATAAACTTCAGTACCCTCAAAGGAAATTGGAAGCTTTACTGGCAAGAGATGTATCATTAAAAGATACTGCTCAACGCGCTTTTGTAGCATACGTAAAATCGGTTTCTTTGATGAAAGACAAAAATATTTTTGATGTTCATGCTTTAAATACAGATGGATTTGCTAGGTAATATTGTTAGTTAATAGATTTTGATGAATATAACTTTTTTTTTAAAAACAATTTTTTTATTGAAAAATTATTCCAAAGGTCTTTAGGTTTGGCTATTCCACCAAGAATACGATTTCTGCAACGAGCTCAGAAGAATATGAAACTGAAGCAGAAAGCAGTTGATGATGATCATAAAATAGTCAAGAATATTGAAAATATACAAGAAAATAATGCAAGTGACGAAAAGGAAAATGATGAAGAATCATCAGAAGACGAAGAAAAAGACCAAAGTATCAAAATAGCACGCTCATCGTCTAGCAAAAATTTTGGGACTAGTAAGTCAGAGGATCAAATATTCATAAAATATCTTTTAATGTCAATTTAACATTTGAAATGTTTTAGTTGTTTATTTTGAATATTTTATAAACATTTGTTTTGAAAAGTATATGAGTATCATATTTTTATATTTTAGTTTGTGAAGATGATAACAGTGATGACGATACCCTTTTAACTGTGAAAAGGAAAAATATTGATATTGATGATGAATTGCCAGATAACGTAGATATTACAGACTTAACATCCAACTCAAAGCAAAAGAAAGCCGTAACAAAAGCTGCAGTAGCTAAAAAAATTTTGAAAAAGAAAATTGTGCCAAATAAGAAAATTAACTTTGATGAAGAAGGACAGGTAATATTCGACAAAAACGTTATTGCCAATTACAAATTTGAATAATTTCTTCAAAACTAATTCTCGATTTATTTATTTAAAAATGTAGGAAGTGATTGATCCAACTAAATCGAAAGTGTCCGATTTGGCTAGACAATACGAAAACGAAGAAACATCCGGAATAAACATTGAGGAAGCAAGAAAAATGTTGATGGAAGAAGATAAGTTTGACAAGCAACGGCACAGAGAGAAAGTCAAACAGAAAAAGAAGGAAGAAAAGAGAAAATTAAAAGCATTGATAAAAGGTAAACCGAAAAATGAAAAGGATAATGACGAAGAATATGATAGCGAAAACGTCGGTGAGGAATCAGGTGAAGAAAGTGAAGGATCTTACGAACCAGATTTATCTTTCTTACCTGATCCAGATGAAATTTATGGATCAAAAGGATCCGACTCTGAACGAAGCGACGATGCTGACGAAAAATCTGAACATAGTGGTAATCAAAGCGATAATGATCAAATTCACAGGTAATGTATTTACCTTTTATTCTTTTTAATAATGGTTTTATGGCATAAAAGAAATGACAAATTTTTCAGGCCTCCAAAGAGGAAGTTGATTTTACAAGACATAAAAAAGAAAAAAAAGAAACGTCTATCGACAGATTCTGACAATGATAATTTACAACTTGATGAAGAGCTTGCTTTGCAATTATTACGAAGTTAATTATAATTTTACTAGAAAACAATTTAGAATGAAATGTTTATATGGCTGTATAGTGTAAATGATATTTTTATATTAGTTGATAAAACGTGATGTTTTTAATTAACGATAAATATAAATTAATATTACCCAAATTCAAATGCCTTTCCAATACTTTCAATCAATCTAATGTTTATAAAAAATGTATTAACAATAGGTTAACGAAAAATTACATTTATATTTTTCTTTAATAATATCTTATTTTTGTACAATGATGTTGGTTATTTGAATAACGCGCGATGAAACAGTGAAGCAGCTTGAAAGCTCGTCTTGAAAGCCCAAAATATCTCTACTCTATAAATCCACTAGTGCTTACTGTTTGTACTATAGCTATAGGTAAGTGTAGTGCTACACTAAAAAATCCAGACTTAACATAACTTGCAAGGTCTTTATAGGTGATTGTTAAAATAGATTTTTATAGACACTGCCAAGTGAATATTTCTTTTGGGAAACCATAATAAAAGTGATTTTCTACTATTTGTTTTCTCATCTTGTTACAGGTAATAGTCACCAAAATGGCAGGGAGATGTGTCTTCAAATATGTACAACCAAAAAGCTTTGCACCTCAAATACACCTTCGTAGTGCTTCCACAGCAATATCTGCTTTTGAGAGGCAACATAAAACTCCAACTATAATCAAAGTTATGCCAATGCCTAAAGCACACTACGGTGGAAGACATACTGTCACTCTTTTACCAGGAGCTGGTATCGGACCTGAACTTATGGGCTATGTTCGAGAGGTAATTTTGTTATTAATACTTTGCAATAACTTTAAATTATAGATTACAAATGCAGTTAGAATTCACAAATATTTATTTTTTAATGTCTTTGAGAAAAGTTAACTAAATTTTCTGGTTAAATGATTCCACAATAATACAAAATTATTAATTATAATAAATGTAATGATCAAAGTAACAAAAAGTCTTTGTTTACTTCTTAGGTTTTCAAATATGCAAGTGTACCAGTAGATTTTGAAGAAATTAATATTGATCCCAATGCAGACAACAATGACGACTTAGACTATGCCATCACTTCTATCCGCAGAAATGGTGTGGCTTTAAAAGGTAATATTGAAACTCGTAGCAAAGAAGTTGGAGTATTATCACGTAATGTTGCTCTGAGAAATGAGTTGGATCTCTTTGTTAATACTTTACGTTGTATCTCCTACCCTGGTGTTAATTCGCGTCAGAAAAATATAGACATTGTTATTGTGAGACAAAATACTGAGGGTGAATATGCCATGTTAGAGCATGAGAGTGTATCAGGTGTTGTTGAGAGTATGAAAGTTATTACACAAGAAAATGCTGAAAGACTTGCTCGATATGCTTTTGAATATGCAAGGAGACATAACAGGAAGAAGGTAAAGAAGAAGTAAAGATAAATTATACACCAATTTTTATTGATGAATATAATATTGTTTCCTTTTTAGGTCACCACTATTCATAAAGCAAATATCATGAAATTGTCGGATGGAAAATTCTTGGAAGTCTCTAAAAAAGTTGCCAAAGAGTACCCTGATATTCAATTAAATGACATGATTATTGATAATACATGCATGCAGCTAGTATCCAATCCTCATCAATTTGATGTCATGTTGACAACAAACTTATATGGTGCTATCGTTTCTAATGTAATTTGTGGTCTGCTCGGTGGTGCTGGTTTATTGGCTGGTAAAAATTATGGCGATCACTACACCATCTTTGAACCAGCAACGCGTAACACTGGTGCAAGTATAGCTGGAAAAAATATTGCAAATCCCATTGCTATGCTCAACGCCGCTACAGACATGTTGCGTCATCTTGGGCGTCAGGAACATGCAACTGTCATTCAAAATGCCATTGTAAAAACAATCAATGCCGGAGTCCACACCAAAGATTTAGGAGGCACTGCTACGAGCAGAGATGTTGTTGATAATATCTTGAAGTGTATTAAAGCGGCAAGAAGTTAAGAAGACATACGATATTAGTTCGTCCAATGAATTTGTGATAAAGTATTACAAAAAATCATTGCAGATTCTTTTTAAATTGTAAAAACCTATTATTGTAGTCACTTGTATGTACTTATAAAAGTTCATAATGGATTTTAAGCTCTTATATTAATTTTTGGTTTCACTATATGTATTAATAATATTGGACCAATTGATTATACTGAATTTGTGATATACAATTTTATATTGGAAACAATCTTGTTTTAATCTAAAACGTAAATAATATAGTTGTAAATTTTAAGAAAATACTTCAAAATATATCAGAAACCAAACATAATTTATAGAAAAATGTTATACTGAATTTATCATAAAAATATATTGCAAGTAATTGAAGAATATATTCATAGAAATGCAAACATTTTTTGCAATACATCATGCTAAAAATATACTGAATTGTGTTAAAATTACATATTAAAGTATTATAAAAATGCTATTAACGCACCAGTAGGACTGCTTTTGCCTTATAAGATAATACATTAAAAGCAAATGTTGAAAAAAAATCGCACAAACAATTATTGTTACTGAATTGAACGTTCAATCTCGCCAACTGATGTTTTTTAACAGAAAATTTGTAAGACTACGAATGTCAATTGATTTATTGTTGATTTGATTTATAATTAAGATGATACTCGGTGACTAACATTATATTTGGATTGAGGATTCAATTAAACGAAGAAAAAAAGATTATTCACGATTGAATTATTTTTTCCTACCACACTCAATTTAATAAAAGAAGTTATCCGGTTCAAAGGTGAGTTTTAATAAAATTTGAATTAAAATTTAAATAATTATCGTATAACTGCGGGAATGAAGATTATAGGATAGGAAAGTGTTAGCAACTGTCAGTATGCCAATACGCAAGCGTGATTTTTCTTATTATATATGTGTGGGGAGAAGGGCCCTTCTCGAGAAGCATTCGGATTATTTAAACAATCATTTAATCGCTTTTATGGAGAGTAGCAGGAACCATATATATATAGTACCCAGGGTATTACCTTGAATCAGTTTAAGGCGGAATTCGAACTCCGAACCACCGGAGCCGTAGTGTTCATTTTTAATTCTTGGCACTTTTTGACAAAAAGCCATTAATATTCGTTGGGAATCAAACCCCGCATACTTCCGCGTGGGAGAAATGATAAAGTGACCATACGCGTGCACAAAACTTGTTGAATATGAAAGTTTCCATTATAACGATGTGATTGCTGGTTTTTTTGTTTTAAATATTCAAAATGATTTTCATTGCTTGTATGAAAAATACCACCCCAATATTCTTTCAAATCATTAAAACAAACGAGAGAATTTCGCGGTGGTATTTTTAGAACGATATTATAGGTATTTGAAAAATATTATTTTCGTGTTAGGATCGATCCGATATCTCGCACAGCTGACAGATCAACGATCTAGATGTCAGCTGATTGTCATTCGCCCCACACTCCGGTTTATAACGTTCTAATTGTTCTTTCTTAATTCTTAGTCATTTTCTAGCCGATCGGCAGAATGGACTCGTATGATAATACGGTTCAAGGTATTTTCATTAATATACTCACGTAGAGTAGATATCGATAGTAGTTTGAAGTCAATTGTTTTCGGAAAACTTATTAACATTTGTTAGGGAAAAGGGGTTCACGGTAGAATGATCTTCTCATCTGTCATCAATTAAACTTTGACATAACCCTCAATTTTCGTACGACACTTGTCAGTAATACGTTTCTGTTTGTTAACTTTTTGAATTCTTTGTCATTTCATAGATACGTCGAATTTTGGCGTTACTAATGACTCTTACAACGCATACGATACGTCGCATCAGGACAATTACCAGTCCCAACAACACTCTGAAGCGACTCATGATCATTATTCTTTTGCGAAGGTAAGATTCTTTAATAAAAATAATTATTTACTAAATTCAATTACATGAAAAATTAACCAATGTGTTTAATTATATTAGGAAAGTGATAACCCGAAAATTCCAGAACCAAAAAGCGTTGAGTTCAACCTACCGTCTTCATTGGACGAAACTTCGGATTTGATAGACATACAAAAAGATGATGTCCTTTCGGAATCTCAAGAATCAACTTCTCAGCTTGAATTAGGAAACTACGAAAATTCCATCATAGATCATTTTGATTCAGTATTTATTAACTTGGAGAAGGATACTAAATCAAGAAATGAAGTTCAAAATACCACTAGAAATGAGACTGGCATGAGCAATCAAAATAATACTCCAGAAAAGGATGATTACAGATGCTGCAGTTGCAACGGAGGACCATTAGTGTGTTTAGCCTTCTTTTGTGATTGTTTTGGTGGACTTTAAAGTTCAAATGGTCCAAAAAGCACATAAAATTGAACAATCAGTATTAGTTTAGTACAAAATCAGCTTTTTAAATTATTACAATTATTAAATGACGATGTGAGATATTTCACTTTCTTAAACGTTCAAAAATAATAACTTCAAAGCGCATGTTTGAAAAAAGTTAAAATAGATTTTTTATACATTTATATATGAAAAATGACTGAAAAACATGACAATAGTATCACTGTAAAATAATTTTTTAAAAATCAAATGTTTTTATAAACCTTTTTAACTACATTCCATAGAAATTACTTGTATATTCAATACTGAATTCATAAGTGCTGATGTTCTCTGCAGTGATTATACTTTGAAGACTTACAAAATGATAATACATGTGATACCTGAATTGATTACAATACTTTGAATGTTCTAAAATGAAAACACATGTGCAGTTCATAATGTGTCATAATTGTAGATTAATTCGATATGAATAGAATAGTACTAAGTTGCTTAATTGTTGTTCATTATTAGAGAAATTATAATAATTTGTTAACCAATTGTTTAAACGTTTTAATAAATTTTTAAATGAAGTCACTTGAAATATATTTTTCATTAACCTAACAATCAGCAGAAAGATTACATAATAAATATAAAACTAATACTGAGAATTAATTAAAGGTTTGACATCAGTAAATAGATTAACAGTTATATATTATACAATTTTAAAATGTTGGAAGCCAATAAACTGAACAGATATGACATAAGTAAGGACAAAATTAAATATTGCCATGGGTGAGTAATCTAGAAGTGAATGTCATAGTTTTTGTTTCCAAAAAATTATGTACATTACGAATAAGAAATAAAAATGAAAAAACTGATTCATACTGACGACGAACCAGGTGCTCGTATGTAGTAATGAAATGGAAATAATTGATAAGATATGGCACGTGTGTCATATCAATAAAATCATACTACGTCTCACGAATTTCATAAGTCCAAACCGAAATTATACATTTATTGCTTTGAAAAAGTATTGCTTTTTATCTGCGCAACTCTATCGATGACAAATCGAAACAATTGTTTTAGTTAACTCTTTTTTTTTTTTATCGAATAATTTTTTTTAAACTCTATCAAATAATTTATTTCAATTAATTTATATATCGATAAATTAATTTTTTCGAATTCTTATAAATAATTTATCATACTCAAATCACATCAACAAATTAAATACGTCAAAGTATTTCCCTATATAAAATTTATAATATAAATATCGGTAACTTTATTTAATTTGCGAGTTCATTAAGTATACGCAGAAACGCATGTATAATCAGTCAATCAATTCAGTTCTTTCGCCAAAACGACAGCAAAAATACCATAATTTTATTACTATACGTACGTATAGTATAAAGTCAGGAGCCTCGGAATTCCCGAAAGTTTAATACAACACACTTGGTCTTTCCCGCTCATGGCCGAACTGAAGGTATGCGTACCGTCAACAATTCGCTAAACGAAAAGTCATGAAAATCAGGCTACAAAAATCGGAAAAGGTGTTAGCTTAGAAGCCAGCGGTATTTGACGAGTTGCAATTCGCGACGATACGAGTCGCCAAGATAACGTAAAAGAAATGGATGTTATTGTAGTAAATCGCAAGGAGCGTGTAAAAACCTTAATGAAAGTGTCAGCGTTACTCCCACTCTTTCCAATAGTATGCATATTCGCGAGAGTATAGCCAACAAATTGACGTAGCAATCCGACGCCCGGCATCTTACGCACGCTAGTCTGCCGAGTGTTCAACATCCTTTTGGCAAAAATTATCGAACTCGAGTCTAGTATTTGCGGTCCACGAACGAAACGAGTTATTTAATTCAGTGGAATACAGTGCGAAAATTGCCAAAAGCAATATGTCGAGTGAGTATATATAACTTGCAAAACAATTAGTGTGTCGCGGTTATCAGTGTTTATTTTAAGTGGTATGTGCATCGCGTCAACATTTAATGGCAAACTTTAAAAATATACGTGCAGTTTTCTTTTATTACGACTAAATAAATTTACTTTTTGATTTTAATGTTTCTCTCAAAAAAAACCATCTTGTAACAAAAATTTTCAAATACATCTCAGTGCATTATCGAGTTCTTTGCTCATGTTCATAATTTTTTTCTCGATAACGCCCTTATCATTTACTATTAAACGATTCCAGTGAAACTCGCAGTGGCATTATAGCTGTACAAATACACATTTTTCATTTGATAAGATGATCACGAGTTAATAATAGATATGCGCTTTTGTTGCTTCGTGATTTCAATAAGCAAAGAAAGTTTTTCGATATAATTAAAATTCATCAAATTATTAGACGTAATTGAAGTCTTCAGCACAACATGCGACGAACTCGAACTTGCATCTCTCGATACATTTAAAATAAATGTCGATCGAAACGTATTCAAGTGGTACTGGGTATTGCTGCGATGACGCTATAGCTTTTTGCGAGATAAGCGTGAAGACATTCCACCGTGGATCGTATGATCGCTTCTGATTTCTATATCTTCCACGTGTTCAGGTAACTCGATATCTCGTCCCGAGGCTTACAAACAAACTGAAGCGAGGCCACAAAGTTCATCGGTACAACCAATGGGACCACCACCGACCTACACAGAAGCCATGAATTCGTCGCCGTATCCACCGATGCCACTACCCTACGCAACAACCCCGTACCCCATCGGAGAAACAACGATGCCGCTGCCGCAACCGACTGAACCGTATCCCGTGGACGACAATGTGCCAGCTCGGCCAATGTCGACTGTCCATTCATCAATGCCTGAACCTGTACACGCTAGCCACACTTCCGTTCCAACTGTAGATTTAAGCAACAGCATACTGCCTCGTTCCGCTTATCAGCAGCCTATTGTCAACCAACCGGCTGCATACAGCGCGGATCACGAGCACATTTACCCAAAGACGACTTACGTCGTATTACAAGACGACAGAAATCGAAGGCGCGAGGATAGCGAGTGTAGCTGCATCGATTGGCTTATGTGCTGCTGGTGTTGCATTGAGACCTGCAGGTGTATATCGCTCTGCGTCGACTGCTGCAAGTGAACCGAGCGCGTGGACAATTATTATTGCTGGCGCGTGATCTGTGATTTCGTATGTACGTAATTTGGCCGTTACGATATGTATAATGCCAACTATATGATAAGAAAGATAAAGTTTGACAATGAGCTTGTGGCAATATACATATTGGCAGATGCGTTTATTTTTTACGATTTATGAGCGTTAGGGATCGATGTAGTATTTCTATTTGTATGTATATTTCAATAGTTTATAAATACGTTTATATTGGTATATGCAAAACGTCTTCACGTACAGCCAAGACAATAAATTTAATGTTTTTACTATTATTCGCCGTTGAAAATTATTCTATCATATTTTTTTCTAGAATTAACCTAATTTTATAAATTTTCACGTCTATTTAATTCGGTCACACGAAATTAGAGAAGCTCCAAAACTCAATGCTAAAACTTCGTTTATCATAACATACAAGTCACGTTAACTTTATCCCGTTACTTTGTCCGTTAGTAATAAAAACCTCAAATAGAGCAATGTCCTTACGAGCTTTATGCAAGCAACCTTGCTATTACAATCTTTGGTGTGAGATGACGCTTCAATGTTCTTATCGAAGAAGATTTCAAAACGTGCCAGGATACAGGTCACGCAATAAAAAAGCCAAGTATATATGCAAATGCACACAAAAGAATGCGGTAACTCTAGTCGCTCGCGTCTGCACGTGTTCACAATATAAAAATCGTGAGTATTTATAAGAGCGTAGCATACATGCGCCTACTAACTACCGTGTGGCCGAGTCTAAAATACAAACATCTTTTTTCGTACGTCGCACCTCGCTCGATTCCGATAGATAGCTCCCCGAGATAGCCATGTATAATGAATCGTGCTGGCTGTAGCCTCGAGAGTAGATCTCGCACTCGCCGACTTGGGGTGAGACGTTGAGCACGCGCTCAACTATCTTCGAGACTCCTCTCGTTCCATTTTTAAACCATCGGCGCTGCAGTTGGTTTCGCGCGTGTCGCGCTGCGTAGCGCGACGCAAGTGTGCTCATTGCGCGAATAAAGGCGCTCGGCGCACACGTGCGTGTCTTGGAAGATAAGTAGTTCGAAGCTCTAGTCAGTCGGTCGCCAAATTGGCGCCTGGCAAGTTCACTGACGCCCGCGCGCGGGCGCGCGCGCAACGACTTCTCGTTATATACGTTATTCTTTATTAGTTACGTGACGAGATGTTCGCACCACTGCCAAAACTACTGTGCGCAGAACAACTGTACACGAGCCATTGATTTCTTTTGGCGCCTTTTCGCTGCTCCGATCGCGCGCGCTCGAAGGAAGTAGTATAGTTTGTGCGACGGGAAAGTACAGTGCGCACAGTGCGTTACTGCTCGAGCTCGATACAGAGCACAACTATATCGAGACACCCGCAGTTAGCCACGCACGTTGTGCAGGCGCCGTTGGACGCCGAGAAATGCCAGGTAAGCAATTTTCGCTCTTCGCTGATCTGTGCGCGCGACGGAATTACGCACAATCGAGCTTCTCATATACTCGGTTGCGTGATGTACGTGTGCTTCGCGAGTAGCGCTTCAATCGAGTCTACAGACGTGCACGTATATAGAGTGCGTTCGTGTCACTCGTTGGACTCAATTGATTTCGCTTGTAACGGTACACGACACAACGATGCCGAGGCAAAATAGTGCGTTTCACCTTCGGCATCTCCTAGTTGCTGCATTCAAGTCGCTTCGTTACTGCGCATTCGTTTGCTACTTTATGCTGTAGCTTTGGCTATTGACCGATACGCCTACGTACTGTACACGCATATTGGTGAATTCCAAGGACACAGAGCAGGCAGGCTCTGACTCGATGCCGAGCAGTTGGCGCGTATAGTTTGGGGGGGGGGGGGCGCAGTGACCAAACATCGATAATTTATTAGATCGACAATCTAAACATTCGAGTTACGTGTTTAGCTATATGTTGAAACGCTTACAGCCGACGGGAATAGCAGGAACAATGAAATATAGTCGCGCTTTACGCATCATCGTTCGCGGTGGCCTTCTATGCTCGGAATCGCGAGGTAGCGAGAACTCGAAATTCGGGAAAAAAAATTGTCTACTTAACCGAACGGCGTAAGGGCATTCTGACGCAGACTTTAAGCTTGCAGCTGTCCGAAGTGAGGCTCGAACGTTTCGCAGCCGAGAAGGTGGGCGGCGAAGCAGTGACGCCGAGGTCCCAAGCCGTCGAGCAGCAGCGACGGCGCGTCCGGCGTCGCACAACGACGCGACAGCGCCCCGTCGCCTCCTCCAGCGAGCGCGCTGAGCGGTGCGATGCCGGGGCCACCGGGCTCCTATTACCCGAACTTGCCGCCGCCGGGCTCGGACGTGCCGATGCAGCCGATGATGTCGGCAGGCGCGCCCTATCCGCCAGCTTACCCGTCGGCACCGCCCGGTTACGGACCGCCGGGCCAGCCGCCCTATCCCAGCCCGTATCCGGCGGGGATGCCCAGTCAGCCGGCGCTTGGCTTCGCCAATATGAACCCGCAGCAGCCACCCATGATGATGCCGCAGCAGGCGCCGATGATGCCGGCACCGGCTCAAGCTGGCGGCGAGTACAGCTACCGCAAGACTTACGTGGTCGTGCCGCCGGCCGATCAGAATCAACGTCGCGACGGCGACGGCATGGAGTGCTGCAAGTGTCTGCTGTGCTGCTGCGGATGCATCGAGCTGTGCAGGTGCTTCGGGATGTGCCTCAAGTGTATCTGTGATTCTGACGATTAATCTCTCGCTCACCGCGGGTTCGAGTAGTGCGCGACTATATCGCACTCCTTGTCAAGTGGCTTATCGACGCGACGTGCGTCGATTTTGTAGAAAGTTTCTTTCGTTTTTTTTTCCATTCGTTAACGTTGAGCTTCTTGGATAACCGCAGCGCTAAGTTGAGCTGATTACTGACGCAAACAAGTTTATATTTACTGTAATATTAACTCTCTATTATATGAATTTAACTTCCCATCCGTTTTATAACTTATACCACTCTTATCTTTGAGTGACTTGTTACATATTAATCGTGAAGTTTTGATGTATATATACCAAAATATATTTTTTCTTTGAAAAAAACCTAAAGGCACACGCTTAATTATCATAAGAATGACTTGCTTCCTTAGCTCTTCCGCTCAACTGATGATTAATCGTAATAAAACTGTAATCAGACTAGAAAAGTTTTACTTTCTCGCAATTTGTGAAAATTGTTATCGGAACTCATGCTTGGTCACGCGAACAATTGTGCACGGATTTATTACGCACACAAACTATTGTACAGAGTAATGCGGCGTGAATCAGCGTGTATTTCTTGCGCTACGTTAATGTGTACAATAATTCGTGTGTATAATAAAGCTGTGCTGCAAAATTGTCCTCATGCCGATGCTTGACAACGGACTTATTAAAAAACGTCGTAAATGTTGTCATTATAATTAAACCGCTGTATAACGTTTCGAATTCATAATCTGCGTCGTTTCCAATATTATCATTTTCATTCAATCGTGTGTCGCGTTACACGTTTTATACACCGTACGTACCCCCTTCCGATCAAATAACAAAGTTCATTGAACATCATAAGAAGCTATGGGTTGTATCTACGTACGTTACTTACGTTTGATAAGAAATCTTGCGTAACTACGACTACGTATGACAATAATTTTTACCACTTATTTTCCTTGTCGTTCGAAGCTCGCACTTTATCGCTTGCCAGTACGGTTGAATTTGCATTTGGAACTATCTTAAATACGCGAGTGTTTTATGTGACATAGCACTATTATTTAGTTTCCGTAAGTAATGTGAGCTAACTTTAGTTCACAATGCTTACTGTATACTACATGCACGTGCATAAGAAGCTGCGGCAAGCCCAAGTTTCTCTGCACGACCAAATCCCACATCTTAAGAATGCATGTACAATAAGACTCGGCTTAAACTTATTATTTTGTCAAATATTTTCTCTCGCTTTCATTTGGCGAGTTTTAATTAACTGAATTTGACAAGCTGATGCTTGAATAATTATAACAGTTCTTATACTTATGGACTGAGAATGTCGTGAAAGTTAAATCTCATGTTTTTAAATGCAAAGCTAAATTTTCTTTTAATAATTTAAAACCACTCGTTATTATCACGCATTTTTTGTAGAGCTCTAAATTATTTACTGAAAAGAAACACAAATCTACTTTCAAAATTTGTCTTATAAATTTCATTGATTTGTTTTTCTACCCTATAACTCAATCAGAAACAAATAATGTTACGACGCGTTCTATACAACTTGAGCGTATCAATTGTTTACTAATTTTAATTTGTCCAATAAAATGCGCTGAATGTTGAACAAATATCGAAGGAGAAGTTACACGAAAAACGAGAAATATAAAGATGCACTTTGACAGTAGAAAGTAACTACAGATGTTCTCTCGTATCTCGATCGCAGAACCACCCATTGTGTTATACTTCTTTTCTGATGTTATTTTGTTCATTGTGATTTTGACGTACAATTAATAACTACGCAGCAAAAACTTTTGTAAATAAAGTAGTTTCATCTTTATTTTAAAAATCTATTTTTAGATCAAACAATCTCCATAAATAAAATAAAAAATGCTAATAATATTATATATACCAAAATTATATATACCAAAACACATATAATAAACTCATCTAAGAAACGTGTCAATAGTATAAAATTATTTCTTATAACTTCATATAAGTATTTGAAATAAAATGAGGTAATACTTTCATGGCGACTAAGTTTTGTCACATCGTTGCTATCTTTCTTTTCTCTCGAGTAAAAACATCATAGCACGACTACAATAAGCAACGAAATGCCTAAAAAAAATTTAAAAGTACTTTGCTATTGCTTAATAGAATGTTCACTTTTTGATCTTTAACAGATTAGCTCGCATACATTGCAATCTCCGCAATCGTCACATCCAACATAACAATCGCCATCACAACAATCATCATTACCACCGCAGCAGTCGTCGTTACCACCGCAGCAGTGTTCGTTACCACCGCCACAGCCGCCGTCACCACCGCAACAACCATCTGTATGGTTAGTATCGTTTGCCGTTAATGGAGGAGACGAAATTGTTGGCTGGTTCGTTATTACAATATCGTTCAATGACACTGGTACTAAAGATTCGATAGGTTGACTCGTTATTACGTCCGAACCTATGTTATTGCTTGTGGTGTTGATTGCCGAGATTAAATTCGCCGTCGCGTCGCCTGATGGAATCACATCTGAAAGTTCATTTTTGTTTTGTAAAACGGAAATAATTTCGACGTGAGATCGTTAAAATTCGATTTGTAGAGGGAAATAACCTCCGGAGCTAATGTGGTCTCCTAGGCTAGGCCCAACGGCGCTCGCGGTTGCAACATCTGCAGGAGGTATGCTAGACAACGATGGTACAGGGACGGGCAGATATGACATGCTATGGTTTATATCCGTGGAATTTTGTAGAATACTGGGATCGGTATTTATACTAGAACTGGGAAGACTGTCAAGCCCGGAACTGGGAAAAATATTGTGGTCTGAAGACAATACGTCGCTCTGAAAAAAGACACGTACATAATAGATCAGACAATGCGTTCAATGTAAATTTAATTTGAATACTCAAATCGTACATACCGTGAAGTTCGAGCCACCACTACTTCCGAAAACATTATGCATTGGTTCTAAAAATTGCCAGTTATTCGATGAATTACTTGTTAGGCCATTTATTATACTCTGGTAAATGTAATATTGGAAACGCCAAAAGTCTATCACATTGTGGAGTATGAAATTGCAGTAACCCTCATTAATTAGATCTATGAGTATCAAATTCCACAAGATATCCCTCTCCTGTTGATTCCTCGCTTGATTGAATTGGTCGTTCATTCTCAGTCGATTCGTTATCAATATTCTCGTGGCTCTGTCGTCCCCTTGCGCGAATCTCGGATCGCTGACCGTGTAAATAGGCGGTGGTCCTATAATAGTTATTTATGCGCCAGGAGCGTATGGAAGGCAGATGCGGCCGAGTAAAATGTAGCGCGGGATAGTATAGAAGCCGAGACAGCGAGCGAAGCCAGGGTTCTCTGCACGCAAATGCCCTCATACGTTCGCCTAGGCTGTAAACTTACTTTACACTGCGGGCGACCATATTCGGATTCTTAAATACAGAGGCTACTAGATCGGTAAATGGGTCCCATATACGCGAGCAGTTCCTTCTAGTATAATGGCGCTATTACACTAGGAGGAGACAGGAGATAAGTCATCCTCCAGTGGTGTTTTTATTCGCCACAAGCGAATAGTAGTTTTGTTTTGACGCGACAAAGGCATGGTTCCGACAGCACATGTTTGTGCTGGCCGGTCCAATATTATCGGCAGTATTTTTAATAAAAGACTTGAAAAACGAAAATGCTATTTATTATAATTAATAAACTGCGCGTAGTTGCGTCGAACACGACTCATTTACCGACCAACTGCTCTCGGTATCTAAAAAGCCTCGTACGACATTGCCAGGAATGAAAAATTTTTTTAATCATCGGCAGCGCATCGAGCGCCTTCACACCAGAGAAGCAAACGCGTTTGATCGCGAAATGTAAAATAGCTCTTATTGTACCGCTGAAAATATTTTCTCCTCCGGTGTATGTAATAGCACTCCATACGCCGCTGACGCATAAATGACTAAATAATTTCACGATTCCCGGCGTACTTTAGTGAATGAAAATTCATGTTTACCTGGTGACGCGCACTGATCCCGAGATAAAACACTGTTGGCACTTGGATTTGTACTTTCTGTTTCGAGCCCTGGCGCTGTCGGCTGATTATACGGCGTATTTCCCACAGCCACGTAGTACGACGGAGGGGCTTCCACTGGCCCAACATTATGCTCGCTCGTATTATTCAACTCTAAATGCAAGAGCGCGTTAATTTATCGTTACCGTTGTCACTGCTGATGCCAAGTGATTTTCAATTTGATGAATTAAAATAATGAATTTTCCAAATTCACCCAAATTCACCCTCGACCGTTGAAGGAATTTCGCAAGATCAAAATCACGTCGAGAAATATTTCTCATCGATGAGTATTCGTTACAATATCCCATGAGAAGAATCATGAAATAAACGGACTTCAGACCGCGTGCAAGCTTGATATATATTACTTACCTTGACTTTTTTTAGATTCCATGTTAATTAGTTTAAGCAAATTTCTCGTGCGGCATGGGACTACGCGTATTGGCACGTGACAAGGTGTAGCAACGTGATTATCACCGGGAGTTTCGCAGGCCAGACTCGTACATTACGAGCGACAACTCTGCGCGTAGGTTCGCTTCATCTTAGCGTCCGTAGCCGAACTGCGATACGGCGATACATGGCTTCTGCCTAGTTAGCCCAGTCGGTGCCAGTTCAGAGAGACACTGCTGTAAGCGTGTGCGGGGCTTTAATTCCGTAACGTCGCGTCCGAGTTTTCGTCAAAGAATAGTGCGCGCCGCCGTTCAAATGTGCGAGCTTTGCTCTTACAGTTTTTATTTCCGACGATGCTCGATGGACTGATGAATTTATTAATGTCATGGAATTATATGTATCGAGCGACAAGTAAGGAAGACTGTCCATTGTAAAACTTTGAAATATACAGTGAGAATTATTACAAGTTATAAGCAAGACATTGCGTGGAGATAGATAAAGAAATCGAGTGAGATATGAAAAAAACTATTTAAATTATGAATGACTAATACGATTGTATCAATTATCTTTTAATAGAGTCATTTCTGTACAAATACAAATGGCTATCATATATGTTTTCGCATAATATGAGACAAACAGTGCGGATTCCCTAACATGGAGCTTTTACTTAATATAGTATTTTTTGACAGCCCTTGCGCCAAATGCGGCTTCCCCGAATGCTCGGCCAAACGCGTGCACGAGGCTACATGCGGAGAATGCATGGTAATGAACTATTGCCATATCTGTCAAAGAGATACGGTCTGCAACAAATTTGTACGTATATCACATTGCTCATCGATATCACAAACAAACGTTTATAAAATATCATGCGGACATTACATCAGCAACGATAAATGCAGATTCTCATGCACGATAGCTTCAGAAGTACAAATCAAAGACAAGCTATAAAAGCCAAGCAGCATTCCTCGTAAGAACAACACTCATCGCGATCGTCACATCGGTTGCTTCGATCATTTTCCCTACTGCGATTATCCGAATAAGCACTTCTAGCGGAATCATTGGGCTGGTCACAAATAGGTTTGTTATCGACGCAGCCAAATTTCACATTATTTTCCAAGAATGGCGACGGATAATATCTGAGATTTCTCATGACTTTCTCGTAACAAGGCGGAGGCTCGACTGGCACTGGAGTTTGACTTGGAACCCCGCTGACATTCTTACTCTTCATACCTGCAAAAGTTCGATTTCTAATTTTTCAAGTCTCCTCAACAATCGCGATCACGATTATCCATTGAAAGATACGCGCATCGTTATTTCAGTTTGATCGCTTACTGCTTCGCTTTTATGTTTGCCCGAAAGTATGTGCGAGGCATCACTGTGCCAATTCGTCGTGTTTTAGAAAAATGCTATTTTTATGAGGCGCGAGATACGATGCGAATTTTTTTTTTTTTTTTTTTTTCATTTTGCGCGTTACGATTCCTTTTATTTTGTTTTTGACGAATAATTTAAGATTTACTTTTTCACTGACGCATTAAAACACAAGAACAGTAATTTAATTAACTAATTAAATCTTATTATTTGTTTAATTTAACACTGCAAACTACTGCATTATTTTTTATTCGAAATAGGTTCGTAACATATTTAATCATGTGAAAGTACACATTCCTGTCTATATTTATATCATGCGAATATCAGACACAAAGACACAATAAAGTGATAGAAATAGCTCTACGAATAATAATAATGTTGTATCGGACAGTAGTTATGTCAAAAGTTCTCGGATAAACTAAAAAGTTTTGAACACGTAATCTTTTTTTATTTACCGCAATCTCGATGTATTACAAAGAAAATCTATTCAAATGTTTGATTCTAGCTGTGTTGCGTTTTTCTCTGCGCGCCATTTGATTTGATTAAATAAGATTGTATAGCTCGTTTGGACTTACCCCGGAAAAAGGTTCGCAGTGAATTAAAACGTGCGAGCGCGTCGAAAGCTGTAGCGTCGCGTTCATCGATCATGCACCAGCCCACAGCGCGTTACACCTTTGCTTTTTTCGCACCGACTGGCATTGAAAAGATTCTAAAAGTGCGGTCTGATCTTTGCCGGTAGAGTGGATTGACGAACAAGTGGGAGAAACTCGCACAATATACTATTTTAAAGTGCTCGCACTGCTACTGAAGAACTATAGACCAAAAAAAAAAAAAAAAAACACGGCAATTTTTCTTCTTTTTCTTTCGGTGAATATTTGTTCTTTTGCCTGAAAAATATCGCGCGGCTGAATTGACCAGATGTGTCCAATTGGGAACTAACATTGATAGATCGATTCCTCTTGCGTAACTCTGATGGCACTGAGCATCAAAGAGCTATACACGCGCATTTTTGTGGTTTTTTACGCATCATTTTTCAAATTTCGAAAATAACGTTCCAGCAAATACCACAATTGCACAAACAAAATAATACATAATTTAAACTACTGCTAATTATTAATATATTTGTTTGACAAAAACAGCGTTAATTGAAGATATTGAAATCGAATGTATCACATTATAAGAATATTTATCAATGGGTAATCTAAGAAATAGAACGAATCAACAGGTGCGATGTTATTTATGGATTAGTAATTGGAAAGTGAGGTCTTTTTGAAAGTTTGATTTCTGTAGGTGAATGATGACGACAAATGATAAAAATTTCAAAGCGACGATTTGCTCGTTAAAGTTGCGAAACAATCGACTCTGCATATTTCTCAAAGACGCGTCAGTTTTGCAGATCTTGGTGTTTTTTATTATTTGGACAATAACAAGGAATCTCGCGCTCACGTAAATTTAGACCGAAACGCAGTTTTCGCGTGATACACTCCGCAATTGTTTGACTTGCTATAATTTGCAGACGGGCGTGCTCCGAAATAGATTCGGGCATTAAAGCGCATCCGACAAAATAAATAAGTTTCCAATGTCAAGTGAAGAATTTTTTCAATGTATTTTTAATTGGCTGTATTTAATTGTTCATCAGCGAGCCGAAGGCCGCGTCATTGTGCCAGAATAACAAGAAATAATTACGATTCGAACTCGTTGAATTTGTGAAGAAAAAAAAATCTCATCGCTCAATCGTCATCGTGCTGCAATTAATCATCCGGCAGCCGTACGTACGCAGACAAAATGTTTCGAATCCTCCGCCGCGACGGCTGGAATCGCCGAGTTTACAACTGCACGCATCCGAACGTGCACAATCTATAAAAGCCGTCGATAAATTCTGCAAGCGTATCGTTGAATACGACAACGAATCTCGCTAATGAGCTTACGTATGCGAGAAGATGAGCGTTGAAGTAATGGAATTTTCGTTTCTTTTTTCGATGGCATTGTGTGAAGTATGCGCCACATTATCGTTTCACAGGAAGCACATTAATGACAATGCTAAGTAGTATACGGCGAGCAATAGGAACTATATACAGCCGAGTTTCGAAAGTTACGACGCGAGAGCCGAAAATCATACGTGTAATTTTAACGACACACATTTTTTTCCAAATAATTATAACAGACTTAAAGCTCGCGAATACTGATTACGTTGGAATATGTTACGCGCGTATGCTTTTCGCTCAAAACCAGTATTAATCGAAAGCAAACGATAAAAAAATAATATGCATATTTATAGCTCGTGTACTGCATGCAACTAATATTACCGGCGCCGAACGATTTTATACAAACATGTTATAATGGATAACTGTTTTTTTAAGGTGAAGGACATTCGTTCATTTTTATCTTGATAAACAATGTTTATCAATATAATCGAAAAACTGGTTTTATCAAAGTATTGCGTCATTTAAATTGTCGTTACATTTTCGTGATTTACGCGTTCATGTACCTGCTTTCTTTTTTTCGCAGCCTCCCAGAATTACCGCCTCGCGTGGACATTATCTCTAAGATATTTGCCGACATCTGATCAACAGTGTAGGTACAAAAACAACGTGCGCTAATTGCACTTATTTACGCATCACCATATCGCGTGCCAAAACAAACATAAACGAAACGAAGCACAATAATTCCTCTCTTTCGAGAAAAAAAAAACGCGCGGCGCTTTACATTTTCTACATCAGTGCAGTATGAAAATAGTAATAATAAGATTTTTTTAAATAAATAAAGAGTATAGTTGAAATTTTATACGAGTGTTGCCTCTCTCGGAGGAGAATGGAACTACCTGCATACACACGCGCGCGCAGCAGCAACGAAAAGAGATCGACGCACGTACCGATATCTGTTTTTTCAGAGTCGCGTAGAGATAGTTTAGTCGGCTGCGTGCGCTCGTCGTGGTGCTAACCGTGTCGTCGCTGCTGTTGATCAACTGAAATATACAACGCGACATGCTGCGAATAGACCGGGAAACTGGCGAGGAGCTTGAGTACGAGATGAGCAATGCCGAGACTGGTGAACCTGAGCCACATTACCAATCGCCAAATCGTAAAAAACCCTTCAAGGTAATGATTGCACGATCGCGGAGACAAACAACATCACGGTACTAACAGAGCATGTCGTTACTTCATTTCAGATTCCCATACAAGAGACAGAAAATCAGTCAATCGTTAACAGTTCGAGGGAAAAAAAAATTTGGCCGGAATTCGAGCCAGTGCCAACGGGTGTATCTTTCGGTGAAACCAAACCGATCTGTCTACTCTTGCCAGCCATAGTTTACTGCAGGTGGTTACTCGGAGTATTAGCCCTTATCGAATGGCTGCTACACGTTTACGCACATCGTAAGAACAAATGCTTGAGCAACGAAAACGCATTCTTCTTTCGTTCACCTTTCCATGCCATAACCTCGCAATTTTGCGCAGTATGTCAAAATGAGACCTGCATGAACGTCGTCGGCAAGATCCAGCAGAATCGCATGCACAAATTCTTCAAACAATGTCATTATATCAAGAGAGTTGTTCAGTGAGACATAGCTACAAGCCTTTTGTTTTGTGTCTTTATTTTTGGCTTTTACAATCAGGTGCTTGGTGAAAAGGATATTATATCTCGCATCGCTGGGTCAACTGTCCTCTATATATGCATGATTTAATTTCATTGTTTTTGACGTTAGAGTACTTAATGCGTCATAGTTGGGCCAGGCGGATTTGTTTGTCTGTTTTTTGTATATCGCCGATGTATTTACACGTACTTGCAAGTACGTTGGTGAAAGTTGCTTTATTTTGAAGGCTATCGTTTTTAGTTTGTTATTTAAAAGAAATCTATTAGGTAAACAATTTTTTTTCTGATATGAAATTGGAATAAATAATTTGTCATCTTATCAAAGTGTATACATTTTTATAATGAAAGCTTCCGTATACAAGTAAATAAAACTCATCATTTTTATACAACATGATGTTTTATATCCCGTAAAGATAACCCAATCTGAAAATTATTTTACTTTGCATACATTTATTATTGATAATGAACGTGAAATGATTATAAATTTGATTTATTTGGAATTGACGGAAACATTGATTCTCTTTCGTTTCGAAAAAAAAAAAATGAAACTTACATATTTTTTCGATTTTTTCCGAAATAATTAAAAATCACAACGTAATAAAAATAATTTGAAATTAAAAAATCCAATATTTCCAGTTTTGTTAATCAAATCTGTCAATTTTTGCAGATTAATGATGTCGGATTTCGCAATATTCATGATAATAATTATTTTTTAATTTGCAAAATCAAAATCAGTCAGTTCAAATGCACTGATCTTTTCAGTGCAATTTTCACATTATAAAGAACACATTTGACTTAATTAAAAGCATGTTATTTTATACGTAATTTTAATGTTTTTCCATTTTTATTCAAAACCACATGGTTTTAAAAGTCAATTAAAAGCAAATTTCAAAGTAATCTAACTGAAATTACTAAAATTTTATTGTGACTTAATTAAATTTTAGAGATAAAGTATTATCTATGTCAAGAAACTTTTTATCTGCATTGATAGGCATGTAAATGATTCAGTCTGCTTGTCCGTCTGTAAACACTTTTCTGTTTTAAATTTTGCAATGTATCGGCAAAACCTCTAAATTTCATAAACCTCTAAGTTCATAAACATAAGATAAAAAGATCAATCTTCAACTATATCATTTTATCCCATAGATCAGACAAAATTATTAATTAAGACTTAAAGATAAATGGTAAAATTAAACGTTATAGTCTATTAACATTGGTTATTATTAAAATAAAGTAAAAAGTATATACAACTTAGTTTTTTTACAAGAACGTAATTGCAACTTACTTATTTATACTTGCGAAAAGCTTATGTGAAGAAAAAGCACATTAAATATTTATTTACATACATTCTACTTCATCTTGAAAATTTCTTTCGTTGCTAATTGACATATCGCGTTGAAATCGTCCGTAAGATGCGCTCTCCAAAATCGACATTTGGACCAGACAATAGCCGGGTAATTTGGACTCTGTATTCCATGAAAAATACGAGCAACGCTGCGTCCAGTGAAATTATTGTCTCGATAGCTTAGAATCAAATTGCGTATGTCATTTACGATCAGTGCTTCGTTCTCGACTTTCGTCTATAAGAAAAAATTGAAACTATCATTTAATATCAAAGCAAGTAATTAAAATTACTTATAATTGTTGAAAATACATTAGGTACCTCTGTTAATGAAACCTCAATGTGCGATAAGGGATCATCCTGTTCAAAGTACGATCGTATTGTTGTTTTTAGTTCTTCAGATTTAAGTTGCGCCGCCTCTGTTAACTCTACACACTGATTGATCGAAGGAAAGCTAAACTTCCGAGATGCTATAGAAATGGCTTTAAGTTGTCTAAGAGATAATATCATCTGTGATTGACTTTGTCTGTTCAACGCTTCTAGAACTTCATCTTGTTCCTCAACTGTCAAGTCACCAGGAGCCTTGACGCGAAAACCTAATGTTCCGAAGGTAACTGTTATGGGTGAACGTTTGTTCCTTCCATCCACTAAAAAATCAAGTAAGTATTTTATAGACAAATACAAAGAGAAATGTAAGTCAACATTAGAATGAATAAATTTACCAGTACTTGTCCATTCCAATTTTTTCAATTGATTCTTAACTAACCCACTATCCCAACCAATCGTCGCAGCCGTATCAATAACTGGAAATTCAACAGTAGCATTGTGCTCAAAGTACGTTCCTCTCTTTATCGACAAAGCTATAGCCATTGCAAGCGGTGGAGACTAAAATTGAACAAAGTTAAAAATTAATGCCTCTTCACAAAACTTGAAAACAATACTCACATTTTGTGCAGCAATTTTCAAAGCATTAGCACCGGCGTAACTAATAACCTTCGCGTCGACATAAGCCGGTGAGAGTACTTTGACGAATCGTTTCGGATGAAGTTCCAAGTAACACAAAAGCGTTGCAATTGTTTCCTCCGTTATATCGAGGGAACTCACAGTATCATCAACTGCGAATGCGACTTCGTGTCCTTGACAACGAGTGTCTTTGCCAGACTCCTTGCAACTGCACGGAATGAAAATCTTCTGAAGCAGTCGTCTAATCGTGTGTCTGTCTATTCCATTGGCGTTTATGTGACGACGTAATTCATATTCGTCGGAGTTGATCTGCAAATAAAAAAAAATCGAACAATCAGAATTCATTTAATCCTAGTATCAATTATCTTATTGTAATACGTTGAAAATACAAACCTGAGGGCTGAGGAACAAATGGCAATGAGCAGGCTCACCATCACGACCCGCTCGACCAATCTCTTGTACGTAGCTTTCGAAGCTTGCGGGCATATTGTAGTGAATTACCGATCTGATATTATGTTTATTGATGCCCATACCAAAAGCAATAGTAGCCACAATGATTCTCGTCTCGGACTTCATAAACGCTGCTTGAACCTGTTTTCGCTTGTAAGCTGATAATCCAGCGTGATAAGCTTCGGCTATAGAGGATACTTTAGCTTTCTTGTTGCTTTTACATTTAGATTCCAATTGCTTGAGAGAAACGCGCAACGTAGATGCGATTCTCATGCATTCCTCTCGTCGGGTACAGTAAATAATGATAGAATCGCATTTGGCGAATCTTTCACTGAGTAGTAATCGAACTAGAGCTTCGTCTCGTTGCTCATCGCGAGATATCGTCAGAGTTAAGTTCGATGGTAAAGGTTTTTCAGATATCACTCCTGCCATCCCGTCTTTGATGCCCAAAAGAGTCACAATATTCGAGGCGGTTGACTTGCTCGCTGTAGCTGTTAATCCAAGAATCCGACTAACTCCTAATTTTTCTCTCAATACTCGGCAAACCATCAGGTAAGAAGGACGGAAATTATGCGACCAATGAGAAATGCAATGTGCTTCGTCGATACAGGCAAAAGCTATTGGTGGCAAGTAACGGAATATCGAACCGAAACCTCTTGATTTCTCTCCTGCCACAACTGCTTCTGGAGATACTAATAGAATTTGTATTTTTCCGTCTTTCAGATCGTCAATAACTTTCTCACGCACTTTTGGAGTTTGATTCGTGTGCAGACAAGCCGCAGATAAAAAGTTAGGTATCCCGGCGACTTGGTCGTCCATTAGGGACACGAGTGGGGAAACAACTAGAGTTATGCAGTGTGATTTTGAGGAGTACAAGTAAGCTGGCAATTGATAACACAAAGATTTTCCTGAACCAGTAGCTAAAGTCACAAGAGTTGATTGCCCTGACAAAATACGCATTATAGCTTTTTCTTGACCTTCGCGAAAACTTGTGTGTCCAAATCGCAAGAGAGCTTTTAAAACCTCTAATGGTGTATCTGAAATGGAAATAAAAATATAATTGAAACGATATAGTTTTTCTAATAATAGTTTCCAGTGTATTTGAAAAGTATTTACCTATCAAAGAACCATCAGGTTGCAAATTGTAAATTGGTTGAATTTCTTCAATACTTGGTGGTCTTAATTTTTCTAAAACACTTTTTGGTATTTTATGAATCGGTGCTATGGACTGCAGAAAAAAATTTAAGTTATGGCATAATGACTTTGCTATAAAAATTTTTATTTATAAGGTAAAACTTTACCTCAATAGTACTTTTTTCACCATCCTCCCAATCTGAAAAGTTTTCTAGATCGTCAATGTTAGCTTCGTCATGTTTAGCATCAGATGTAGATGCATTTTTAGGTGGAAATCTGCCATTACCACCATTCAATTTGACCATTTCTTCAACTTCTTCTATGGTTGGAAAGTTAGAGATATTTTCACATGCCTCAACAGGCAATAAAGGATCTTCTTTAACGTTTTTACATTGTCTGGCAAAATGTCCAACTTCATTACATTTGAAACACAAGACTCCATTGTTTTTGTCTATAGAATCCGCAAATTCTAAATATTTCTCACTTGAAGCTAATTCTTTTCTCTTTTTTTTCCATTGACTTTTCTTGTACTTTGAAAAGTTGAAGGTATTTTTACCTCTGACAAATACTTTTTTTTTCAAATTTATTCTCACATAGTTATCATTTAAATTTCCTGAAGCTACTTTACGTTCAAATTTTTCTTTATCAGACAAATTTTTACTATATTTAACTGCTGCAAGATCATCTCTTTCAACTTCCTTAGCATCAGATAGTCCAAGAACACGTGAGAAACTTGTTATGAGATTGCTACTTGATATTGAAGCATGAAGAGGCACACGAGGAACTACATCTAATGATTCTATGTTGTACTCAGATATTTGGTCTGGTTCACTATAGGCATTACCTTCAACTTCATCATTATTTTGAAAGGTATAATTATCTAATGGCTTATTCTTAACAGATTTTCGAGTTCTCCTTATAGTAGTTGTGGTTATCTTTGCTTTGACTTTACCTTTTCTTGGTTTACGTGTCTTTTTTTCTTCAGGTGTAGAAGCATTTTTAGTTTTATAAAGTCTATAGGATCCATTTCCTGTAGCATTTTGTACATCTTTATCTACATCTTCTTTACTTAAATTAGTTGCTGGAGTAATTGGTATTTTAGCGGTATGTGATTCACCTTTTTTAACAGAAGAAACAACTTCATTTTCATCATTTGAATTAAGCATGTATTTACTCAACGCTTCAGGTATATCACCAGCAGTTGAAGACTTTTGTACCATTCCACAGCTACTAATTTTCATAACACTACCTTTGTCTCTTTGATTTTGTGTTGCAGTAACAATATTATTGACACAAGGCTTTTTAGATGGTTGAGTCTCACTATCATTGAAAATTTTTTTGAAATTTCGTTTACGTTTACTCCTGCGCTCCTCTTCTGAATCACTATTACAAACATAATCTTCGTCGGACTGAATTTTGTCATTAGATGAGTTTCTTGTTTCAATACTTTCTTTGGATGTATGAACATAATCCATAGATTCTAATCCAGAATCACTATTTCCTGATAGCCTGTGTGGATCTGCTATACTGTTATCTAAAATTTCATCTCCAGTACATCTGCTCAACCAACCTAAATTCAATTGTTTATTATAAGTTAATGAAGTTGGATTTTTCTCTATCAATTGTTGAATGGTATTGGTTGTTGATGTAGAACTTTTCTTTTCAGCTTGAGTTACTTTAAGACTGTCATTAAAAGAGGATTCCATTAAATCTGAAATGTCCAATTCCTCGCTCCTTTCCACTTCTTTTTCATTCTTTTCTCTGGATAATTTTTCTTTTAATATATTAGATTTTCTAAATGAACTAGCTTTTCTGGGATTCCTCTTAGGAGCACTGAGGGAATTACATTTCCGTAGAGACAATTGAAAAGATGAAGACTTTTTTAGCGTTGTACATCTTTTTCTAGGCTCTTGCTTTACATCTAAGAGTTTATCCCATACCCCTTTTACATTCACATTATCGTGAACTAAAGTTACCGTTTCTTGCATAGGAGGTAAAACAGTGCCGCTAGGGCATGTATTTTCAAAATCATCTTTAGACTGTATTTTTTCTTTATTATCATCGCCCTTACTATTTTGTTGAATAATGCTTTCTGATAGACTTTCATTAGGTAAAATATTTTGTTCAGTATCTTCAAAAAATGTGATATCAGTTAATGTTTCTTCTAAAGCTCTAGTTTTTAACTTAAAGTACATTTTATAAGCTTCGCGAATGGATGGGTCAGCTACCTTAATATCATTCTACATAAACAAAAAAATAGAAATAAGTATCTCAAATAAAAAAATACCATATTATATTTGTTACCTTAGTAGGTCTGCGCCCAAACTTTTCCATAAATTCACTTTCCCAAAATTTCACTCGCATTTTGTGTTTTTGGTACTTTGTTTTAAATGTAGGATTTTGCATTAGATCCATGTCGAATTGATTTATATTAAAAATTGGCTAAACAAAATTGTTTATAATCTACCCCTTAGCCAAATAACTCTAAACTCAAATATGTACTTTATTGCACTGCAGAGTACTCTGAATATTACTAAAATTTAAGAATCGTCGCGATGATCACTAATATTTTCAGACTTTTATGTTGCTCAACTTGTACTAAAGCTACCATTTAAAGTTACTGTTCAATAAATGTATATTCTTATTGACGATTTCGAGAAATGTTAAAGCAAAACACGTTACGACATTTGACATATTTTCGAGGCGTTTTGTAGGTTATCTCACTATTATGGCGCCAGAGTAGTTCAGTTTACTAGATGGCGGTGTGGAGCCAGAGTATTTTGAAGCGCTTGCGCACTATAGCGGAATAAAAATGTTATGCGCTAATGAAATCCCTTTACAGGTACCTTGAATTTTGATTTGATTAATGATGTAGATTGAGTATTAAATTTATATGCAAATGAATGAGTTTTATCCTGAAATGTTTCAAATAAAAAATATTTACAATACAGAATATTACAACGTAAAAAATAATTCAAGTTCAATTCAAGTTACTTTAACCGAAACGTTCATACTTTTTTTTGCTAATAAACAATCAATAATAATGATATTTAAATAATGTTTAAGAAAGTGCACGAGTGCACACGCTTTAAACAATAGCTAATAATGACAAAAATGTAATATTTTATTATAAACGTTAACAGACTTTTTTGAAATATCAAAATAGTAAATTGAAAATCTATAAATCTTCAAGGCCTAATAGATCGTCGCCATCATCAAATTCGTCATCATCCGAATCAACATCGTTACATTTCTTTTTGGGACATCTTCGTTTGCACACTGGTTTGGGTTTTCTAGGACATTTTTCCGGGCATTTAGGCTTAGCGTTGAACCACGAATTAAACATTGCTGAAATAGCCATTCTCGAATTTGATTGATGAATGGCAAAGATGAACGAAGAAGTTTATCAACGTAACACGATATATACTTTGACACTCGTTCATAAAAACGGATCTTTCACTACTTGACGTAAACTAATTTATCAGTTTTTATTTTTTCTTTTGATTTAAAACCAACGTGCAAATTAACAAAATTGCTTTCAAGTAGTAAAATTTGTTTCAAAATATCCAGATTAAATAAAGTGAATGAGCAGTGAAAATTAAATTGTAAACAAACCTTTGATACGATCAACCAAACTGCATCCATCGCTAACTTTCTTCGGTTTGGGACATCGGTTAGCTTTTCTGGCTCTCTTACGAAGTATATCTTTAACTATGCAAACTATGTGCATAATATGGGTTATTGCTAAATGTAAAGTGCACAGGGCAACTGCAGCGAGAATCGGCAGACTCAACGAGGTTTCCGCTTTATCCAGAGCATCGTGCACGAATTTTGGCAGTAAATCGCACATAATGCTTCTTTAATATTTCTTTCGTTAAATTTTACTTTTTTAAGTGATTTTTTTCATACAAAAAATTTTGCCGTTACTATTGAATTTTTACTTGAAATTTTTCATCGAGAATTGTGTTAAAAAATGTGTAGGTTAAAACATCTGCGAGGCATTTCGCACAATACTGAAGAAACTTCACTCGGAATACGAGTTTTTTTTCATTTTGCATAATAACAACAAGTATCTGATCATATTGGATTTACCAAACTTTTTTCTTAAAAATGAATATTTTTTTGAAGATCTTCGGAAATAAAAAAACAATGCACAAAAGTTTCATTATTCTACTTGCCAATATATGTAACAACAGTAATTAGTCTCACTAACACCTTTAATAATTATTTACTCAAGGAATTCCAACAATTCAAGCTAATTGAATTTTCGCGCTTATTCGTAAGGTTAGGTTATATATAGTACATACCAGCAGAACTCTGCAGATAATAGATAACCTTTCGCACAGTCATAAATACTATCTACATGAAGATAACTCGATAATCTGTCCCTCCAATAGTGCATTCTGCTCCGTCTGTCTGTACACACACGCAGAAATATAAACAAAGCTCACGCTCATGTCCGAGACGGCGGCATCATCGTCATCGCCAGAAGTAGCCGTGAAAAAATCACCATCAAAAGCAGTACCGTCGACATTATCGACGTGGAGTAGCGGCCAAGTGGTGACGAAAAGTCGGAGGGTGACCGTACTGATGGTTCGGGATTACGAGAGTTTGCTAGCATAACCCTCGGCTGCGGCAAATTCATCGTCGCCGGACAGTGAGTATAATAATGCTGTCAAGAACGAGGCCGACGATCGATTCGTTCTATGCGTATAGTATAGTGAGCGAATTGATGTATTTTGATGAAAGCGCGCGCCACGCCACGGGATTCACGATTCAGTCGTCCGGCGAACAGTTTAAGTAACGGATGGACACGTTGATCGGCGTTCGTTGTGGAGGCGCGGACAGCAGCGAGCGTGTCTGCCTCGATGATACTCTCGATCTTGTCTGCAAAAGCGAACTCGGTTAGTTAATCCTATGTCGTTAAGATTTTTTTGCGCGTGTGCAGTGTTAGTGATTATCTAAAAATACTTAGTCAAAAGCCTTGTTATCTAAGATTATTAATTCAAACTTAGTACGGACGAAATATAAGAACAATACAGTTGACTCTAATTATTTTACAATGAGCTATAAATTTCCGCAGGAAGGACAATATTTTTCGTATCACAAATAATTTTGTAAAGCGTGAGTGTAATTAGTAAGGAATTAAAAAAAATTTCATTCGATCATTGTTGCAGTAAAATTCGTGCACTTCACCAACAGTTCATTTATTAATTGCAGCTCTACGTACACGTATATTGATCATATGGTATACCGTGTGCACTTGCTTGAACTTTGAAATACTTTTCAGTCAGTACAAGTGTTCAGAAATAGTCAATTGCATTCTTTACATCGTTTATATTTTTATAAATATAGAGTAAACTAATTTTTCAAAAGAAACTTGAATCAAAATCGACGTAAATAATTATATGCCTTTCATAGACCGTGAAATTCTTGCGCAACAGACCATCAACTAACGTCCTTTATAAAACAATAATATCTCTTTCTCTCTCTCTCTGTCTGTCTGTGTTAGCAAGAACATCAGAGGCAACCATTAATCATAAAGAAAGCTTCACACAAAGGGTAAACACAACGAAATTCATTGCCAGTGAGCTAAAAAAATCGATAATTGATTTAATATCGAAGCAATGCATAAAGTCTCAGTAAGTGAAGAAACTTTACTTGATTAGGGTTGTGTTTGCACTGTCCCACGGCAGTTTACTTCGCAGAACTCGCACTTTCAAAGGCAGTTTTTACTTATACCTCGGTGTGTGCGTGAGTCGAGCTGCACGCGCGCCTGCTTTACGATACGGGCAATGTAACTTTGTTGACGTCGAGCGCATATATGTTTAATAAATAAGAGATATGATTTGACCAATGATTTTTTCATTTCAGAATACATACACAAATTGAGCATGTCGAGGAGAAAGGGATTGAAGGAAAGACAATACGATAATGTGGATTACACGCAACTCACCGAGACCGATAATGGTTTCATCGATTCACAAGTAAGTTTGCTCTAAGTCACACTGTTTATTCGTCGAAAAACCTGTCATGTTATAATTAAACGATTGTTCTTGCAGTTTGTATCGCCTCCGGTAAAAGTACCATGGAAGGCGATTATACTTGCTACTCTGTTGTTTGTCGGGGGAACTGTGATGCTTGTAATAGGCAGTTTAATAGTTAGTGGGCATATTGATACAAAGGTAAGACACCTTTTTTACCAACAGAATATTCAAATCCGTGAATTGACCTCTCGCATTTTTCTTTAGTATTCCGACAGAATGTGGCCAATAATAATCCTGGGGACTTTAATGTTCATTCCTGGTGCTTATCACGTAAGAGTAGCCGTACAAGCGTATCGGCAGATACCAGGTTACTCCTTTGACGATATTCCAGAGTTCGATTGATATTTAAAAATGATGTGTAAACATAATATATGTTGAACATCTCATCGAAATGTATCAACCCTGCTTGGAAATTTTTTAAAAGCGAACAAGTTTATTTTTAGAAAAAATGTCATTGCATTTGAAAGTTCGTGTTATTACTGGGCATATACTGACTAATATATAACGAGTGTTTCAAACTCGTATGGATGTTTTGTATATAGTATTTAGTTCTTTTTTTTACACATTGTGATAACAAAGCTTTTTCTTTGAAACATTTTAATTTGTGATAAACGAGCCTTAATAAATGCCGTAATAGTTGATAATTTATTTAGTATTTTAATACGTAGATTTTGAAATAATTGATCACGTAAGTCATTACTTTAATGTCACTCATTGCTATTAATGAGAAATTGTAAAGTGACTTACTAATGACGTATTTCACATATATTTATTGTTGAACGCACAATTAAACTTCTATCGTGAATTGTATGTTTTCATAATTCAAATTGTATTATACACATACGCGCGTAGTTATATATACATATAAGTGTTGCAAATTTTGTTATGATTTTATGATATACGGATGTTTGCTTTATTAAGCTGAATAAACATAATTTTTATGTATAACATATATTTCAGATAATAAAATAACTTTTCTGAGATTATGAAACCAATGTGTACGATGACTGCTCTACATTAAAAGTAGCTTTCGATATATTATTATTTAAGTCGCAGAAGCGTAAAAATAAAAAAATTAATTAGTAGGAATTAATAATTAAGGATTCGAAAATAAAACTGTCATTAATTTTTCAGTCTGTTGAAATTAATAAAAATCGCTACTAACAAATAAAAAAGAATTTTGTCAAAAAATAAATGAATTAAAATAATTTAATTATAGATGTTCAAAAAGAAAGACTTTTCAATAGGGAATCCACATTGGTAACCTTACAATTTTGCTGTCCCTTCTGAGAACAATGCCAGTGTCCTGCGTCGTCGTCACGCAGCCTCCGCGATCGATTGCCGACTGACGCGCAATGTGTATGCAGCGTGCAATGCAAACCATCATTACACAGTGCTTTTATGTGTCTTCATCGCCCAACAGAAGCAGCGACGATGTGTAAGTGATTATTTATTGTTTACAGGCTAGCGACACGAACATTTTCAAAGCTTATCTAGTTCCAATTATTAATTGTTTATTTCATTCTACTTGTTGTGAAATTGAAGTCAGTCGATGGAAGCTTTCTATTTTTAATGGTGAATAACTTTTTTACGTTTTCCGTGAAACTATTTTTCAATGATAAACTTTATTTTCGAGTAGATTGCTTGAGGAAATTAATGGTGGTTTTAGGCAATGGAAATACCGTGTAAATGTGTTCGAGAGTAACGAGTTTTCAATAAAATTAATCAGTATTTCGATCACGTTTTCAGAATTCAACAAGGGAAAAAACGACATGGAAAACTATTCATATAAGAATTTTCGATGTATAACTGGCAAGATACAACATGTGGAGTGAGTTAATATTTATAAATAATACGTTTGTAACATAATATATATAATCATAATAATAAAAAACGATAATAGTTTATTATTAATACTTGTTGAATAGCTAAACAAAAAAAGTTTATCTTGTTCCAAATTTACTTTTCTTATCTTTTATTTTAGATTACCTTCATAAATGGGGCAGAAAAAGCTCGAGAGACAGACTATACGACAGTGTCGATTATACTCAGCTTACAGAGACTGATAATGGATTTATAGATTCACAGGTAAATGTATAGCTACAATAATAGATTGTAATTTCCCATTTTCAAATAATATCTATTCAATTATTTTTGCAGCTAAGTCCTCCATCAAAAATCCCTTGGAGAACTGTTATTATAGCGACACTATTGTTTTTTAGTGGCACTGTAATGGTGATTGTAGGTTGCTTGACAGTAAGTGGCCGCATTAATTCAAAGGTAAAACTTATTTTTATTTTATCGTTTCAAAATCCAAAGTGAATCTTTGGATTTTTCATATTACTCTTAACACTTACTATGAAACCTTGTCTGCAAACTTGTATAGTGTGATCTAGGTCAAATAACTTTGAATCAAAGGATTAAAATTTTATAAATAAATTATATTTATCAAATCGCGTCAGTTATATAGAATTATCAAAAATGTAGAAAATTAATAACTATGACTTACAGCTAATATGATGAATGTTTCATTACTTTTATTATAGCTTTCTGGTTGGATGTGGCCAGTAATTATCTTAGGTCTTCTAATGTTCATACCAGGTGTTTATCATGTGAGAGCAGCTGTTAAAACTTATCGAAAAGCTCCTGGTTACTCCTTTGACGACATCCCTGATTTTGAATAGACGGTTACAGATAATATGGTGTACATACATAATTAAAATTCAATTGGAAATAAAATTGAAATACATCATTTCTATAAAACCTTTAAGCAAGGAGTACAGTTCCAAACATGACATGATCACTACTAAAATTTTTGTAATTTAAACTAATATTTTCAACCTACTATAATATTTGAACAATTTGTAAGAAGACATAAAATTAAAAGCAATACCACTTTCATTTACCGTTAATGTATTTTAGTACAAGGCTACTATTATTTTATAATGCAAATTATAATATAAAAATAAAATTACTAGAGGGGTTTATAAAAATACAGCAAAAAATAAAAAAAAAATAAATTCTTTAGATTCTTCTTTATCGTTATATTTAAACCTCAAAAATATGTTAATAAACTTTATATGATATTGACAGCCGCTTTGAAAAACAACAAATTAAACATCTGCGAAAATTTCAACAGTTACATATACAGCTGTTTCTATATTACAGCAAAACAATTACATTGCTTTGATTTAATCGTACATGAAACGATTCAAAATAAACTTTCTTTTCAATTTAAACGTTAAATATAAGAAAATTAACTTTCAAAGATCTTTTTTTCTTAATTAACATAGACATTTCAAACATTTTATAAGTTAATCTTATAAATCACAAAAGCGAAGTAAATGCATGCTTTTTCGAAAAGAAAAAAATAGTAAAAAAATATCACGTTAAATAAAAAAAACGTGTAAAATTACAAACACGAAATCAATATGCTCATAGCATAAGTCATCTAGTTACATTAAAAATTTAAGAAATTGGTATCTAATGCCAATGTTTCAAGTAGTTAACAAGCGTTCTACTCATTATTTTGCAAAATCTATCTGCTTTTGACTGGGAAAGTTTTATTGGAGGATCAAACCGTGTAGATAATATATCAGATATTAGAGATCTCATTTGTCTATTGTTATTCAAATTAATTGAAGTCACAGTTTCATCTTTGTAGAGCCGCTTGCCAGTTGGTATATCCTAAAAAAATTAAACATTTAGTATTTTTTATAAGTAAAAAATGTGATATTTACCTAAAAAAGATACTTACTTCGAACACTAAGATAACCTTCAGATGACTTGATTTCAATCTCGGTATCGTTGGTCCAAGGTTTATTGTTAATTGACGTATTAATCTTTTCAACATCAAATAAATTTCTTCTTCAGTATAATTTACATCAATGATCAACGTTGTAAAGCCTTGTCTTATCTAATACAAAATACATTTCATTAAACACTTTGAAAATAAGTTTGCATATCTTAAATATTATATTAAAATATATACATTAATGTCTGGGTAATATCCCAGGTGAACAGCATAATCTAAAATCTGATTCACCAAAATGTCATCTACCGGAAGCAACCTAGACAGAATCTCTTGATAAGTCGGTTTTTGAAATGTCATGTCATTAGCCATAACTAATCTAGTAATCTCTACAGCTAAATCCAATCTCCTATGCACAAATAATAGTAAAGTAAGCTTATCTAAATAACGAGACAGATCTGCAATAAAATTGAATAACAAATGAATAGAGTACAGAAAAATTAGCATTCAATTGATTATATATTCATTAGAATTCTTAAATTATATATTGAACAGTACAATTGTATTTTATAAACAAATAGAAATAATAACTAGTACATACCAATAGGATAGTAGTAAATATATTGATCTGCCATGAGTTCTTTATACAAGAACACAGCTTTTTCTGGTTCAACATGAGCTAGAGCTTGCAGCAAAATAAAGACAACTTTATTACGATGTTTTTCATCAACTTTTTTACTGTCTGACACGAGCCATTCATCCCGATTAGTACGGATTACCTTTGTTCCTGCAAAAAAAGTAGTAAAATGTTTGAGCGAATTATTGCTTGTAAGTAATGCAGATTCGAAAGAATGCAAAAATTTCTGATAATTTAATATGGCATTTTGAGTCTTACTTACATGCCATTGACTTTTAGTTAAATAATCACTTGCGTACACTTACATGACGATGAAATTCGTACATGCTTTAGAATCTCACTACTGACTTTGATTAATTTTAGTTAGTAACTTTACCGATGTATAAATTTTGATAAATATTTTATCGATGTAGATATCAGTGGAGTAAACTATTTGAGGAATCACAAGTGTTGCCAAAATCAAAATTAAATAAAAAATTAAACCTTCAATTGTATCAAAAAGAAAAAATTATGACGTATTTTTAACAATCAAAAGCTCCGAGAACAAAATTCTAATAGTCATTTAGTAAAATTAACAATTCTAAGAAAGAAATTTTATTCATCAGATTTTTTTTCATCAAAATTAAAAAACACAGAATTCAATTTGAAACAATCTGAAATTTTTCATTTTAAACAACCTTGTAAGTGAAAATCTGAAGAAATCTCCACCAATATCTAAACGAGACTAACTTAAGAAATAAAAGATATTAATAAAAAGCAGATTTCAAGAAAAAAAAAGAGTGAACTAGTATGGCAAAACTCACTTTGCAATAAGCAGAGTGCCTCTATTGGTTCACTATTAGCTAAGTGTATCTCAGCGCTAATAAGAACGAAAGTGACGTGCGAAACGTCAGGCTGAAATATCGTCATATTTTTCAACAGCTCCGCAGCCATCACCCATAAGCCGTTGTCACATAAATGGACAAGGGCGTGCATAGCAACTTCAAAGAGTAAGCGAGTGGTATTTTCCGTTGATTTTCTTGCTGCAAATATGATACTTAGCAAGGCAAAGAATAACCAAAGATACAAGAAAATATTCCTTCTCTTTATTACTCGATCATTATACATTAGCGTTACCTCATTCTTTGTCTCCATACAAAATATAAAATACTGTATACTACAATAAGTTTCTATAAAAATGTCAATTCTAAGATTTTTTGGCGAGTCCCTAGTTGTATATCATAAAAATACTTTTTACATGAAATGAACTTGAAATAAAAACCGGTTTTAGTCAATTTTGTCAATAACTTAGTTTGAATATTGATAACGTCATTTATGAGGTATTAAATTTAGACAAAAAGGTAAACTGAACTATTTTTTAACATGTGATAAATCATTTACTTCGAATTAATATCATCTACTGAGTATATCAACTTAACATTGGAAAAGTATTAACATTTACTACATATTTAATATATATGATATATATATATATATATATATCATATATATATCATATACAATATATATATAAGTATCATATGTTCAACGAGACAATACCATCTTTCAAGTCTAAATGAAAACAAATTTAAAATTTAAAATTCAATATTTTGCGTAAGATTTATAAGTTTCTAATAATTACATAACAAAAATGTTGAATTTTTCAAAAACTAGTAAGTTTTAAAATAAAATTGGTACGTTTGATAATAAAAATATTTGAGTACATCCAGCTTTGATATATACTAGAGAGTATACCAATAAGAAATATCAAAGTGACTCATCTATACTTATACATTAACAATTGATTTCTTAAAAACCACAAGATAAACATTTCCTTTCTAAATATATTAAAAGGTATTGTAAATTTCATGGTATTGTTGAAATAGTTCTTGGTTCTAAAAACTCGACAAGAGGATGATACCTACCTGCTCTCTTGAGTACTTCACTGAGATGTTGCTCAGAAGTTTTCACATTTTTACAAAGGATTTGATAAATTCCTCTTTTGCAGATTTCATTGGGCATAGGTTCTTGACAAAACTTATCTAGCTGTTCCCAAACGTAATCGTAATCTTTGTGAGTCAGTCCTTTCGATACGTTATCCACAGCTGCATAAAGTTTCCAAAATTTATCCCTAAAAACACTTTTAGGCTCTGGTACGGCTGTAAAAATGAAAATGTTTAATAGATATATTTTAAAAATATCGTATATCAAATATTCACTATAAGATGTGAAATCAAACAATTGAAAAAGTTAATTTAACCGTAAAAATGCAAATATTTAATTTTATTACTTACAAACTTCATTAACTGTGTACTGAGTAAAATTTGTACTTTCATCTTTCTCAGGAGTTTGGAATGGATTCCCATTTGGTGAAGTATTAGGAGTATTGTCTGGAGATTGTGGAGTCTGGGGCACTGTCTTTATAACAGTACTGTTAATACTGTTGGCATTTCGTTGAATGACTATTTTCGATGCATTAACTGACTCCCGTTGAAAACTGTAATTCAAAAATTGAATTGTTCAAACTGTCATATAAATTTAAAGTGTATTACAGAAAATTTTAGATTAAAGTTTCAATACTCCATAATCAATGTATGATTTAATTTTGATATTCAACTAAACAATATTATAAATTTTTCAACGATTTTTGATAACTAATAAAATACCAAAATACATCACTTACTTTTTGCCATTAGTTAAATTATTCGTAACATTCATCAAAGGCATTGTACCTAATGTTTCAGTATCTTTGACCATAGGATTTTGTTTGGTTACCAATTCCTCAAATTGTTTCTTTAATGATTGACCTATTTTATTTCGTTCATATGCAATCATCTTCGTTTTGATGAGTTTATCTATTTCTAGTATATGATTACGATCTTTCTTCCTTTTCAAACACTGCAACATAATGATCTCTACGATATCACTCGGTGGCGCAGCTTTTGTACAGATGCATTTGATCGTTTCCCAACAAAATCCATCCTCCAGTTTATCTTTTATTGCCATGCAGATAGCCTGCACCGTTACAGAATCATTTTCTTCAAGCATAGGTGCAATTTTTTCGAGACAGGAATTTACAGTGTATGCACCTGTTGATAGACTGTACCTGAGTAGTTCAATCACGAAATGTTGACTGCGTTTACCTGCCTTATACAATTTTGTGAAAATTGTAAAGGCATCATTTTTGATTATTGGTAGCATTTCTTTCCAAACTTTATCAAGATAATAATCAAAATTCTGGTCGATAGATGTTTCAAGTATTGCTTTGATAAACGGAGGATCGTTAGTTTTTATCTTTTTCAATAACATATAAATCTGAAATAAAAATAATCCATTTAAATAACGTATTGAAATAAAAATTCGATTTCTTATAGCTAATAATAGTATAACTACAAATTTTAGATAAAAAAAGGAAATTTTTTCAAAACTACGAAGAAAAAAATTATTTAAATTGAATGCCACGAAACTAAATTGAAGTCATTTTTCACAAAAAGCTCAAAATTTAAGTATTAAAAACCACCTTGTGTATCCATTTAACTTCCGTCAGGATACTGTATGTAAACAAAGCCTGCCTTTCTTCTAGAAAAACTCGAGAATTCTAAAAATAGCTGGATGTTTGCACACTGTTTCGATCAAACATCTAAACTATTCTAAAAATAATTCGCGACAATATATGAAAACAAAAACATACTCACTTGATGTTGGAATTTGCAGGTGGTGAGTTCATTTTTGCACTTGCCGTCGCGAAGCAACTTGTAACATTGTTTGTTGAAGAAAGTGAACTTTGGATCACTAAGCCCAATGATCGTCGTATTAGGCTTATTGTCGAGGATCGAACGATGATCAAACTCACTAGGCATGTTATCATTTCCATCGAAATAGACATTATGTTCATCCGTATCCATTATCAAATTATCTTGATCTTGCATCATCTGCTCCGTATTCATTTGGTAAAACGAGTCTACGTTGAAAGGGGAGTTAGCTCTGAATTGTGAGTTAGACACTCTTATCGGCGGTGGAGGTACATTCAAGTTCGGAGGCGGTACATTCGCGATCGTTGCATTTGCCGTTGATGGTAGTATCTATAAAATATTTTGCTTTATTATTATACTAATTTGTCACTCGCGGTATATGAATATAATGGCTTATTTAAAAGTAAACTTTTGTTGTTTTGACTGAATTGATCTCACCCTTGGTAGTTGAGACGCCGGTTGCGTTCCTAGTCGATTGGCAAGTGAGTTTGCTGCCGTTGTCGTCTTGATCGGCGTCGCGAGCGTTGATGAAGCGCGAAGCGCGTTGGTTGGTGCTCGGCGATTACCCAAAGCGACCGGTACTCCCACTCTTGCTCCTACTCGCTGTTTTGCTGAAAGCCTGTGTTGCTGTGGCGCATATTGCATTATTGACGATGCTGATGAAATCTCTGACGTTACAGTTGTCTTCCGATATCTTTCCGACTCAAATTTCCGATGTCGAGGACTTGAATCGTTATCATCTTCATCGCTACTACGAGACAATTTTGTTTGTTAATTTTATTTTTTCTCCCATCTTGTTTATAATTCAGCAACATTTGAAATTAAAAGGCATGATTAATTTGGATGTGTCAAAGTCAAATTTAAAAAGGTCATTTTGACATATCAAAAATAACCTTGAATTATACAGCAGATATCAGATTTCTGTTAATACTATTGTAGAAGAGCATAACGTGCATATTTAGGGACAAACTTCAAATGTGTATACGTGAAACAAAAACGACCGCATTTCTTGTACCGTAAAAAAAAAAACAAAGCAAAAAAAGCGCAGCTACTTTAGGAGGAAAAACGCGCGTGGAAATGTCGTTTTCAGGCCCTCTTATTCTAAAGACTAGTCAGCCTGCATCTTTATTCGCTCTTATAAGAAAAAACATATAAACTGCTGCGGCTTAGATTTATTTAAAAAGATGACGCGTTTGGTACAAACGACCGCAGTAATAAAATTTATAATTACTACACGGTAATATTATTATATAATAATATGTATCTCGAGAATTCTCAGAAAAGTCACGAATCTTAGTAAAATTCTCCAAATAATAAGATGAAAAAGTGTAGATATGATATTGAACTTGAACTTTTCATTTAAAAATACTTGCCAAAGGACCATACAAAACTTGCAAAACTAGTATAATTTCTATCGCACACTATTCAAAATATCGATACATGCCACAATAAACAAAATAACGAGAATACTTACGACTCGTAAAAATCTGAAATGCCAGGATGTAAAGAGATGTTGTCATCATCTGTTTCATAACCCCTATGAGATTTAATTAGCGTCGTAGACTTCTTAGATTTGATGATGTTTAATAAAAAATTCTGTTCAGGCGACGGTTCTTTTGAACCAAGCCTTTGAAATACGCTACGTTTCTTTTCTGCAGCAGGTGAACTTTGTCCAAATTGAGACACTTGTGACAGTTGTGGTTCTGAAATCGACGCATTGTTGTTTGACTGGGAAAGCTCCTGTTCAAGCTTTGCTGCTCTCTCGGCCTCTTCACGTTCTTTTCTTTTACGTAATCGCGGATCCACGATTGTGACTTCCTCATCACTTTCTGCTTGTTGGTTATTTAAAAATTTGTTTTTTAGTAAGTAATAATTAGTGTTGCCGTACAATTTGTATTTATATTATATTTTATATTGTGAATTTCAATATAACTTTTTTATTAAATACATAATAAGTGTATTGAAAAACAAATCGAGCAGTTTTACAATAAGCAATTTTTTAATATGAAATTACATTTGTTGATTGTAAAATATACCTACCATGAAAGAACTCATTTTTGTTATTCAGACTTTGTTTTTATTTTTCATGAAATGCTTTGATCATTAAGTATTATAAAAGATTCAAAAATACTAAACGAACAAAACATTCAACGAAAAATAAAAATTCGATAAGGTATAACGCAAACTCATATTTATAAAGAAACACACCATCTTGTCTTACCTATTCTCGATAAAATTTTAGTAGGTGTAGTTGGATCGGACGTTCTTGGTCGACTCTGGCCTCTCGTTAATCTCGGATCAGCAGAAGAAATACCAGGCGACTTTTGGATACTAGATCTGGTCACTCTCACATCGGTCGCAGGCACACTAAGCGATTTGTTTGGGCTGAGTGATTTATTTAAGCGAGGATCTCTAAGCTCTGACAAAGAAACTGAACTAGCTTTATTTGATTGCGAATTTTTGCGTGGAATTCTGGGAACATCAACGAGTTTTTTGAATGATCTAGTCGGCCTCGTGGCTGTTCTATCCTGGTCATTCGAACCACTCAATTTAGATGAAAAAGCTTTGCTTGAAGTTATTGGCAATGTAGTCTCTGGGTCTATTTGTGTTGATATATGTGTCTCACTTACATTATTATTGAAGACTGACAATGACATGGAATTTTCTGAAAAATAAAATATTACCAATAATCTGTATTGTTTTGATCTAAATATTAAAAATTTCTTTAGATTTACCTTTCTTATGAGTATTTCTTTTTGAATAATAGTTCAAAACAATGCCGTTAGTCGAATCTTCTACATCTTCACTGCCTTTATATAATGTGATGCTTTCGTTATTTGTTAAACCAGTAATATCTTGACAAATTTCATCAAAGCTCTCATCTACATCATTACCAAATGTAATTTTAGTTTTGGCATTATGGTACTCTTTTACACTCTCCTTATTGTTGAGGTTACACTTCACCTTTTGTAGACTAGCTTTTAAGCCTCTTGTTCTTGGCGTTGCACTGATAGCTTTAATTTGTCGATTCACACCATTCAAATCAGGTTGGTTGAAATTATCTTCATTACTAAAAATGGAAAAACAATAACAAAGATAGAAATAAAAATTGTTTTTTAACGAAATTTTTATACAATTAAATACCTAAGTTTTTCAACTCCATTGATTTCAGCAAAAACATTGAGAGGAGATGGAGATGTTTCAAGACTTGATTTTTCGTATTTTTTGCGAACAGGAATATTATATATAGGGTTGGATAATTTTGTATCACTTTTTATTTTGGGTTTCCCTTTAAACTTGGTAGAATCATTCTTAATTGGTGATGATTCAATGCTCGATGTTGGAGTAAAATCTATTACTAGTCTATCATCAGATGGGGAGTCTAACTTTTTAACATAATCATAAAGATCATCTGAAAGATTATCATTAGAATTGTCATCATTATCTCTATCACGCATGTTATTAGTTGTGAAAATAGTTTCTGAAAAATAACATAAGTTTAAATAGAAATGAAGTCTCACAATTACAATTCAAATTCTAAATAAATTTAAATATGTTCCATTAGTAATAAGTTAATCAATTTCCATGTTACATTAATAAATTATTTTCACTATACCTTTTTTAATTATTATAGATTCAGGAGAAGCTGCAGATTTATTAATAACATTGTTTTGAATATGAATATCTTGTTCTTTAATATTGTCGATGGATCTTTCTTCATCTCTATCTTCATTTTCATATTGGTCATATCCTTCACCAAATGATATAATAGGCCTTAATTGATTATTGCTTTGGTTCAGATTATTTTCAATATTTGCATTAACTTGTTGACAGTTTACAGATAAGCTGTCATATGTTTTAATGTCAACATCACTATCAGTGTCATCATCACTTAAAATATAGATTCGAGATCTTTTACATTTCATTTTTGCACTTACACCTTCTTCGTTTCTAATTTCACCATGTTTGTTATTCACCTGTTCATTTGTTTGTACAAGACCATTTTCATTTTGAACCTCATTATCAATTACATTACTTTCATCTTCCTTTTTAAAATTGTTGAAAAAAGTTTTTTTTCTGAGCCTGGCATTTTTAATACTGCCAAACTTCTTGGTCCAAAAGGATTCTTTCTTTTTAGAAATTGGAGAACTGGTTCGTGCTTGCTCATCTATTGAAAATGGATTAGCTACAATTTTATCCTTTTCAGCAAACTTTTGGCAATTTTTAAATTTAAAAATTTGAAATTCTTCATCTGAATCAAATACTGTATTATTAGATAGTTTTGAAGGATGAAGTTTTTTTTCCAAAGAAACTTTATGAGAGCTTTTCAAAGTTTTTAAATAATTGTGAATGTTTTGTTTTATTCTTTTAGTCAATTTCTTCTTTTGCAATGGTTCATTACTCAGTAAAGGTTCGTTTTCTATCAAGTTGCTAGTTGCATTTTCATTATAAATACTATTACATTTTACGGTACATGAAGTGTAATCTTTGGTCTTCAGTATTTTCTTTCCCTTCCTTCTGAATGCTGTAGATGTAATAGATTTTTCCAATTGTGTAGAATTGAGCAATTCTCTTTTGACAGAGACATATTTAACAATGGACACTGTTGGCTGATTACACAAAAAATAATAAAACCTCTTGGCAGATTTTGAACTAATACCAAATTTTGAGGCAACAGAAGTATAATCTCTTTCAGGATAGTTTGTTAATACTTGGTCTGATGGTATCGATACAACACTTACAGATGTAAAACTTCTTGTATCTTCATCTTCTAACTTCAAGAAAGAGTCATTCATAAACTGGCTATGTTGCTCTAAATATTCTTTATTGAGTGCCAACATACTCCTATGTAAATATTTTATTAAAAATTAGATTTTAAAATAAACTGAGATAAATTTAATGAAAATATGATTAAAAAAAATTATAATACAAATTTAATTTATATCTTTTAATAAGAATAACTGGATTGCAAGGAATTTTTAGCAGAAATATTTTTTTTTCTTTAAGCTATTTTGTAAAAAATAATATAGAACGAAAAAGTAATGAAAACAAGCATGTTAAAACGATATGCTAGCAAGGCTTACACGCTAAAACAGAAGGGCAGCGAATTGTAAACAAACACTAGAGGTCAAAAAAACAGATTCATGTCGTGGTTAAAAAGAACTGAACTCGTGCATCTAGTTACTTCATAGATATTTTATTCGATTGCAATTAATCGGCTGTAGAAAAAGATTGAAATTTTGTTGTCTTTTGCTTTGATATAAGGGCTTTGTTGTCTTTTGCTTTGATATAAAATAGCAAAAATATCATGTGGCAAATGGTACAAGTTGCTTTTGATAAACATAAACATGACGAGTTTGCATATTTATTTTTGGTAACAGGTGAAGTCGCAGAAATGCGCTGCTAAAAATATAACACAGTTCAGTAATATCAGTTGACTTGCCTTCGGCGTTTACTTGTCATTGTAACTCGCGAGGTTGACGGCGAATCAAACGGGCTTTTTCTTTTTTTTAACGAACCCGGCGGCGATTCCTGTGAACCCATGGTTGCAGTAAAGTTGATCCTTTTTTGCGTAACACTCTTGTAACAAAGAACGGCCTACGATGATTATTTCGAAGGCACGGACATTATATAGCGCAAAAACGCACCACCGGCGACGATGAAGAAACAAAGAAAGTCAAAAAGCCGGTGCAAGAACTGATTAAAATACTAACGCAAACTCACTTGATTTTAGTCTACATAATTGTGTACTTGTTACTTTTTGCACTCGACGATAATATATGGGTCATTCCTTGGGAATCTTTTCGTATGTGACTACTAAACGAGCTTAAGGATTAGATTGCTTCTCCGCCGTTCGAACACGCACTGCAACTACTGCCGAAACAAGACTCTGAGTACCTATTTGCTCGCTCTGTACTCTCGTCGTTAGACGGAACGTCTGGGCATCATGGCTGCCAACGCTGCGGGATAGAGATTCGAACCACGAAAGTTCTGTTATTTCTACTTCTACAGTTTTATATAGGATGGTTAAAATATATTACATGATTATCAGTGAAATTGAAGGTTAACATTTTTTTATGATGTCATAACAGCTATGGTAAACAATCAAGATGCTCGGCTAAAACTGTCGCTATTTTCCAACTATGTGTGAAATACATAAGTGGCGTTAAAATGTTTACGATTTACGACACTGTTGATATAATCGATTTAATATATTTCCAAAAATCAATGGTTCATTAAAATTAATGATCATTAAAATTACAAACAATTAGAAACGACCGAAAAATGTAAGTATAGGCTGTTAGTATATATATGTATGTATATGTACATAACGGAAAAAGCGCGTGTGTAATATGATGCTCAACCTTCAGATATGAGACCTCTAATTTTACAAAAACATACATAAAATTTCATTGATTTAAGTAATCTCGCAGATTTGCCCGTCGATGTACCATATCTATTTATCGATTATCATTTGGACCGAAATAAAAAAATTAATAAATGACTTACTCGAATTGCATAAAATGTACATAACTTATATTGATTTTCTGCTTCTAGTGTACGTAAATTTTTCTATTTTGTATAAGTGACAATTGTTAAAAATGATCGGAATTCAACAAATCTGGAATAGTAGGAATAACATTGTTTCTTACTTACGCGTGTAAAAATAAAAAAATCGTCAGGGATACTGCAGATTACATTTTTATTTGCTCATTTTTGCAATTAGGTACACAAAATTAACTTAGCACGCAGTTTTCGATTCTCAAAATCTCCTCAACGGAAATTTACCTAGCCGTAGAGAGAGAGAGAGAGAGAGAGAGAGAGAGAGAGAGAGAGAGAGAGAGAGAGAGAGAGAGAGAGAATATGCGATAGTCAATGCCAATACTATATGTAAAAATTTAGTTTCGTAACACAATTAACAAAATAAAAAAATAGCTTAATTGTGTAATATATTATTGTATCTGTTGGATTATTTAACATATATCAATCACTTATATGTATAGAGATATTATATGTGTAAAGAGTTCAGTGTTTGTAAACGACTTAATTTTTATTAGAAAATATTGAATTTTATAACAAAAAATTTGTAAACTTCCTATAACTTTCTTGATTGTTAGAATTCCTTCTCATATGCACTTGTGTCCTAAAGTATAAATATATCGGTTTATTCTAGTTTCTCGTCTCGCTAATTAGTTATGGACTTTACAGACTCTTAATATTCAGATCTATGTCAAGAAAAACGTTCTCGTCATACATATTTAAAAGAAGAAATATAAAGTTTTATCCAAATAGTCACCCGCAGCCACGCAACTTATATTTGTAGCCGATATGTGCGCGTGTGTGTGTGTGTAGATTTGACTGAAACTACGACAAAGGGTTTCGCTCGCCTACCGCTTTTCGAAGTTGATCTCTCTCATTTGCTCTCTTACACGCTTATCGCTACCTGCAAATCTCTCTCACTCACTATCTTGCATCCTTATATCACCTACAGTCCTACATATTTTTCATTTTTTACGACTGATCGGGCTTTCGTAATACTACAATTTTTGAGCACTTATCAACAGGGAAAATAAATTCTCTGCCATACAAAAGAACGAATTCGCCTCGTAGCACGCTAGCTACGATATGCACTCTGGTTTTCATTATTTCTATGATTTCTGATGAGTTGAGGGTTCTTCCTTGTCATTGCCCACTACTTGACGATACGGTTGGGTGTCTTAAATAGTTTCTGTTAGAATGACAATTAACTCTGCGCGCTTTATTAATTGAAAATCAGAAAGACAGATCGTGTGACTACTGTCCGGCCGAATTGAACTGATAGCGCGTCATGTCCTTATGGAAATGCGTATGCACCAACCGACAAATATACTCCAAGCTGTGACTTTCTTATGTCAGGTTAGAGCGGAAGGTCACTCTCACGAGGCTTCATCCACGACAGATTACCTTTCATTATTTCTACGATTTATCGTCTATGTTTATATTTAAAGCAAAGAAGCGCTTTTTTCTGAAAGCATACGAAAAAGGCACGTTCTTACGGCAGCACTGTCTTCCTTAGACTGAAAATCAATGAACTCTTAATGAGCAATGCGGACATAAGTACACTAGTTTTATGACTCTGCGTCATCGCTCTTATTTCACATTTCTTACTAATATTGTATCTGATTCTCTCTATAAGTCGATTGATTTTCGTTACCTCGAGAAGCTAAATTCTTTATTCATATATTCCAACACTTTGCGATGAAGCTATCTTGCCAAAAAATCAAAAGATATAGATCTCACCAAGATAGACGCGTTGTCAAAGTTTGCTGTCATTTTTTTCGATAGATTTTTTATAATCAATTTCCCTTATCACGCTATGCGAATTAACAATATTCATAAAATACGTAGAAAACCTTGTATTAGACTCGTCCATATCTGTGTAACACTAAAATTGCGCCTTTCTATATTTCTTTAATTAATCATGAATTTTTCAATTTTTTTCAGCATTTTTGATTTTGAAATGGAAAACGGATCAACTTTTCTCGATTCTCTGTACACGCGCACAGGTTTTATTTTTGCAAACCATAGTACAATAGCAATTAATTTTATTGGTATAGTTTTTTTTTATTTTTTCTGTTTTTATGGGATTTACGTTGGAACTTTTAAGTTGAAACTTCTACAGTTTACTATATAAAGTAATTCAGAATCTTAAAAATCTGAAGAATCTCAAGTATTCCTTAAGATATTTGCAATTTTGTATGCGCAGAGCAGGTCGCTAAGACAACTACTTTACGATTTGACACCTTGTCCGAATTTTTCGTATATTCTTACACTTTTGTTCAGAATGTACAGTCTGCAGAAAAATTAAGGTAAGTAAATAATTAAATAATAAGTTCAATTATCAAGATGCGATAATGATTATTTGATGCGATGAAAGTATTTGACGGTCATAATTTTCTAGTATGTACGTTATTAATTTTAAGAAATATAGAAATATCTACTCTATAATAAGCAAATATTTCGTCTAAAATAATAAAAATAATGAATAGAAGGAAGAAGAAACCTTACGAAGCTCGTTGCGTTTATATGAAAATATTACTTATTCGTTGAGATATGAGTAAAAAGAGCTTTATAGTCAATTTCACTTGATTGTTTAAGAAAATGCACATGTCGACACTGTGATTTAACGATATTTTATTTAATTTACAAAAAAGAAATAACAGCATATATTTGAAAAGAATTCAATCTGCCTCTTACTTTAAAATTTATATAAGAATCACAATTGAACGAGAGAAAAATGCTACATTTGGTCAATCTCTCGTCAACGATAAGATTACAAGTAGCGTACAATTATAGAGTAAAATGTAAAAAAATATTGGCGAATGTCTTGCATATGCGATAAGATCGCGACAATGAGGCAATCACTTGATAAATACAACATAGAAAAAACTGGTAATCAGTCCTTCTTAGAAAGTACCCCACGAGAATATTTCTGCTTGGGACATAGTTATAGTTGACTTTTCTAAATGGATTGGTATTCATTGAGATTGATACCGGCGTATTGCGCCTGTTTGTTGATCCAACTTCTACCGGTGGCAATGTTTGCGTATACACCTGGCACATGGTTTTCTCCACATCCGATACCCCATGCAACGATGCCTGCTTGCACGTATTTACTTGGATTCCTTTTCATGGGACATACCAATGGACTGCCACCATCGCCCTGAATTAAAATGCAAACGTAAACAATATAATTTTTGTATGTTAATGGTAAGTAGCTTGTTTCAAAGTACGCACCTTGCAAGTATCCTTGCCAGCTTCACCACCAGCACATATGAAGCTACTGTGAAGCTGGAAGTATTTTCCTAATCTCGTCGTCCTAAGAGCATTTTGACACTGATCGTTCGGCACTATTGGCAATTCGACGCGCTTGAGTATCACCTGGTAATGACCTTCCTTACCTGCAATTCGAAAGAAACGACAAGTTGTTTGTTGGTTCGTCATTTTTTATCTCACTGTTTTACAACTTTGTGTTACATAAATGAATACCACGAAAATGTCGAAAAACAATCGTAACGGAAGGATGGAAAACGTGCAACCTACCAAAGATATCCTTTCCCCATCCACTAGCAAAGCATCTCGAGTAGTCGAAGTTGTCGGTGGGTTCAGGCAAGCAGACGATACCGACATTCTCGTTGTTTAGGTCGACAGGATCGACGAGGATGAGCAGACCGAAATCGTAGTACAAAGCTCCTTTGTGATATTGCTCGTGGGTGATGACGCTCTTTACCAATCGATCTTGATGTGGCAGCACTTCGTTCTTCGTCTGAGTGTCCCATTCGCCAGCACGGATCTTCAGGATTGATGGATTCTTGCTGTTGAGTGTAGCCAAGCGAATGAAGAATAAATGTCGATCGAAAAATGAGAAAGTATTTAGATCACACACTCGAAAACGCAGTGGGCGGCGGTAAGAACGATTTTCGGATGAATGAGCGCACCACCGCACTGGTAAACGTTGAGTGGTTCACCGTTGTTGCCGACGTCGTCTTCCTTGAGAACAGCGACCATCCAGGGGAATTCACCGAATTGTGCTTCGTTATCCTTGGCACCAGTAATACGGAAGCCGACGCCGTCCGGATTACGTTGACCGCAACTCTTACGTTCTAGTGGTGGTCTGACTGTTGGGATGTTCACGTCCTGTCCTGGAATTAGGTTGGGCGGTGTGCAACACACTTCCAAGTAGTCGTCGCATCCACCTTGAACCCTGTTAGCACGAGGTGGCGATTGGTTATTCAAGGCTTACTTGTAATTAATTTTGTTTTCCATATTCGAATAAAAAAAATGACCTAATGTCGATGATACCAGCGCCATTTTCGGTGATGCTACCGTTTTGGCACTGATAGTAAGGCACACATTCGCAGCCACCTCGTTCGGCACCTGGGAAGTTACCTCCGTTAGCGCCAGGAAAGCCAGTGCGGTCACCACCTGGTAGATTGTTGTTGCTTGGCGGTTGATTGAATACCTGACTGATTATGTAATCGAGATTTTGCGTCGTCGTTTCAACATTCTGACGTTGCGCTTCTCCCGAAGGACTGTTGCCAGTTTGGAAAACGTCCTTGATAAGATCCTCCAAACTTCCTTTGGCAGGCTTATCTGGAATGATTTTTCAATTGATTACGTGTTTGATCAAAACGTATCGTATCTTATCAGACTAATGGTGTGCGATGCGCCGTATGCAAACATTAGTTTATTCGTGCTTTTACCTTGAGGAGCAGCCAAGCAGGAAGTAATCAGCAGGGCCGATAACGCGCCGATCATCCAACTCATTTTTGCTATTCTCTTTTTCTGAAATAGCAAAAGAATATAATGACAAATCAGTCGACGAAATAACGTCATTTCTTATAAACCATATTTTTCTGTACATGTTTGCTAACGCCAATCGCAACTCAGCTTTAGCGTAAAAATTGTTAGATTAGATTTATGTAGCTGAACAAATACGAAGATAACAATAGGCATAACGTTTCATATTTTTCTATGTATTAGTGTTCCACGTATATTGACGCTTAAATAGCTATGAACACTTTGCACAATGTAATTGTGTGCATGCATGTAATTATTGTAACGCTATATCTACTTGTGCATTTTTTATTTTTTTTTTTGAAATCTCATACGCAAGATACATAGCGAATGTAAAACTCGCGCTTGGCATTGTTATCAATAGATATTATTATATGAGTATTTACAGATTTTATAGTTATGCTGATGAGCTGATTTTACATAATGATTAGAATAACTTTATTCTTACGTAAAAAACATTAGCATAATTTATTTTTGTAATCCGACTTTTCTCGTCCTCTTTCCTCAAATATAGTAATGTCGCAATACAAATTGCCCAAACTTCATTGCCAAACTTTATTACCAAATACCTGTGGGCTACCCTCCTCCTATGGATAATTAAAAGACACAAATACCTCAAGTTACTAGACCTACACCTTAGTTCAGTACTGTTCGAATTAAATCACCAGAGTCGCGGTGTTAATTTTGGCACACATACTTTTTTAAAGAAAAAGCTCAATAACATAATTTATTGTTGTAATCTAACTTTACTCATTTCTTTCTCGCTCAAATGTACCCCAGGAATTGAATCCAGGCTCTGAACGGGAGTCTTGTACATTTATTCACTGAGCCACTGTGGATCTCTACATATTAAAATGATTCAAAAGCAATAGATCAAAATAAAAATTTTGTTGGTACATCTTTAATACCACCGAGAATATCTGAAGGACCACTCTGGTACCAGTGTATAAAAGTTGTATAAGCTCTTGAGACGTCGAATTATGTAGATTTTGAAAAAAAATCCAGTTCTGTTAATATTATCAAAGCAAATTTAATGGCAAGACTGAGGTCGCGTGCGACAAACATTAACATTTCATTTTTGTAACGTCTTATAGAGAACTTTATTCTCGCGGAGTTTAATTTAATTATTGTATTATTCTTACCACCACGTCATACACGATAATTGCAAAATATTAAAGAAGCAACTTAGTTTTATAATTGATTATAAGGAATACTACTTGATATGAAATAATAAAAGCTAAGAAGTTAATATATATATATACAAAATATTTTGTATATATATATACAAAATCAAACGTATTGTTGATTGTACTAATAATAAAGTCGCAAACAAGATTATCCAGATTCAATATCTTACAAAATTTGGTCACTGTGTCAATGCCACGTTAATCGCACTTCTTCGTAATGTCTGCAAACATTTGTCCTCGCAACTAATATAGCATAATACTTTTCATGCGAACAACGTAACAAGATATATGTAGCTATATATAACGATAAGATTGTGTTGTTAAAAAAAACAAAAGCAAACATATGTCAATTTTATTTCATTTACGCGGTTAATTAGTGTTGCGAGTTTGAGAAATGTCGTCTTCTTAAACAGGTAATGAGTTGCCAACAATTACATTTATCTTATGATGATATTTACCCGAGTGCACGAAGTGATCGTCACAACTGACGATCGTTATATCCAACAGATTTTCCACGACTTTTCGAGCCGATGCCGCAATTGCGTATCGAGCTTCGGTGACACCCTTACAAATTAGGCGATTGACGCGGAACGACAGACATTGCGCAACGCGGTGTACCAACGAGACCCGTGTGCGCGTCCGTATGCGCGTGGAGTTCACCGTTTGTAAGCGACACTGACCTTTCGCGATGAAACCGGTCGCGCGACAAACCGGTGCACCGGCAGTGCCAACAAAGACAAAACGTCGAAAATCGAAACAGAGCTTCGCGCGCGGTACGCGGCCACGACACGCGGAATTCAACTTCTTAATTTATGTAGTTGCAGATCGTGCATGTGTCCGTAACGCGAAATCTGTTTGGTTTTCCTTGTAGCGATAACAATTTAAAACATTGACGCCCCGGTGAGAACAGATGCGCCATCGTTTAGATGAGTTGGCAGCGACAATATTTTTTGTCGAAGGAAAAAAAAAACGAACAGCGCTATCGGCACTACGCTCCTATTTCAACGTCTATGATTATTTTCATAGTGCTACTGTATTTGGGTTTATCGATGAGTGTTTCTTAAGCTAGCGTATACTTCGTTTTGTCCCGCGAGCAAACTTTTATCCATCGTATTTACATATCACTGAAACTTATCGGAAGTGTTGAGATGAGTCAACATCAAACGACGTGTTTACGTGAAAAAAATTAGCGTGCATTGGCAATTTACTCGTCCGAGACAAGCGCACAGCCATCGCAAGTTCTTTGCGCACTATCTTGAAAGAAAGAAAAGCGTAGTTATCTTCGTTGTGTTGACAGTGGTCAAAATATTAACGACTATTTTAGATTAGAAGCTCTCTCTTTCTCGCGAGAAATATCAAGATTTACGTTGAAATTTAGGCGAGAATTTAATTGTGCCACGATTGTAAACTAATGTAAACACTTTCCATAAAAATATTTCAATTAATTGCGCGGACGAATGAACGTTGATCCGTGACACACGAAACCAATTGGAAGTATGCAAATCGGACGAATTCCGAAAATACGATTCAGTGAAAAGCTTGGCAAATGATTTAGAAAGAGGCAAGCGGCCGTTCGTCCATCCCCATTCGTATATTGATTCCTGGCGTGCACGCAAAAGCAAGAGGAAAAGAGATAAGTGAATGTATTACAAACCAGAGGGATCCGGAGATCGAGAAGAGCCGTGCGATGCGCGCAGACAGCTGTGGAGTCGAGAGCTGATTACCGGCAAACTCACGGTCGCACAAGCGTATGCTGCGACGGACGAATGATCACTCCCTCTCCCACAATCATGCATACACACATATATATATATATACATATATATATACACACATGTATATATATATATACGTACACTCGGCGGTTTTCGAACGCTAACACCCGTTTCGCAATGCCATACATGACGTCTTTACCGCTCGCGGGAAAGTCCCAAGAAGCACGATTATACTCGCAGTACGCGGACCCAATCACTCACATCTTCGCCCGTGTCCCAGTCACTTTTCCAGCGAACTCATTTAATTTCTCATAGATAATCTGACTTGAACGGCACTGAAATCAAGGACCCGTGAACTTTCGTTCGTTTCTTTAATCGCACGACTTTATAAATGACTACTGCCAGACAAAGAGCCGACAACAATGCTAGATCCCGATTTTTATTTCGAAGACAAGTTCGTAGCAGGTGCTTTGATTGGGAATCGAGTAGTGCAATTGTAAGTGTCTCTGTTAATCTAGCTGGATAATTTCGATAAAGGTAAACGCGCGAAGATATTGTGGCGATGCAGCACAAGGAGTTTCAACAATTTCTTCTTCGTTGTCTTTGATAATAAGAAACGCTAATGTTATACGGCTTGGAAGATTTCGTGTTGAGACCTTCCGCACAAATTTTGTATTCATTCTTGTTACCGGAAAATATTCAGTGCGAGACGTTGGAGAATATTTCAAAAAGTTGCCGAGGCTTAAAAATAAAAAAAAAAGACAGCATGCTGTGAAACTAAGATCCATTCGGTTGCGAATACAGATGTATTTGATATGCTACTTGCAAACTGAGCTGGTGGAGCGTTGAATTCAAAGTATATACGACGGACAAGTGTGTCCTCGAGGAATTTCAATTTGCGGAAAATGATGATTCTTATTATCTTCAATATAAATGGATTTTGAGAACAAAAAGTATGTAGCAGGTTACGGTATTCGTAGTTCTTGGCACTTAAATAGCTCAGGATTTGTATTTAACAAGCTAAAAACTTACCAATATTGATTATAGCGATCTTGAGAAAATTCAGATGCAGACGTTACAATCAGTAGTACTGATTATTGTGAATAATATTTCTTAGGATTTTTCTTTTTGTGCAAAAGGTGCTGCAAAATAGTATAAACTCATGCCTTTACCAAGAACTCAACGAGAATAAAACATCTTTTGTTAAAAATATGCTTTTTCAAAAAAAAATATTCATTGTTATGAACTTGAAATTTCACATAGTTAAATATCCAGCTTTATCCTTTGAACTGCATGAAAATTATTAGCTCAATTTTTGTTCAGATTGAAAAGGAGTAAGAATAAATCACAAATAATTTTTAAAAAGATTGGAATACGTGATTATATACGTTTATTCATATTACATGAATAAATTCAGTTTTAATGACTACATTAAAACTAGAACAAAGATAAGTATTAAATCGAAATGCAAATCGAAGAACTCTCATTTTTGTTACAAAAACTATGTAAGTTTCTGCAGACAAGTACCAAGTTTCGTCAGAATTAGCGCGAAAATTGTGTATTTGCCTTACTGAACTCTAAAAGCGTTCTTGAGCAATAGTTCTGAGCGAGTCGATGTCACAAATTATTACTTGACGGGAGACGAACTCTGCATCTCTTTCCGTCACAACGCGAACTTAAATCCCGACTTGGGTCAGTGCGTCTCGCTCACATCCCTCGTTAATTGTACCGCTTCTAAACTCTCAATTTTGACACTACATATCAAGACTTTCTCGCTTATAACATATCGATGATTGAAACTAGACTATATAGTGCGATTACATATTTCTTGAATATTAAAACGCTTAACTCGCATTTCTCGCAATCGCATTTTCAGGTGCAGGGCGACAGTCTTTGTATTTCGAGAAACAAATCAAATAAAAAACATATTCAAGACTTTTTTAGGAGGCCAATGGAAGCTGGAAAGCAAACATCCGGATGCATCTGTTTTTCTCGCGAGCGACGCTTGACCGGCCGTAAATTTTCCTTCGAACGCGCTCGGCGTCTATGATACAATGCGGTCGTAAAATATATACACCTCGAGCGAAGGCGTCAACGCATAATTTTAATTACATTCGCATTTTAATCACTTTCTCGCTGCTTTGCTTCGTCTAGTAACCATCCGAAACAATTTTATTGGAATATAGTGCGATAGACCATTTTGTAGAAAAACCCGTGCCGATGTGATTAGTTTCGATTACTTCAATTACAAAAGAATTAACGCAAATGTATCTCGCTGATCCAGGTGATAACGTACGACTGCATAAAAAAAGAATACCGATTGGAAAAGGAAGAATAACTTGTGCTTTCTGAAAAAGTGTATGTACTTACATGAGTCTAGAAATAGCTATTCGAAAAGTTTAATTTACTAGTGATGTCTAGTACGCTTTGCGCGCTTATGTTTGTTCACATTCATTTTAATGCACGAATATACGTTAAAATTCGAAAATTCCAAATGCATTAAATATTCCCTTGGTTTGATATATGAGATATAGCCGATGACATTATTTATTGATAATCATTAATTAATTCATAATCGATTTAAAGATATCGATGAAGTATGAAGTTTTTGTCACCCTAAGTTTTGTGTTGAAAAATCATCGCTTAAAAGTTTTAAAAACACGATACATAATGTAATATAAATTTTAAAAACATTATAGTTTTTTATAATTATATCCTTCATTACGTAAATAACATTCTTTAGTAGACATTCACAGTTGTAATTAAGGCACTTTAAAAAAAAATTATTCAATACTTTACGTAACTTGAGCTAAAATCACTGTACAATATTTTATCGCGATAATCTGTCGATTTATATCTTTTATTACGTATTTTGTTTATTCGAAACTAAACTTTCGCATAGAGGAAAGTTCAATTAATTTCTTTATCGAGGTAATAATTGCATGTGATTAGTATCGTTCAATCAATCAATTCATAATATATTCACGCCAACCATACTGACATACTTTTCGAATATGGATTCATCTACGAAAATCTGTAGTAATCTTTAATCAGATTACCCACAACAGATTATCACGTGATTATTTTCCAGCTAATCAGATCACGAATAAGTTGCCTACACTAAATTAGATTCTCTTTTTTATAAGAAAAGAGAAAAGATAATAGATGATTTTTTTTAACTTTGTATCAAAAGCTAAATTTTCATATTATAATAGTTTTTACGTTGGAAAAGCTGGAATAAAGTCTCTATATTTTAATTGACATTGTAAATCTATCCATAGAAACGATTGCGCGAAAATTTATTGACCTGCAAAACCAACTGTAAGATACGAATTGAAAATTAAGTGGATCAGGAAAAACTTTATCAGAAAAAAGATATATCAGAGAAGTTTATGAATGAAGCACTAAAAGATCGTCGTTGGTCATATATTATATATGAATGCATGTACCTATTTTGCGTCATATTGATATGTTTCGACCTTCATTATGTTGATAAAAAGTGTTTTTCTCGTTACCTACTTCATTTTATTGTTTTAAAAATATTTCCGTTTCAATTTCAATTGACGTTTATTTCGCGTTTGTGTATTCCGCATTTGATTTCATGTAATTAATGGTATTACACTTTCGAACATGAATAATTTTGATTCACAATTAATAGAAAATTACGATAGTAATATTATCGCTTGATGTTCATATTTTATTAACATAATGAAAACACAGTCGCACCTGGGTCTACAATAACTTGCAATATTTAAATATTGTAGTACCTCAGATTTGAAATTGTTGCTTATTAAAATCATTTTGTTTCTTTATGTAATCTACTTCACCGACCACTACAAAATCATCAATTATAAATATAAATATAATCATCAATTATAATTATAAATATAATTACAAATATAATTATAAATATAATTATAATTATAATTATAAATATAAATATAATTAATTATAAATATCAAGTTTTCCGAATCAAATGTAAAAAATCGTTCCTTCCATCTTTTACTCTCCCCTTTTGTAATATTGATATGAAAAATGTAATTTTCATATTTTTATTTTCTAAGCTACAAGAGAAAAAACAGGAATCTGACGATTGTCGGTATTACAGTGCACTAATATTGTTTGATTGGAAAAGTCTGGCATTTGTAATTATCAAGATTCCAACCGATTGATCCTACTGAACATTACACTTACTCGTAATATAGTGCTGCAAAAGTTACACTTTTGCTTCGAGTGGGAGTTATTATTACATGGTATAACATTTCTTAGTTTACCGAACACTTCTCTGCATGACAATTACCCATAAAACTTTAAATTAAGATTATCCTAAGTTCGTTCTCGCGTATAAAAATTGCTAATCATGGTCACTGTTGAAGAAAAATCGTCAATACTTTGTAAGATGATAGTTCGGAAAAAAATTAGTTTAACAGCATGAGCAACTGTATTGGTATAGAGTGTCAAGGGCCAAAAGAATTATGATTTTTTTATTGTACAGTTTATTAATCTAAACAGTGGTTTGAAGAAACATTTAATATTGTTTTAAACTAAAAAACAATTTATTCAGTTAAGCGTAGATGCCGTTCATAAAGGCATATTATTTTTCATGACGGTATTCCGTTTCAAAACGTGGATTGCCAAACGCATAATTATCTCGTGTAAAACCAAGGAGAAAATATTAGATCTAGTGTAGAGCACTGATTAATTGAATCATTAAGCACGAATAAATACAATACGCGAAAGTTCGCAAAAAAGTTATTAAACACGCAAAAATTAGAGATGGGTTGTCACTACTTAATAGCTATAAATGATAAATTTGTTCTTCAAGCTATTTTTGATGTCGTCTTCTGATTCATCCGAGGACGAGGGCTCAAGAGTTTTCTTGGATTGGGAATAATATTCATCCTGTTCCTCGTCTTCAACAGAACGATCACCCGTGCTCTTCTATGTATAACTTCTTTATATGTTCTTTATAACTTCTATGTATAACATTTCATCTCTTATCTTGCTATCTGACGAATCGTCACTGAATGAGGCGTCATCATTGGAATCATCATTGTCTTCTGCATTGATTTTTTTTTGCAATTTTCTTGTTCAAAATGGTTTGGGCGTTATTAATTTTCTATTTCCAATAAATAGCATTGAAAACTTACAAGTCAGTAACTTATTTTGAATTTTACTGAATTGATTACCTCGAATAGTACGAATAGACCAGGATAATTATGCCGGACGCAAAAGAATTACATTTAAGAAGTCATCGGTATGCTGCGACTGAAAATTTCCGAAAATTCAACAAGTAAATAAAATGTCTCACAGAAAAACGGATTAGGAACAAAAGTTTCAAAAATAATATTAAAAATGAGTATAAACAAATAGTAAAATTCTGGTGGAGAGTAATATTCTTAACAAGAAAGATTTACGATAATAATAGCTACAAGTTTTAGTTATGAGTTTTTGTTTATAATATTATTTGTTTATGCCAGCTTGTATACAGGTACCTGAGTGTACTTCTGCAAGCAGTTATAAATTATTAAAACATGTAACCTACTAATGGTAAATAAACATAAACACAAATAATTATATATAACAGCAGAAAAAACACCAAAACAAATAATCATAAAAACAAAGAAATTAGGGCAAAACAAAAATAATTTTGAAAACCGCGGAAACAATAATTTCTCTTTAAGAATATGTAATCAAGTTAATAAAAGTTTAAGAACATCCCCACACGAAAATTGTTGGGATGACCTTTCAAATGGTTTATTAGTCTGAGCTGCAGAGCTGCTAGGGAAAAATAGTAAAAAAATTGTTATTCATTATGAAAACTTCTTCGTAAGGTCCTTCGCTCTACATTTTCATAGTCGATTACGTCTGGTGTATTTTTACAGCCTCTATAATTCTGTTCTTTTCATTAATGCGTGTCTACTACGCACGTGCAAACAACATTCATTATCCAGTAACTATATGTCATCTTCACTAAGTGAACAATTTATTACTTGTTATGGAATTTTCTTAAACTCAAATTATTTACATCAACACAGTATTCATCAAACATTTGAATCAATTTATTTACATTTATTAGCTGATCATTAAATTGAATTTTTTAACATTTTAATATTCAGCTTCAGGCTTATAGAATAATTTTTGACGACCTTTACTTAAAGTTTTAATTGAATTTAAAAATTACTCTAAGATAATGATAGGAATGAAAACTGATATCATGTTACTGAACTCACTAATGTTGCAAATTTTCTAGTCGAGCCATTTCTTTCAAAAGGAACTTTAGAAAGTCAAAAGAAACTATCATTATTATTGATACTGATAGGATACTGGGGTAAAAGAAACGTGATACACGTTATATTTTGTTAAAAAGCGAATGTAGTATTTATTCGAAGTAGGAAAATTTCTACTCGTTCCGTTAGCCAACCCCTAATAATACCATGCTATGTTTTTGTTGTTTAATAATATAATACCATGAGAGCTCATGCGTTTATTCAGTTGCATTTAAAAATTGTGTAACAATATGAAAAACTTTAAAGAGGAAAATTATTCAGTGGGGTATAATCATTGTCGATTGATTTTTATTAGTTTGATACGACACGGATTCTTGGGTTTTAAGGCGACGTGCAGCTTGAACTTCACATCGGCAGTTAAGTCGACAGGTTCGAGAACGAAATGGGACAAAATGCGGGCAACCACCAGTTTCAACTCCAAAGTAGCAAACCTGTAAGCTGGAATGGCATTGAAGGATGAAATGTAGGGAGCGTACGTAATTTGTTGGTGTTGTTTATTTACCCATGCACATACGCAGTCCAGCACTAAACGGCACATAAGCAAAAGGATGGCGTTCTTTTGTATTCTCAGGCAGAAATCTGTCAGGATCAAATTTGTCTGGATCTGGCCAGAAGTTTGGATCTCGGTGGGCAGCGAAAATATTCATGACTACCTCAGTACCAATGGGAATCTCGTAATTGCCTGAAACATCCAATTGTTTGGTTGATTTATTACTCGAATGCACAGCACTATCAAATTCGTCACTTAGTTTGATATCTTCCGTGATGATACGCCCAATCATTGGAGCACTCGGATAAAGTCTTAAAGCCTCTTTGATGCATCGCTCAATGTACTCTAATTTATTTATATCTGCTACTGTTAATACGCCATCTGTTTGGCTGAGCAGTCCAACAGCTTCGCATCGAGCCAATTCCTTCATAGTTTAACAGTACATTGAAAAAACATTAAATCAAGTTCGATCACAAATGACTTACCTGTGCCGTCTTGTTTTCAGCAAGGAGCATCAGAGTGAATGTGAGTGCTACACCAGTAGATTCGTAGCCCTGAAAAAAATAAGCTTAACGTATTATGAAAAATTAGTCGAACTCTTAGCTGATGAGATGTCTATGAGCGTTCAAAGTTTGAATTTGAGAATCAGCCGACAATATTTGCAACTCACTGTGACAATGAAAGTTTCTACTTCCTCCTTCAGTCCCTTTTCGTCGATTAAATTATTCAATTCCGCAGCCAACAGCAAATCCAGAACCGATAATCTTTTTCTTTCACCTTAAAATATAGGCAAAAGTGTGAGAGTGAAAGTTTATTAAAAAAATCGATCAATGTTAATAAATTTAACTACAAGTTGCATCCTCGACACTGCCAATTAAGTTCTGCAATGGTAGATATCCTGCCTTTTTGTGATATTCTCGTCTTCTTTTAATTATCTGCTGAAAAAAATTCAAATCCATTTATAATTTTTATAGAGACGAAGCATCGACTGTCGTTTTAAAGGTCGAGTAAAACATAATTTTAGAAAAAAACATATGAGAATCGCATTTTCATGAGTTCAAAACTGTTACTCTGTTCGTAAACTCTCTGGCTCGTTTGACAGCGCGCTCCTGTCTTTGTCCTACACTCAGAAACTTCATCATCCAGTCTTGTACGTATGGGCGCGATTCCCTTGCAAAGAAAAACAGATTTTTTTTTGGTAATACAAGTAATTAAATTTAATTTCATAAGACAGTCACAAGTGAACCTGTAAAAACAGATTTCGCTAATCTCATCGAAAAATCGTCGACATTCTTCATCCGTTTTAGCGCCAAAGCTGTCAGGGTTGACACCCATTGTCGCTTCTGTCGAAATTTTACAAAATAGATATCCGTTAAGTACTTGAAATGAAACTGTCATGTAAAAAGTATTACCGCAAACAACTCCTATAGCATATTTCAAACCGATGGATAACAAATCTGGTATTATTTCTATATTTTGACTTTTGATAGTTTGTATCAATTGTTCTGCGTACTCGTTGGCGATTTCAGTGTAGACTTGCAGTATATTAGGGCTAAAAGCTGGCGTAATCATTTTCCGACGCTGTCGCCACTTTTTACCTAAAAATGTTTGACAACGTGATCGCAGCTCGATAAATTTGGTTAAAAAAACAGTTTACCTCCACTCACAATGAGGCCTTCGTTGTTTAATTTTTGGAAAATACTGTATATGGTATGACACTTGTTGATATTCTTCTTACACGACATAATCGCCTGGAAAGTACGTCACTCTTTTAAGATAGAAATGTGAAAGTTACTCGAACAACCGACGACTTAAAAATAGATAGAACAGTGAAAAATAGTCTATCTGTCGTACCTTCATGTCGTCTGGATGACGGATAAAAATACCGAGAGAATAGCCTTTCCATATTCGAACTATCGGATAGTACTCATCGAGAAGCTGCAGTATTTTATCCCAGATTTTTTCTAAAACCAACGACAAACGCTCGTCCACTTGACTCACTTCGCTTGACAAAAATGCTTTTGACGTTGCACTCACCCGACGAAAGACTGAACATGAGCCAATTGCCGACGAAAGGCAGCGGCGGAGGGCCGGGAATCTTATTAAACGTCCGCCCAGCTTTGCCGTAACGCGCCGATACGTGTAAAGCCAATAGGCTGAGAAGTACTATTACGAGGCAGATGCTCGCAAACATTTTTACACCACCTTGAAATACTATTGGTTGACGAGCAACTCTTGTCTACACCAAAATGAGTTCGCTGCACCACTCGAATCCGATTCTCTTGCCGAACTTTAAGCAATTGATCTCAATGGGACCAAATTGCAAGGTCGGGCTTTTCGCCACTCTCCGGACAGTGAAAGGTGCAATGCCATTACTTACATAACTTTTCATCTCTACTTTCATTAGGTTGTAAACATTGACATTCGTTATACCCCATTACCAGCTGGGTCGTTTATCACTTTGAACCGCCCGAACTTGTTAGATATTTTAAAGTTTTACTGGATATCTTTTCTGTTTCCTTGAAGGCGAAAATACTATGAATATTTCATTTATATATACATTTTTTAATAAACCAACAATTCAGTATTTTCCCTTGAATTTAAGACATTTTGAATGTCAATTAATATTTCCTTGTAGTCATAGATGTAGTTTCCTTTTTATGACGTGTATCTATAAGATGTATGTATGTGTCAAAGGGATGGATTATATAAAAGGGAGAGGGGGAGAGTAAACATAAATTTTATGTATGAAAATAATAATATATTATTTCCTTGCAGTCATCTTATTATCAAGAAAAATTAGCTTTCGTCCAATTGAATATTAACTGACTTATGTTCACGATTATTAAAATATGAACTATTAAAGTATTACAATGAAAAATAAACAAATTTTAGATATTTTTCATCACAGTTATTTAATTTGCTGTTCCCAAATTGACAGCTTGTTAGTTCGCAAAAGTATTTTAATGAAATATTTTTTAAATTATAACAATATTATTGAAAGAGAGACAACGTAATAGCTTATGTTAAATTGTGCGCCGGCAAAGGCCAGAAAAAGTAAATAATAACACAAAAGTAAATGAATAAGCGACGCAATTTTTTTAGCATTTTTCACTAATGTTCCGTTAAGTATTTTGTCCGTCGCCTCGTCTGGTCGATTTATAATTCCTTGGGTGAAAACAGTCCTCATTACATCATAACATGGTGAAACAATTAGAGTTCAAACGTCAGTTGCCGATAGATCAGAGTACTATTGTGGCATCGCCTACGAGGAAGCTATCTACAATTAATCGGTCACATCAACCGGTTTCGACACTGTCAACGTTCATATTTTCAAAATCATTGAACAAAACATTGATCTTTTCTCTCTCGCAAGTATTCTGCAGCGTCTCTCATCGGGAATACTCTCTCGAAAATACTTTTAATTTTTGCAAAATCAAGTCGTGCATTAATGTTATACGCATTGAAACGGAAAAAATAGCACTGTTTCGTCAAATATAAACATCTGTTTTATCTTATTCGCAACTTTACTAAAGACACTTAAAAGGCACGAATTTACTTTTAACTTTCCCTAAATCCTAAAAGTTAGTGAATCTTTGAAACAAAAATATACGTATGATAGTTCAAACAATTCTTCTCAAAATGTACCTATGAAAATAACACTGCACCCTAAAAATTATTTATTCAAAAGTTATGAATATTAAAAATGTGTAATTTTCAATAAAACAATTAGCAGCCTGATATTTTAATAGTATTCTAAAAGTATTATACGAATATATATGTACATGAAAATTATTAGAAAATTATAAGATGATACGGTTTGATTTTAAAGCGAATTTTAAAGTCTTGGCTTCACTGTCTAGCGATTTATTATTTCGTTATTTTAGGAATTTTCAGTTGAATGATAGAAAAAGATATTTTTCTCCAAAATCGTAAACAAACGTTTAACTATATAGCAGACTGATACGTATTTTTTTACTTTGATAAAACGGTATCCGCAACAGTATTAAATAATTTGTTATTTCGTTATTTTTTATAAACTTTTAACGAAATTCTTACCTGCATGCCAAAATTCTTGCACCAATTCACAATTAGCAGGGTATTTACGCCATTTGACAAAGTAGTAATGGTCTTTCTTAAAATCATTTGCATCACACAATGCTACTCGATCCCTTAGCATTGTGCTACTTTATGAATTTAACCAATTGTATGGTAAAATAATCAATATTGAAAATTTCTATACGTGAAGCTATTGTGTATATACATACGGTCTCGCGTAAATCGCGCCTCCAGTATTCATGCCGCAGGACGCTACTGCGACCTTTGATTCGATTTCATCGATATCCACAATAACTGCTGTCTTTCTGTGATTTAAGTATACATGACCAGTTACCGTGATCTCCGCTGTCTTTGTTTGCAAAATCTTGCACAAACACTCAAACATATATACAGTAAATATATACGCGAAACTTGGACGTGGAAAACAAAAAACTAAAGTGCGCGTCATACATTAATATCACATAATAAATCATGTAAAATTACTTATAGCCCTCGTTTTAGGACATTACCTGATGGTTATGTGATATCAAGTAGAAAATCATGTAATGAGTCACGTACGTGAGATTACGTACATAAGTTTCGTATTTTCAGGACCTACCAAATAATTACGTGATTTCACGTTGTAACAGTCGTATAAAAAATCATGCAAAAATAACACGTGATTTATCAATTCATCACATAACAAATCACGTGATATTTTTTCTACAAGCTATAAGATATTTGGTAAACTACATAGCTTAACAAAGAGATCAATCATAAACCTTTCCTAAACAAATACGTACGCGGTTCTCCCAGCGATCATCTTACGAAATGAAAAAAGAAACGTGATTTTAATAGATATAATAGCCAAACTTATATTTTTATTTAAAATATAAGAGTCAACTTTTGTGAATTAAAAGGCTTAATTTCTTTATATTCGAAATTAATGTCTCGCAAAGTGCATTGATAAATAAATAATTAAATTATAATGATTTTTTTACCGATTTTTCGAAAATTGTTCATTCACACAGACTTTTTGTTTAAGATCATTTGTTCTTTTTAAGTATTACATTCATCACCAATCTGTGTAATTTTTTTTGCATTTACCATTTATATCGACAATGGATCATTCTGATAGCAAAGACAACGCGTGAACAGACACACGCAACTGTTTTGGTAGGTAACTCACGCAAGCAGGAATAAGACAAAAAATATTATAAGTTTGACATGTTGTAAAATATTTGATTAACACAAACTAAACGGAAAAATGAATGTCGTTCCTGGTACTGCTTCACTGCTCGAAGAACTTGATAGTGAGTTGTATATCTTTAATTTTATTGCACTAAATTGGTTTTCCTTGAGGTTAGGTTTTACAAATTCATCATTGCAAATATCATCTACGTCAGTTTTCATGATATTTTTTTTAGCATTGCATATTCCTAAGATATTCTGTGTCATTAAAAGATCTCAACTGTAGTTATTAATTTCTTTAATAAATGTTTTTCTTCACAAAATATAAATCATTAAGTAGTGACTTTGTCATTTTAATCATAGCAATGATGTAAACATTTCTTTGATCACCTCAGCCTTATGTTTTATAATTAGTATATTTGAGAACTACCATTGCTAGTCTTTACTTTTTATTTAATAGAGATTTTTTTTTAATAATTTTATTTTATAATACTGTTTATTTATTAATTTTATTCAATAGAAAAATTGATGGTTCTATTGAGAGATGGACGAACATTAATTGGATACCTCAGAAGTGTAGATCAATTTGCAAACTTGGTTCTCCATCGCACTATTGAAAGGATTCATGTGGGCAAAGAGTATGGTGATATACCTCGAGGAGTCTTCATTGTGAGAGGAGAGAATGTTGTTTTATTAGGAGAAATTGTAAGTAAAAAATAAACAGACTAAGCCTTTGTAATACTGAATACTGATTCTTATATATACCTAATTGAAATTTTTCCAGGATAAGGATAAGGAAAAGAATTTACCATTATCAGAAGTTTCAGTTGATGATATCCTTGATGCACAGAGAAGAGAACAAGAACAGAAACAAGATCAAGAAAGGCTCATGAACAAAGCACTGAAAGATCGTGGTTTGTCATATATACCTGATTTAGGTCATGATGATATGTTTTGACCTACATCATTGTGATAAATTTGTTTTCACTCTATCATATTTTAATGTATAACTTAAAAAAAAAACTTGAAAAACTTTTTATTTCTGATTTTGTGAAATTCTGTGTACTTTTTAGTTAACTATATTCCATTCATTGACATCATAAGTAATTCATCTTTTTGAAAAATGTTATTTAAAGTTTAAAGTATTTAAATATTATTGTGAAATAAAAAATAAAGTGTAAAAAAGTAGGACTATTATTGACACCACTAATTAAAATGTACTCAGTCACGTTGATATAATCTCTGTAAATATGAATAATTTTTGTATTTTTCAATAAGAATTGATAAAGAAACAAATACATTTCCATCACGAATTAGTTTATTACCAACCTCATATGCAAATTATTCAAAATTCTTCGCAAGATTAAACAAAAGAAAATAAATGTAATAGTTTGATAAAATAAAAACCCATATTTTTCTATCCAAAGGGACTATCATACAAATATAGTAAAATAAGAATAAAAAAATATACCATACACACTGCTTGAGTAACGTTTGTTCTTTGTAGTTTCATTACTGATTCGATCATCTTAATAGATGTATGTTGAAATGATAGAATAAATTATATAGAAATATTAAAATCCAATAGGAGATTCATGATATACAATGATAAGCAGAGTTTCACTCTAAAAATATAATTTTCATTATTAGAAACGTCGATGGAGATATTGCTCTATTTATAACAAGCTTTATGCAAAAAATTACTATATCTTACAAATTTGAAATTTTTCTAAAATTATTAAAATATTTGCTACTATGCATAGCAAGTCATCTCTTGTGAATTTAAAAGTGCGTCTATAACTTAGAAGTGACAGATCTAACAATAATTTGTTGCCACTACAAGTTTTTTGTTACTTAAAATACTACGTATTCAACTGACGTGATTAGAAGGATGTCTCTGGAAGCGAATCCTTAATTCTGACTGAACTGAGTGTCGATTCACTCAACTGCTTCTGCTTAAGTAATTTAACCCTATCGCAGATAGATTCATCTCTGAACGAACGTTTAAAGTCGTTACGTTGAAGGCTCGTACAGCGTTTCCTCAGCGACGGAGCTGATCTTTCGTCAACGCCATTTTTTTCTGCAGAGTTGTTGGCGCTGTTCGGACTTCCTGAGGCGATACCTGAGGTATCTGAACTAGGATTGTTACCTTCTTCTTGCAGAATATTCAGATCTGACTCTGATTGTTCGAAGTCTCCTGTTCTTGATGTGAAACTTAAGTCTACTGGACTCGCCGTCAATACGCTACGTGAAGGATAAACGTAGGTATTTGTTACGGACAAGGTCGCGCTTTTTTGTAATGTACTGCCGTACATTTCGTCGACACACGTGAGAAAACTTTGCTCCTCGGGAATATCCTCGATTCTTTTCATGTTCTCTTTGTTTTCTGATGAGGTTTTGGATATGTAGTTTAAACTAATGGTCGGTGATTCTTCAATGATAGAAGTGTAGTTTCGCCGGTTGATCATTTCATAATTTGATGTTTGTAGACTATTAGTGGAATCGTATTGCATTGAACCATTTTGTAAATTTGCCAATCCACAGAGATTTGATGTCGATACCATCACAACAGGCTTACGAGATCTTGGTGTCATCATTGTTTCCTGCAAAATAATTTTTTATTTCATACTTTTATTATGTATGACAAATAAATCCCGGCAACTAAATAAAAAAGTTTCATTGTAAAATTTAAGCCTGCTATTGTTACTTTTGTCTTTAATAGAAATTTATCGAAAAACAAAAAGAGTCATTTGTAAGTTCTTTATACTTGTATGTAACTGTTGATTATTTCATGCAAGAAAAAAATTTTTTTATTTTAAGTTGCAACCTCACTTATTTTCTAAGAAAGGAAAAATCACATAATGATGTATTAAATCATCGTGATAGAGTTAGTAATTTAAGTTCTGTTTAGTACATTTCGAAACTAGTGCGAGATGAGATTTGATACACGCTTGCTTTCAAGAGCCTGTATAAATCAAATCTACACGCATGAAATATCGAAAATAACTATAATAGCGAGTACTAAGCAAAGCCATTATAGCGTCAATGAAAGATACAACTAATACAATGTGATTAACAATTGCTTTGTTCAAAATGAAAAATAATTTTGCAAAAGGCTACTGCATGGACGACTACGTAAAATTTGAATAAATTCAAATACATAATCATGCAAAGCATACCTGCATAGCTTTGGTCATTTTAGTAGCGCTCTGCGTAATAGGACTCATGCTCTTATCATCGTCAGTGATAGGAGTTAGAATATAATCATTCGCTAAACTCTGTCTCAGCAGATTCGACGGTGTTGAAGTGTGTGCAGCGTAAAGACATCTCAATTTATTTTTTGTTGTTGGAGATAGCAACAATCCAGGATTTTCTCCACTAAATTTGTAACCTGAAACTATCGACGCAGATTTTCCCTGTGGCGATTTCTCAACACTCTTAGTATCGAGACTCGACCTTCTTATACTGGTTAATGCAGATTCAGATGACTGTCGCATTAACTCTACATCTTTCACAATTATCTGCGATGAATACATGTCGGGTGGTTCACTTCGGTGCCTAGAGAACCTGGATATTTTAAATTTTTTGCTCTTTTTCGACGTGCTCGGACTATTCGTTACAGAACGCTCGGAGATGTTGAGGAAGCTTTTGAGAATAACTGTAGGCTTCTTTTTGCGAGTCGTCAAACTTGGATTAAGACTGCCTGTACTATTACTAATATGTTTCACTTTCGTGAGATTCTCCCGTTGGAGGACGTCGTAACTCTCCATGTCGCTGAGTTCGTCCTCCGACTTGCTAAACATCTTTGGTATCAATGACGACGTCTAGGTAAGATAGGCCGAGAGAAAAGCATAATGCATTTGGTTAGTTGTTTTGCGATTAATCAAGCGCATCGATTTTGTTACTTAGATAAACGATTGTTGAAAATTCAAATTGATAATGAACATTAAGTGACAATATACAAAGCGTTATAAACAAACCAAATATATACTATATAACACGCGTTGAAGAATATCAAACAAATCGTTTATTCAAGACTAGAATAACATATGAAAATATTACATGCTGTTATAATCGTTTACATTGAATAATTAATAGGGTTGGAAAATTAACCGATAATGTAGGATGCGAAAACAACAACTTACATTGGAAACCATATTTTCTTCACTGCTCGACCTGCTAAAATTGCATCCCAATTTGACGTCGGTCATTTTTATTTGTAATTTTTTTTGAAAAATGCGCTTTTTAATGGAATCGCCAAAACTTTTGCCGCTACCATGTTTAATATGGCGTGGTGTTCCTTGACCATTTTCTTTATTAAACTGTTTAACAAGTTTTCGTTTTTTCGCTGACTCCGGCATTGATTGGATATATGCGTACAATTGAGCCAGTGCAGCTTGTGTATCTTGTGCTTCTGTCGCTTTAGCAGTTGCGTTACGATCTACGAAACTAAAAACTGTGTGCGCCGTTCCTGTTGTGTCTGCCGTCGATTCGTTTGGCTAGATAAGAACATATATTATTGCAAAAATAAGCTAAATTTGATTATAGCATGAAACAAGGAAATTGCCTACATCTTGTTGCTCAGGACTCAGCAATTTTTTCTCTTGTTTAACCCAGAAAGTTCTTATTTCCATAGAAAGCTTTTGTGGAATTTCAAACAATTGAGTCCCTTTATTAATCATAAATGCAACTAGCCCTGACAATTGCTGTGCCTTCATATGTAATGCCGTTGGAGATAAAGATCTGGGACACAATAAATGTGGGGTAAATAATGTTGCAAGACTATCACAATTCATTTTGTTGCTATTTTCATGTTCAGCTGTCTTCTTTAAAAGCCCAAGAATATGTTTCAATACAATTCTATTTGGTACAGGTAATAGAAGCAAAAGTAACTGTAAAGATCTTAGAACCCTGCTATGATCTCCATTGTTATAATATTCTGAAATAAGAAAATAATTACAATAAATTTTTGAGCCATATTAAATTTAAGTAAAATCTTGATAAAAAGAGCTAACCAGTAATTTTGCAATGAATCAGATAATGAGAATCTGTTAAGAGTGGCTCTGGTAAATCTGCTAGAAACGCTTTCAAGACTGATGCACAGTCATGTACAGTATACATTCCTTCATCAAGATTCAAAGGTAAATTTTGATAAAAAGCACTTTTAAGTTCTTGCTGTCTGGTTAATTTTCCAGTGCGTCTAAAAATACCTTCTGTATTTATACCTGTAATTGTAAAATACAAACTTATAATTTTATCTTTATTATCTAGATATTCTCTTATGTAAATTACTAACAGTCTTCTTTAGATAAATATTTTATCAGTTGTTTCAATTGATTGATTGCTTCTTTTGTTAAAGCAACTGCCTCTCCATCTTTATGTAAACTTCCTGTTGACTTGGGCTTTTTTGAAAAATTCAATAAACTCCACTTTTTTAGTTTCGCTTTTTCTGTACCTATATCATTCCTGCAGTAATTAAACAAACACAGAATATTAAGATTTTTAATTATATTAATTGGATAACAAATTACAACAAATGATCTTGTTGAACCAAAAATATGTATTATTGAGAAAAGTATAAACTATAAGTAGTTCTCGCCTAATAAACGCTTATTTATTTTAGCGTAAATGTAGTCAGTCTAAATTAAAAAAAAATCTCATTCCATTCAAAAGTAAAACGCCCACCAAGCCAACGGAAAAAACTTACTCGTCAGTATTGAGCTCATCAAGCTCGAAAGACAGGTGCATTCTGACGATGGTGTCAAACTGTTCGGAGTCGACTTTACGCATTCGGCTGGCTAAATTGCCTTCGATACAGCCATCATTGAAGTCCTCCATATCGTTTCCTTAGACCATTCAAATTTTTACTCCAAAAATCAAAGCCTCATGTCAGATCTTACATGAAAATTTACAACTGATCGTATTGTTGTTCACTCATGCGAAACCATCTTCGATCAGTTTCTCGCGGATCGCGAAATATTCAATCGCGAGAGATGCATCACTTTAGCAATGTATAATTCGTGCGAAGGAATAACTTTACGAAATAAAGGACGAAAACAGACCACCTACGCGCGTGTTTGCCGCGGTTGGGGATACTGGATAGGACCCGGGCTGAAAAAACAAACTGGTAACCGACTACGAATTGAGGTCACGTGACGTATTGAAGATCCGTGATTGGTTAACTTTGTCAGCCATACTATGAAGGCGGCTTAGACTGTGGTTGGCTGGACGTTTGAAGAAATGTCAGCTATGTCAGCTTCGTTAGATTGATTGAGACAGTATCGCACTTCTGGCAATTAACAAAATTTAAATTAGGTATTTATAGAACGAGAACATATTAAATTAATTTTTTTTCGATTTATTCATTATTATTTTTATTCAAATTCGTGACTTATTTCTAAGAATAGTTAAATATTTTAATCTTACTTCATATTGAAAATAATTAATGGACAAATTAAACTCCATATTTAACAGTCAAAAGGTAATGTATTTATTTATTTATAACAATATATAAAAATATATGTATCTACAAATTGTATTAAATAAAATTTGATCCAAAATTGCAGAAAAACTTTACATACGCGGATTTTAACAATAATATTCCATTTTTGTAACCGCAAGTTTTACAAAGTATTATAAAAAAACAAATTAATTGATTTTCTCTGTTAATTCTGGGACAGCCTTAAATAGATCTTGTACTAGTCCATAGTCAGAAACTTGGAAAATTGGAGCTTCAGGATCCTTGTTAATGGCAACAATAGTTTTGGAATCCTTCATTCCTGCCAAATGTTGGATGGCACCAGAAATACCTACTGCAATGTATAAGTCCTATAAAAAAATCAAAATGTAACATGAGATACTTTCATAACTTGTATAATTAAGAAAAAACAAGTGTTCATGACTAACAGGAGCAACTATTTTCCCCGTTTGACCAACTTGCAAGTCATTTGGCACATAGCCTGCATCAACAGCTGCTCTAGAAGCTCCAACAGCAGCATTGAGTTTGTCAGCCAGTGCATAAAGAAGTTTGAAATTGTCTCCTGATTTCAAACCACGTCCCCCAGACACTACAACTTTGGCAGCTGTCAATTCTGGTCTATCTGACTTGGTCAATTCTTGTTTTATAAATTCCACCAGATTTGATTTATATTCTCCAACAGCAGCTTGTTCTATATTAGCATTTCCTCCTTCCAAAGGTGCTAGTTCAAATGAAGTCCCTCTCACTGTTACTACCTTTACGGCATCCTTGACCTTGACAGTTTGAATGGCATTTCCAGCATAAATTGTCCTCACAAATGTATCAGCTGATTTCACTTCAATAATATCACTTACAGGAGAAACATCAAGATCTATGGCCACCTGAAATTTATTTTTCAATATAACAATCTCTTCTAAGAAACTATTAGTGATTACTAAATAGTAAAATTGATATACCCTTGGAAGAAGAGCTTTTCCAAAAGCACTTGCTCCAGCAAATATATGACTAAAATTATGCTTCTTATGGATGTCAACAATAAGTGGTGCCATAGCCTCCATCAGGAAGCCTTTGAAAGCATCGTTTTCCGCAACGACAACTCGAGCAACATCTTTAGCCTTGCTCAATTTTTCAGATACTGGTCCACATTTGGTTCCAGCAACCAAAACAGTTATGTCACCACCAATCTTTTTGGCAGCAGTCAATGCATTTTGTGTAATGGGAGACAACGTTTCATTATTATGTTCGGCAATGACTAAGGTTGATTCAAACCTTTGCAAAATTGATACAAACTGAAAAAATAAAATTATGTGTATAACAAAAAAACAGCTTAAAAAAAATTTCTAGGTTATACGACTTGATTGATGCTCGTTTGAAGAAAAATAATTGTGAAATTACATTAAAATAGTATTTACTTACGCCTGCGTTGTTTTTGAAAGTTCTAGCACACGTGGAGAACATTTCGTTCTTAATTAACTTTTTAATGAAAACCTTCAGAAACAGACCATCAAAGACGACATGCAAGACGCACTGGAATAGCGGAATTAGGTGGAATCTGTAATCTGCATTCTATCTCACTTTATTGGCTCGCCGTCCGTGAACTTTGGACTATCTTTTTGAAGATGATCTTTGCCAGATGAGACAAATAGTAAACATAACAAGAAATGCAACAAGTGGTGGTACTATCTAACATATATACTACATATCACTAATAATAATAAAGATAAGATTCCTTACTAGATATTTATTCTTTTTTCTACGCATTATTAAATTTCTGCTGCTGATAATACGCAATTGTTGTGTGCGGTGATGATCTTAACATAAAGGCTTAAACGGAACGTTTCAGACACTGAATAATGTACAATGTTCTATAAAGACATGTTATGTAAGAAATTATATATACGTACGCATAGTTATTCGGGCACCCTTAAGGTCATAATTTCTGTTTGGACTAATTTGCGAGATTTGAAGATTAATTACCAATTAATTTAAATCATCTATCAGCTAGAAAAAGTTTGGACGAAATTAAGATATGCTATGTTAAAGAATTAAGGTTTACATACACGCAATCAAAACTGTTTTTTATTACTTCAACTCTTTTCGAAAAGGTTTTCCGATCAAAAGAAGTTGAATTTGATGAGTGGTTCTATGGACGTAAAACTAGAAATTTTTGGTACATTAATGGAAAGTGATTAATTGTGTTCGACAAATTTATGCTAAATATCGGGTCCCGATGAAGCGCTTAATTGTGCGTCATTATTCTAGCCGAACACTGTCGAATCAGGGCGAAAAAATATACCGAACCAACATTCTCGGTAGTTAAGCAAAGCGTTGAACTGAAATAATTTTTCAGTTATTTGTTTCGATGATACATTGCACTTATCAAATATTTTTATTTCGCTTGTAATATCTCAATGCTTTAAAAAATCGTTCGTTTATTGGTAAGATACAATTAATAATTAAATTTATAAAATTGACTCTACAATATCAGTTTCTATTATAAACAATTTTTTGTACAAAGAACATAACATTTAACGAAGAGACATTGACATTTATTATAAGTGCGAATATCAATGATGCTGTAGCTAAGTGACGTACGAAAAAAAAATATTCTATCTAATTTACTATTGATTTTATTATTCACTTTATAAGTTGATAAAGACATTTAAGAAAATATAGCAGCTTAAAATTCCTCTTTTGGCAGAGGCAGCGTGTACGGCAAAATTTTACGATGTTGCATATCAATTTCATGCCAGTTTACTTGCTTCTCAGCAGTGCACTGTTCTTTCCAAAAGTCGGCTTGAATCGGACTAAGCGTGCCATTCCAAGCCTTGAAAACAGTGTTCATGTTGATAACGTTAAAATAATTCAGTGGAATCCGAAAGTGATAACGTACCTTTTCAGTATGATTGCACCAGTTTTGTACCTTGGTACAGCCAATCTTAAGAGCCTCCGCTCTGGACCTGTACAGAAGTGCCATACCAGATTTTCTTCGAAACCTTACCATGTCGAAGTAAGCTCTCATAAGATAATATCTTCGATGCAAACAATGGGCATTATTATTTTGAAATGATATCGAAAATAGCGAGCAATTTGAGCTACCTTGGAGTAATAATCTTGACGACCCGTCGAAATCGTTCTATAACCACGAAAGTTTTCTTGATGTCAGCAATGGTGGCTGCTGCGTCCTTGATGTTTTTATTGTCAACGTTATAGACTGCGAATTGCGCGATTATATTGAACTCATCAGAATTGAGTATCTCATCGTTGGCCCGAAACACTATCCTTACCGTAGCTGATAATCAAGCCTTCGACCTTCTTGATTATCGTTATCGCTGCAGGTACTGTAAATTCGTCGAGGACCGTTTGATCGACCTGCAGCAACGTAAAAATAAGGCCTTGGTAACAATATGGCTGATCGAAAGGGCGATCGCTGTAATACTTCTCTGCCTCTCCAGACGGTGGCGGCTTCCCAGTTGCCCATCCTGACGTACCTGCTAGCAAAGTGGACGTGAAGCGTGCGCTGGTCGACGGATAAAGCTGGCGTGAGCATACCAAAGCCACATGCAAGTGAAGAACCTCTTGGCAGCTTCGGAGTCCCTCAAACGCATGATCTTGCTGCTCTGCTGCTGGAAAAACTGCTCGCACTCGTTCAGCGATATGACGGAGATGCCCGACTCGAGCAGCAGATCGACGGAGAGCGCGCAGTACCAAGTGCGACCGGACTGGTCCATGTCGTTCGGCGAGATGAATTCTGCGGGGTTCGATCGCGGTCAGCGTCGGAGTCCGTGGATCGGGGAGGGGCTGCAGAGGCCCGAGCGGCCGATACCGAGCTCCTGCAGAAAGGAGACGACCTCGCCGTATCGTCTCTCCATGACGAGAAGCTGAACGAGCCTGGGCAGAACGAAGAGCCGCAGTGCGGTGGACCTGGTGGCCAGGGTGAGTCGCGCGGTGACGAAGCCGACGCTGGCGGCGCGCGAGGTCTCGGTGCGCGTCCACCTGGAAAAGAATATCCTGGCGTACAGCTCGGCGACGGCTTTGAGCTCCTCCAGGTCGACGGAGTCGCGCCGAGCGTGGCACAGGTTGATGGCGTCCCGCTCCAGGCACGGGATGATGGACCTGCGCGCGCAAAGTCAAGTCGACGATGGCGGCGGTGAGGCCGCACGGCTCGCCGCCACGGAGCTCACGTGTACTGGTAGTTGTGCGCGGTGATGATCATGTTGGCGTAGGCGCTGGACAGCACGAAGAAGTCCTTGCTTGACTCCAGCGCCACGTTCAGAGCCCAGATCGCGACCAGCCGTGCGTGCTGCTGCATGTTGCTCAGCTGTCGTTCGTCGTACGATTTGATTGAGAGCTCGTCCCGCTCGCGGCCGATCGGCCTCGCATAAGAGTAGCCAACTGACTCTGTACACCACGAACATGTGCGCCAGGCAGCTGGCGAACTGGTCGTTGTAATTGGCGGCGTCGCCGTCGACCACGCCGAGCATCGCGCCGCGCAGGCAGGTGAGCATGAGCCGTTGCTGCTCCAGCAGGTACATCGACTTGAGCCGGATCATGAGCGGATTGGCGGGCAGCTTGTACTTCATTATCCGGACTGTCTCCTCGAAGCACTCCATCGCCTCCACGATAAGGCCGCTCTCCAGGAAGCAGCGACCTCGCAGCGTCTGGATCTTGCCCTTGAGGTAGGGTACGACGATCAGCGCGTCGTCCTCCGAGGTGTAGATCTTGAACGGACCAAACGGGACTCGCTCGATCGGCTGCCACGGCGGCAAAGCCCCCCCCCCCCCCAACCCCACCCGGCAAGCGAGCTCACCGCATCGATGAGCGCGTCGCCCTCGGCCAGCAGCTCCGTCGCCTGCGGGATGTTCAGCGTCGACAGGCAGACCTGCGTGAACTCGAGCACGGTGACGAGGAGCAGCGACTTGTCGCCGATGCCGCGGCAGTGCTCCAGAATGTGCGTGTAGGCAGTGAGCAGGTGAAGGTTGCACTGGCAGTCGGCGAAATCCAGGTCGGAAAAGGTGCGCGTCGGCGACTTGGCCAGAGGTCGGCACATCCTGAACAGCGACAGGCTGCTGCCGCCACCGCTGCTCACGCTCGTCCGGTCGGCTCCTGCGGAAGCACGCCCGTCTCGCGGTCAGCTGCGCGGTCCGTCTCGCGTGGGCCGCCCGGCCAACCCAACTGTCAGCGAGGGCGTGCTGGTCCGAATCCTCGCCGTCGCTCGCCGGCTCGCTGGGCTTCTTTGCGACGCTCTCGGCGAGCGCGGACTCGCCGAGCAGGCGGTCGAAGGGCCCACCGCCGCAGGGGGCGCAGCGACGCGTGTTGTGCCGCAAGTAGTGCAGCGCCTTGCTGTGGAACTCCACCTTCTGGTTGTCGGTGAGCAGTCTGCAGCGCAGAGGAGCGGTGGCCGTGTCAGCGCGGCGAGGACGCTCGGGCGGGCGTGAGCTCACCTGTAGGTCGTCTTGCGGAACATGTCCAGCTTGAATCTCATCAGGCCGCAGGACGCGTAACTCGGCAGGTCGGACAGTTCTTCTGGAACGTGCAACGACTCTTCGCCAGTGCACGGGCTGATCGCGAGGGACCGATCGGCGAATCGCACCTGAGATCTCGATGCCTTTGCAGCCGCAGCGTATCTGCATGGTCGTCTGCATGGGATCGTGTACTCTCTTGAACAGCGTCTGCGGGCCCGAGCTGCGGCTGAAGTCACCCACGGCGCAGCCGATTATCCGCAACTCGAACAGCTTCACCAGAGCTGTGAACGAATCCTCGAGATTTGTTCGGGTACGCGCGCCAGACGTACGACATACCAACGCCGATGTCGCGCTGCGAGAACTCGTGCATGAGCCTTACGAGCATCTTGCGGTCGATGATCTCGCCCAGCACAGCCGCGCACTTCAGGAGAAACTGATCGAGCGGCGTCAGCGAGTCGTAGAGCTTCAGCAGGATCGCTGAAATGGGAAAGTCGCGCCGTAGACTCGGCGATCGGATCTCGGAGCGAGTGCTCACTGTCCATCGTGGCTTCGGAATCCGTGTCCTCGAGTACGAAGCTGTCCGTGAGCGCGCAAACCTTCAGGCTCGTCTCGTCCTTCTCCTCGCTCTCGTTTATTACGGCGCTTTCCTGCAAAAGTGAAAAGTGGCCGCGCGCCCTTGCGAATCGCGAGTCGTCGCACGGTGTCAGACGAGAGAAAGCGGATCCTACCCGAAAGCTCGACTTGTACATTGCCCAACTGCTGTGAAGATCGGTCGAAGGAGCCTCAGCTGCGATTCTCGATGGACCTAAAACTCTGAATTGTGGTCAGTAGTCGCGGGCAACTGCCGGCAACAAGATCGCGCACCTCTTCAGCATCGATCGCAAAGGAGTGACCAATCCCGTTTGCTTGATTTCCGACTTGGTCATGCTTTGGATGACGATCCTCGCGGACTGAAGCAGAGTCACCAGGTAGCTTTCTATCCAGCCGGAATTCCCGGAGCTTCTCTCTTGCAGAGCTCTGAAAGGCCAGCGAGTGAGTGACGCATCGCGAGCGTTCGGCGGTTCAATGGTACTTTTCGAGTTCGGCGGGTATCGCGACCACGCCCATCACTTGGCAGGCCAGGGCTGCGTGGTACCACTTGTCGAGTGCCGCCAACTCGATGGTCTGGAGGGCAATTGCCGATCAAACCTCTGGCTCCTCGATCGAGCCCCTTCGACGATGTCGCATACCTCGGCTTTGTTGCTCAGAGCACTCGGTATGTCGTACTCCATCGACAGCTTGTTGCCGTAGCTCAGCACGAACATCGCGTTCTCCTGCTTGACTACGCTGTGGAGCAAGCCCATTGACTCGTCGTCGGCCAATTCCGCGTCGTCGATCAGGATCAGCCAGAGCCGCTGGAAGCAGCTTCTCGTCAATTTGCCGATGAGCTTTTTCAAGATCTTCGAACGCGCGCCCGTGTCGGGCTGCGCCGTGTCGTGCGCGCCTTTGAATTTCACGTGAAACACGTGGTTTAAGCAGCTCAGCTGCCGACAGTCCTTCTCGTTAAAGTGCGCCATCAACTTGTCTTGCTTTTCTTTCAGGGACGACTCCTCGGTTATATCGAGCGGCGTGAAGAATAGCAGGCGTAGAAGGATGCAGGGTTGCTTTGAAATGAGATCGAGCGTTTGTTGTTCCTTTGTTCATAAATTGATTTTCGCACAGAGCTTATTTTCGTGAGAAAGATGCGGAAACCTGCTTGTCCATGGGAACCAGCGATATGAAATTGACTGGCACGTGTTCCGGTGTTATGCTCGTCATCTCTTCGAGTAGCCTGGTTTTGCCTATCCTCTGCACGCCCCTGAACGAACGACAAGGCGCTTTACCAAGCCGCGCCACGTGCACGGTTTTACGAGCAAGCGAAATCCAACTTGACGATAAGTAGATTCTTTTTGCATCCCGCGTCGCCTGCCAGCATCCGATCGAGTAGGCCGCAAAAGACTCGGAGTTCGGCGTCTCGCCCGAGCAACGGGTACTCGCTGACTTGCAGCTCGTTTTCGAACGAACTGGAATATCGCGGCCGACGTGAGGCGATGCAATATTCCGAGCGCGGACGGTGAAACGTTCAATTACGTGACTTTCTCGGAGAATTCGTAAATCGGGCCGGCGCTCGTGATGCCTTTCAGGTGCTTGGCCTCTTGCAGGACAAAGTGCTTGGCCTCCAGGTGGGACAGCAAGAAACTCTCTCTGTCGCAAACCACCTTCGCGCGGAACCGCCAATGACAATCGCAAATCCGAGCGGACCGGCCTGGCCGCGTATCGCGTTACCTTGTTGACGTAAGCGCACATCAGCCGAGCGGCTTTGTTGACGGCGATGCCGATGACGGTGTACTCCCTCCTGAGAACGTGGCCGACCACGCCGCAGTAGGTCTGCCCGGTCGTCACGCCGACGCTCACCGACTTGACGTTCTGAAACTTGACCAGGCCGTGGCGTAGTTTGAACGCGCAGCGCAGCCCGATCTGCGACTCGAGCTCGTGCTTGTCCCCGCGCAGGCCGAAAATGCAGAGGAACATGAGGTCCTTGTCGAAGAGCGAGGTCTTGTTCACGCAGCCCTGCATCTCGCCCACGCAGCTGGCGCACCCACGGGCCCGATTAAGCTCACGCTCGCGAGCGCTCGTCGGAGTGTGCAGATACCTGCACACGTAGGAGTAGCTCGCGTTCACCAATTTGATGAGGGTCTTTCGGTTGATCTCCTGGATGACGACGTTCACGAACACGATGACCACCTGGCGGATCTCTGTCAGGTACTCCAGCGGCTCGTCCAGCTCGACGGACCGGATGACTGGGCGCAGCACGTAGCTGCGCAGCTCGTGCGTCAACTTGGCCTCCACGGCTTTGGACACCTTCGGGCGCACTGCCACGGACGTGTTGGCGTGAGCTCGCGCGCCCCCCTTCCCCTGTCGCCTTAGCCCTCCAATGGCGCAGTCTTACGCATGTAGTCGGCCGTGGCCTCGGACCTCTTGGTCGCCAACGCTCTGTGACGAGCCGAGTCCCTCGACAGCAAGCCGCTGTCGGCCGAGTCCGTCGACGAGGTCCTCAGAGCGACGTCGCCGCTCGACGAGTCGCTGGACACTGCGGATGAGCAGCCGCTGGTTAGAGCGTGGCCCCGACTCGCGACCGGGGCCGAAGACTCGTCGAGAGCGCGCACCCGCTGCCTCGCTGAACGACCCCTTGGCGGTGTCCCACAGCACGGACATCGAGATGATGAGCGTGTGGACGCCGTCGGTCAGGGACTCGTAGATGTACTCGCTGGGGTTGACCCACTGCCAGCAGCTCGGCGCCACGAGGATGTCGCCGCCGCTGTCCGGTGGCGAAGGCGTTCGACGAGTTCGTTCAACGAGAGGGCCAACGACGCACCTACCGACACAGTCCCTCGGCGAACTTCACCTCCCAGACGGGCTTGCCGGTGATCACGTAGTAGGAGGCCACGTCGGGGCTACCGATGGACGTGAAGTACGTCTTGCCCGAAGCTATCGCCAGCTTCACTGCAAGAGCGAGCGCGAACGCGACGTTTTCGAATGTTCTGGCGGGGCGAACGTCTGGCGGTGACCGCGGCGAACGCAACCTTTCAGGACGACGTCCACGTCGGTCTCGTAGGTGCCGAAGTGTTTCTGGATGACGCACGCGGTCTTGATGGCCTCGGAGGTGATGTCGCGCATCACTCGGCCGTTCTCCAGCTTCCACATAACGATGAACGCGTCGCCGGAGAACTTCAGCACGTCGCCGCCGTGCGACAGGATCTCCTGCACCATGGCGCCGATGTAGCTGTTGAGCGTCTCCGTCAGCTTGGACGGGCCGCCTTTGCCAGACTTGGTGTACTTGTCCGTCATCTCCGTGAAGCCTGTTTGTTTGCACGCGTACGTTTGTCAGGTCGCGAGGTTTTGTACGCCTCGGTTCGACGGCCGCTCGCTAATTACCGGACACGTCGCCTAGCATCAGCGTGGTGTGGTAGCTCCTGGTGTTGTAGTTGTCGTAATGGTCCAGAATCTCGTCGGGACACATGGACGCGAATATTTTCACTTGCTTCTCTACGCGCAACGACTCCATTTGAGGTACGCGCCGCATTTCCGTGATCGAAACTTCGGCGTCTGACAGATGGTGCGTGCGTATGGGTTATGAGTAGTTGAGTTCTAGTTTTAGGGGCCGAGCTTTTGGCATTTACTTGCTGCCTCCTCCAAATCTTTCACGATTGATACGCTCGATGACATTTCCTCCTTCTTTGAATCCTTCGTCATTTTTTGCAAACCTAATAGCGCCTCGGGTAATATTGCTCGACCTATCGACTATATAGGTTGTAGATTTTGGTAAGGCGATTCGCGTCGTGGTCGTGACTCCGGACTCGTAAAAAACGTGACCTGCAGATGTCGCTGAACAAAGCGGTCGATTGAAGATTGAAGGATTCGATCCAAGCTTCATACAGATAGAGAAACAAAATTAAACGATTCTCCCTGACCTAGCGGCTTCCTTGTGATTTCAACTTATCGAATTTTAAAATTAAAAATAAAGAATCTAATATATCAGCTAGTTAGTTTTGAAGGCCCTATATTTATGAAATCCAAACTGATTTTGCTTTGTTATTCAGAAATCGACTCTGATTTCAATCTAACTTTACTCTGATTTTGTCCAAAGTCGCAATACCCGGTCGGAAGACCCCGGATGGGATCCCTTATGGGATCCCATATAAGATCCTACATAAGATCCCCATAAGAGATCCCATCCGGGGTCTTCCGACCGGGTACTGAATCGAAGCAGGATCAGAAAAGAATCAGAACTGATTGAATATCAGATCTGAACTGAATATTAATGAAAATTATATTACTAATGTACAAGAAATTCATTATTTGGTACTGAAGCCTTTTTAGATTACTAATATAGATATTTTTTAGTTTAATTATTTAATGGTTTTTCAAAATATTTTTATAATCATTGTGTTTTATTTAGAAATTACTTTTATTCCAGGGATAAATGACAATAAATAATTGAAAGCATTTTAACAAGTACAGGTTTATTAATGAAATATTAGCGCTAATAATGCACATGATAAAATCGTACCCGTATACCTTTACATATTCTTTTCTAATTTAAAATATTAATCATTTAATATACTCAAATCATGAAGAATATGAAAATTAAAGAATTCTTTAATAGATTATAGAGATACAAAAAGATGTTTGTAACGGTAGCTTTAATATAATAAATACTTATTTTATCATACACACCCACACACATACGCGCGCGCTAAACATCTACGTGTATATAGACGCAAGACGCGAAAGGTCTAGTCAACCCTCTTCCTAAAATTTACGTAAATTCACGGTATTTTCAGTGTTTTGGCAAAAAATCTGTTATTCGAATTTTTCACACTATTACTGCTGCAATCTCTTCTCCTAAGAATCATTTTTGGAAATGTGCCGATGGGCAAGAATAAATGTATACATAGTTTTAATTTATTGTAATAAATCCAATATTAACTATATTTGTTGTCGATTTTAAATATTTAAGTTCCATTAAAGTTATATTATATAAATGTACCATCATAATTAAGCCCTTAAGCTACTTACAATTTCTTTTCAGTATGCGGCTAAGTTTCTATTTAGCATTTTACTGGTTGCGCGAGCTCAAGCAGAGTAACAGACGTGTCATGTCTGTTTACAGTCACGAGTGTCTTAAAAAAATAATATGATCTGCAAAAGATTTTCACAAATAAACTTTTTATAATCTATTAACAATCAGTGGCAATAACTTCGTTTCCATCAATATACATTCAATAAATGTAAATTATTGTCTAAAATGAAGTGTAGGCCTTATAAAATTTGTATTTTGAGGTTATGACTTGAAATTTTATTCGTTTGTATGAACAATTAGTGATCATTGATTTGAATAATTTTCTTAATAGGTATGACATTTAACAGACCATGTACATAATTATTTAGTTTTAAGTTTAAACTTTTCACTCAGTGTTCACAATATCCAATGACGTAATTATACTTTAACTCTATTTCTCTAAATATTTAATTTTTATATAAAACAATAATTATAATTACAGTAGTCATGAAGTAAAAAATTCTTCTTTCAGACCTACAGACATCAACATTAGGTTTGATAATCAAAGACAAATGCACTATACTTAGATAAGAGTTTTAAAATGATGAACAATTTTTATAATCCATTCGGCCCAAATGCATGCAAGCCAGTACCAAAGCCACCACCAGAAGATCCTCTAAAACGAAAACCAGTATTTGTACACAACGAAGAGTTAGATAAAATTGCTGTATATTTCATAGGTAACCAACAAAGGTATCGGGAAAATATCATAATACCAAGAGCTTTAGGTGCAGGTCACATAAAAACTTATGAAGAAAAAATGATTGAGAAAGCTATGGAGAGTTGCGTATTTAAAAGTATCATGAGTTATGTTGTAGGTAAGCATAGTTTACTACAATTTTATTTTCTTCATTGCTGTTTATCATTGCGTTTGATTAAATTTTAACTAATTATATTAGGATTTGGACTTGGAGCTGCATTGGGTCTGTTTACATCAAGTGTAAATCCAAATGTTGCAGCTGTTGAAAAGCAACAAACAGCTCGTGAAATTTTTGCTGAAATGAAAATGACTACTCTTAGTTATGCCAAGAATTTTGCTGTTATTGGCTTTCTATTTTCTGGTGTAGAATGTGTCATAGAAACAGTAAGTTAATTTAAATTCTTAGTGGAAAAGTAGCATGAAGTATTATTGTTATTAGTGTAGTTGTGGCTTTCTGTATGATAAACTATATTGGTAAAGCTCAATAATGTGTGAAATAAATTGATATAGATTAATGATACATTTTTTTACTTTTTCAGTACCGAGGTCAAACCGATTGGAAAAACGGCACATATGCTGGAGGGCTTACAGGAGGTCTTATAGGTCTCAGAGGTAATAAATTATATTAACAATATTTTTGGTCCAATAAACATATTTTTATTAATTTCATTTGTTTTTATATATAAATTTGTATTTGCCTCTAGCCGGAGTAAAGGCGGGCATTGTTGGTGCAGCCGGTTTTGCGGCGTTTTCTACAGCGATAGACTATTATATGCACAGCAGGGGATAAGCTGCATACGCAGCCTGAAAAATCGACCTGTAGCTTATACTTATATATCATTGTTCTCGCGTCTCGATATGTAAAAAATGAATTGTACAAAAGTCATCAACACGCGTGAGACATAGAATATAGCTTAATACAAGACTTATTTGTCAGCTGATAAATGTATAAAATGTTAATACAAAACTTTGTTAAATACATAACAAGTAAAATTATCTAAAAGTTTTTTTATATATGTATTTGAGTTTTTGGAGTCACCCAATTGAATTGTTTATTCTGAATTCACATGTAGCATAAATGCAAGCAATTCGCAATATTTCGTTTTTTAATGTACAACTTTTGTTTCCATCATTATAAAATTATTAAATACGTATACACTTATGTTCTAAAGTCACTTAAATTACTGCATAACTACCAATAATGAAATACATTTACAGAAATATTTATGAGATGAATTAGATTTTTTTTGTTCAGGACATAAATATTCAACAATTAAAATCAATTTGTAATAAAATGATACAAAATCAAAGCAGTAATCTGAAAATCCACTCATACTCAAAAGTCAGTATGACAAATATTGCTACTACATAAAACATAACTGATGCATCGCCTGCCAAGCACGATATTTACGAAAATATATATTTATATAAACGTACGTAGCAGTGACATCTACTTCGTCTCAGATTTTTAAATATTAAATTTGTAAAATAGACTTCCTTTTCACATGTTTTTCCAATTGCAAAAGAAATTTAAAAATACATATATTTGGAAGTTAGCGGAAGGATTTGGTTTGTCTCTTCCATTCGAGTCTAATTCTTAAAATTCTCATCAGCTTTTCATTTAAACTCCTTAACAAATGACTTTTACAAATACTGTTAATTTGTTTGTTCAAATTTCTCGAAAGACTTAAAAATACAGAATTATCAAAAAAAGTCTGTATTGCAAAAAATTTGGTATTCAAGAATGACTGCAAGGCACTTCTTAGGTTTCGCTGTTTGTGTTTCATAATAAGTATTGTGACTGGCAGAAACCTCACGGTTAAAAGTGAATTGCTTGTCATGTTTCTTGCTAAGGATACGAGCTTGTTTTTCTTAATTAAAAAATACTGAGGTATGGAGTTATATCGCAAGGAAATTGTTAATCGTTGATGTACTGAAGACTCGACTGAAAACTCAGGCAGAGAACTTGAATTGCCTTTGTTATTCTCAGACTTTTCAATGATGCACTATCTATAAGACCACAGAGATTCTTGCTTTTCAAATCATTCTCATGGTTCGTTATTGGCACCTGCGAGGTCTGCAATTTTTATGGTTGCTGTTGTTGCATTTGAGCTTGCATCACTGCTAGCATTTCCTGCATCCTTCTAAGCTCTGCTTCTTTTTCTTGTAAGATGCGATCCTTTTCAGATACATTATTTTTGTCATTTTCGACAATTCTATAACATAAAATAACTATAAATAATTACAACAAATACACTACATGATAATATATCTTGATTAAAATATTTACGTTTGACGTCGCGGTGGAACGGGAGCTCCTTTTGCTAGTCTTTCGCTTCTGTAGTTTTCATAATGCACCTCTTGAGTTACTTCTTGCAGATCTTGCATGTGAGTGCTAAACAAATAAATTAACATAAAAATATTTAAATTCAATTACCTTTATTTTGCAATAAAGTATACTCACATCAACATAGTTCTAAGTTTAATAAAATCGCAATGATCTGGGTTTTCAACTTCAACAACACCCCATGGATATAACCTGCCACGAACTTTCCTTCCTTTTACCTCAAGCAATGTTGTTGATCCACAAACAGCGAACGGAACAGCTTCTTTCAACTGTTTTACTTGCTCTTTGTAATCTTCATCTTCGTCACTATCGCAATCCGGCAACGGGTAGATTTTTATTCCATTTTCTTCGATTTCGTCAAGCACACGTTTTTTCAAGCGTAACATTTCTTTCTTTGTGAGCACATCAGCTTTGGCTATGACAGGCACAATGTTGACCTTATTATGTAGTTGCTTCATAAATTCAATGTCTAAAGGTTTTAGTCTAAACAGCAAAAATATTTATATGATAAAAATAACTATCAATTATACTAAAAGATGAAATTAAAATACATACCCATGCCCAAAAGGAGAAATAAAATAGAAACAACAATGTACTCTATTGTCAACAATGTTTCTTCTGTTTAGACCACTTTCATCTCTCAAAAACCTTTCAAACTGATCATCAATATACTGAATGATAGCTCTAAAACTGTCTGAGTTGTCGATTGCATCTCCATATCCTGGTGTATCAACTACAGTCAATCTAAGTTTCACTCCTCTTTCTTCAATCTCAACAGTGGAAGCATCAAGCTTCACTATCTGATTTGTTTTTTCTGTAAAATTCAATAAGTCACTTAAACATTAAGTCCAAATTATACATGTCATAACATCAAACCACCATCCAGCTCGTGAAAAAACGTGAATATTGCACATGGGTGATATATATAGTGGAACGAAAAATATTATAAATGTAAATAATTATTTAAAATATTAGTAGTAAAGTAAGTGAATGTAAAACTACTTAGTTTGAAAAAATTTTGTGAACAATAAATTAAAATAAAACATTTACTACAAAATGTATGTATTGCATGATGAAACCAACACATCTGGTTGGAAAATATACATGCCTTTTTGGATAATAGCCAAAAGTAATACAAAATATAAAAACATTTTAATGAAGCAATTTTGTAAGAAATGAAAGTTTGTAAATCTTAGTACTATATTAACAAATGAGATTGAAAACCTACAAAACATTTAGCTAGTTTTGCAAATGTACACAAACAAAATAACTGTAATTGAAAGGCTATCTTTTTTCACTTACTACTAAGTTCCGTTATTGCTATGGATTTGATGAAATGGTAATAGAAATTTTATTAGTTTTTGTTTGAAATTATTCAGAATCATTAGTTGTTTCTACTTGAATTTCATTATACCTGTTGCAGTTGGAATTACTCGTTCTGGATATAAATCAGTGAGGAAAAGACTATTAACTAAGGTTGATTTTCCAAGTCCTGATTCACCCACAACCATAAGAGTGAATTCAAAACCTTTTTTAACAGACTTTCGGTGAACTTGATTGGGTAGGTTAGCAAAACCTACATACCCTGGAGTTTCCAAACTGGCAAACTGTAATTTTAATTCATTTATGTTGTTTACAAACATATTGCGTTTTTGAGATGTTATTTAATAATGAATGTAGAATATCTAGTATAAACATAATTTCAACTGTAACTGTATTTCTTTTGAATGCAATGGAATGTAAAGTGAACAGTAGAAGTGATTTAGCATTGGTAATAAATCGCAGAGTATAATTAGCTACTCCATTTCCGTTACAAGTCTTATAAATTCAACGATTGCAAAATCAGCACAAATGGTAATGAACAAATAAAGTAATGATTCCAATTTTCCGTGTTAAACAATAAGGAATTTATTAAAGATCCCAGTACAGTAAGACGATCATCAATATTGATATTATCTTACGGACTATCTGCTAGTCAAGTCTGAATCATGATGAGCATGAACGACGAATAACAACGCTTCAAAATTAAAAATACTCGCACGAACCACAATCCGCACCATAACAAACTATTAACTGTACAAACTAATTGAATCGCTGAGTCTTGCACGACCCAGAATCACACTTAATCCCGGATAATTATCACGTCTCATTTCTATCCTTACAAAGCAATGCATCGTTACCGCATTCATGTGGTGCTCCAAAATTCCAAGCAACGTTAAATTTATAAATTCTCTTACCTTGTTGGAGTGCATATTTCTAAGGTCGTCGTTTAATCTGACACATGCAGCGTATTAGTCGGGGGAAAAAAAGGGCAAAAGTCCACGTAAAACGGATCGATGATCAGTCGACTACGACGAACCGGCTACTATTAACCCCTCCGTGTTGAACAAAGAGACGCCGTGTGCGTCATCGTAAACAAGGGCATCTCATTCGCACACACTCACCGTTTTCACGCTTTCACTCGACATCTTGATACTCTACTTTGACTCAGGGCCTATTGGGTATATTTCAACAGCTTGATGTAGAGACGTGGCTCCTGCTACTATCAGCTACGTACAGTGTTGTTGACTCGACGAAGGCGGAAACGCGTATGTGCGCAGCGCGTGCGAACTGCAAGAGAAGCAATAGTGAGGCCTAGCAAGCAAACTAAGCGTGTGTCCACCCGCTATATCTACACCTCAAATCGGGGTGTACGACAGACAGAGAAAGAGCGATAGTGGGAGAGAGGAAAGAGAGAAGTGCAGGCTGAGGCGTGGCCTAACTCATATACGTATATATATATATATATATGTTACATATGTTACGACTGCTCTTTTTTTATTTGCGATGTTTGTTTTGTTGTTGCATCTTTATTCACTCATTTTATGTTTTATAATCCGTTTATAACTGTTGAACATAAAAGATTGTGATCATTTGATTTATTTTTGTATTGATCAACTGTTATAGTATCAACTTGAGTTTCATTTGTTAAAAAAAATTAATTACTTATTTGATCAATTAATTCATACTTTGAAAAATTTCTCTATAGAATAAATAATTTATTTCCTGTCAGAAGGTAAGAAGCTCCCAACCTCAAATAAAAAAAAAGTTTTCAAACCATCTCAATTACTTTGCATTTTCGAATTATATTGTGCAGATCAGAAACAACGCAAATTATTAATTAACTGTTTTGATGAATGCAATCTTGAAGCTGAAAGTGCTCTTTCACTGTGGCTATTCGTATTCATGTGTCCTAGAAAAAGATCTCGGAAAAGCGATGTTTTGTAATCGAGCCACGTCTCCTTATATATACACACGTTTGACGTATAATTTTCTTGGAATTTGAAAACTACATAAAATCAAGAAATTTTCTGTCAAACTTTATTTTTACTATGTAAAGAAATATTATATATCATAAAAGCACGCACAGTATCGTTTACATTATTTTCATTCTTATGTTCCCACAATTATAATAATCATCTGCACTGTAGAGTTATGGTTTTATTTTCTTTATCGCCTCAGGCGAATGTTATAATAATAAAAATGTTACTATTAAGAATTGCGCTAGATTATATTACAAAGTGAACTAACGTAAAATCTAGTTATATAAGAACGAATAACAGAAAAGAAATAATGTAACACACATATGGATTCTTCTTAATATTAACACAAATATGTATCTAGTCATACATTGTTGTCGTGAATGAACCAAGTAAAAATAATGAGAGTTGTTATTAATCTTTAAAAATAAAATCGATACACAACGTATATGAAAGTGTAATGCAATGAACGAATGCAAGAAAGGCACGTAATAAGAGTGATTAAATCAGTATATATTAAAGGGTAGCTTACAAAATACATTAATGATAATATTATTATAGCGGTAATATTCACAATTTGAATTACACAAAACGTCGTTTTCTAGCTTTCTGTTTAATTTATACTTTGTTTCCTCTGTTTTACTGACGACACATTACACGGATATCAGGCAAATATCTACTACTTGTATTTGGATGTATTTCGTACTCAATATCCAAGCATAGTTCCGTACAAAATCAATTTTTCTCTTTTTATAATCATCACTGTTATTTTATTATATTATTTTCAAGTCGTCATTCTCATCTTCAACATTTTATCAGTCAATCGATATTTTTTCTCTCTAAACTTTATCGTAGCACATTAGCTTAAGGTAAAAATTTATTCATCCTCGCGCGATATTACCGCACAAATGACACTTTGTAATTATATTCTCTATAGAAAATCACTTAAATTTTTTAACACGTCACACTCTTGTGATTTAATGAAAGATCGAACGTGAATAAGGTCACGTAAGTTCTTTGGATGTAATTGCATTTGCTCAGCATCGGCTTGTGCACTTTGTTATTTGTATCTAAATTGAAAGAACATAGATTTCTTGAAATGTTATAATAAAAAGGAACATAAAAAAAAGACAAACAAATAAACTCTCTTTAGTAACATTAAAAAGTTTCACGCCGCTACGGTATTTCAATGATCTTCATTTTGAAGTTGTAGTTTGACAGAGCACGAAGAATATTGATTGATCGTTTTTTTTGTTTTCATGACAATTTTTTAATTAATATTATTACTAACTGTCCGTACGTTTCCACTCTATTTAATTCTTATGTTAAAGGTAAACTCCATGCTTACATATTGAAACACGAATTGTTTAGACACAAGTCTACATGAACATCAAGTATATTCATGATCGTTTTACAAATTCTTCGTTCAATAATCGTGATTATTCACATGATTCAGACATTTCTTAATCAAATGATGCATTAGACGATGTAATTATCACTATTTTATCCATAAAGGATTCAATTCTAGGAATGTTCTGTTACTAATTCTCAGCTACTTCATAGCTTTAGCAACAGAACGCAATTAAAAACTTCTTAATTCGAACAGCCGACGCTAAGCGTGGAGATCTACACGGTGCGTGATTGTAAGAGACAGACTTACAGTAATGTTATAAGAAATCTATTTTTCTTTTTAAGTGGCTTATGAAGAAAGATACAATATGCAACTGCAACTAAATAAAAATGTATCTTTTTTTTTCTTTAGTTTTATTTTCATCATATCAAGAAGCAGCGTTGATTCGATTCTTTCATTTGTTTTCTTTTAAATGAAGCACATGTGTAACAAAATTATTTTTAAAGAACTTTAGAATTACAATAAAATTACTCATTTTTACGGGACATTCACTTTTCTTTTTTTTTTTTTTCAAATAGCGTATGTACAATCAAAAATAACTCTTTGTTGAAAACATCAAATTGAATTTTTTGTATACATATTGCCATACTCCGCAAAATTAACACGAAAAACTATAATTCAATTGAAAAACGCTTCATTCTCAAACTTCAATAGTTTCATATAAATACACAAAACTTTGTGTGTGGACATTACGTGAATAAAAAAAAAAAAACATTTAAAAAACGCATTTCTAAACTAAAAATTAATATGAATATGTTCAAGCAACGTATACAATTTGCAGCGATATGACCGAGAAAAAAAATTGACTTCTTGATTTTTACACTTCAAGATCCATCTTCGTAAATTAGTTTGCCTAGGAAGACTCCCCTGCGCTAGCGACTTCTCTCATTCTCCATGTTCTTTTTATCCACATGTTGATACAAAGTTGAAAACTGAACATAATTAGAAAAAAATGAAGAAAAAATAAAACGAAAAAAGACATCATAGATCCATGTAGTAGGGTCTCCGCCCGCTGACGTTTATTCGGAAGTTGAGGGGTTCCTCACGTTAGAGTCTGTCTATCTTCCTGTCACCAATGAAAATTATCCGAGTTAGGTTTGTGTTATCGTGTGTTGTATGTTGCGTCAATTTTTCCATGCATATCTAGACATAGGGATTATAGGATAGTGGGAAACTATAACAGAGTATAGTTTACTTGGCAGGATCTTCCTTGCCGACAAGGTTTTCCTCTCGAGGCTTAGCTCCGCCAAAAATGGCACTTCGTGCCGGTGTATCGGCCAACGAGTTCACTGGTTCGGCCACAGTTCGACGTGCCAGTACCAGTGGTTTCCTACCAGTGGTGTCTGTACAAAAAATATATTTTTATTTCAAATCATTTCTTTCTTTTTGCTTGCTGAATGCTCAATTTTTATAATATTTTCATTCGTAAAAGTTCCATTATAAAAGAAATTATTTGACTAAGACAAAACAACAACATGACGCGGCAACTTTCTTACTATAGATCAGCAAACTAATTCTAACACGAATGATAATTTTAAATACCTTGCACTTATCGTATTAACTTGAAAACCATGTAAAAACATTTTTATACATAAGTTTTTTTAATACCGATATGGAAATTTGATCCATTAAACTTGTTAAATTACACGTCTATGACAAACACAAGTAAAACTAACAGCACAAGCAAGTTTATGAAAAAAGAATGTGTATTAAGATTACAAACCTGGAGGTGGTTCTTTATAGAGGTCGTCGTATTTTCTGTCAGGTGGACCACCACCGCTTCGCGGAGGTCGGCCACCACCATATCTTGGTCCACCACCTGGACCACCGGGTCCACTACCACCGCCGCTACGGTAATTCCATTCTCGGCTACCACCACCGGATTCATCGCCGCCACCAAAGTTGCCGTAATTACCACGATTACCCCGGCTATCGCCACCGAAACCACCCTGTCGACCACCAGGACCGCCCATTCCTCTGTCATTATAACCTCCTGTAAACAACAAACGTTTACATGTTAGTTTTTTCGAATCGGCATCTTCTATCGGAAATCGACTGGTTTATTATTTGACATAAATAATTATTAGTTTAACAGTCGAAATTTTATAGAAAAGAAACCCAAATGAAAAATAGAAAAAACATTATTAAAAACTTAAAAGCTATGCTAAGTTCAATCAAAAAAACCAACTAAAAATAAAACAAAGTTAAAAATAATAAACATAAGCAACGATGGATCGAAACGACAAATATCGTGTTAAAATAAACAAAACAAATAATTGAAACTGAATCGATGGCTGGTTTTTTAGATATAAACGGTAGCATAACTAAAGCGTTATGCCGTGCGAGCATAACGCTTACTCTGAAACAGATATGCGCTACCGAAGTCATCGCCGTATCCACCTGCCCGTGGGGGGCCACCACCGTCTCTCCCTCGGAAACCACCGCCAAGACCTCCACCGCCCCCGCCTCGACCTCTTCTGTCAAAGCCACCTCCTCTGTCGTTCTTCTTGCCTTCAGCAACATCAATTTTGATTATGTTACCTTCAACGTCAACTATGCCATTTAACTTGATTGCTTCCTTGAGATCTTTTAATTCTTCAAACTCTACATAGCAAAATCCTTTGAACCTAAGATAAAAAATAAATTTAAATATTTGTATATGGAATTTGATTATTTTAAGTTGCAGCCCATATTGTGCATGTAGAATATTAGTATCTAATTTCAAAATTTATGATCAAAATAAATGATTTTAAATATTAAAGTAATTGCTTCTAATGAAAAAATAATTATATATGAAAATTTAAAGTTTTGTTCTAATCACTTAAGTAGATAAGATATTTAAACAGTAAAAAAAATATAAATAGAAAAAGAAAATATCAAATTTACACATTTGACTGTATACTATGCATCTTTAAATAATACAGCTGCAACTTAAATACAAGTTATTTTTCAAACAGAAGATCTGCTATAAACAGTCAACCAATCCACATGTAAGACAGAAATTTGGCAAACATGAAGAACAAGTATATACAAACCTATCAGTTTCTTTATCCTTGACTAAACGAATATTTTTCACACGTGAATTGCTGAAAATTTTGTCTATGTCTCCTTGGACAATACCATTAGGTAAATTTCCTACATAAGCAGTATATGGTGGCTCAGTTGGTAAAGGTTTGGCACCTCCTCTTGCCCCGTAATCTCTGAAGATGACAACAGAACGCAACAATTAAGTTAAACGCAAAGCTAATTCATATTTAAAATAACGTAGCACTTGAACAGAGAGCGCGCTTGGAAAAAATCGACACGTGAAAGCGGCGTATGAACAATAATGATTGGTCGAGTAAATTTATGCTTGTAGTATGGTTACGATCGATGGTAGAGCGATAGATGTCAAAATAAAACCTCGTGGGTAGTCGCCGAGATGACACGTTGTCGGCGGCTGAACAACCGAGTCGCCGTGTGTGCGAGAGTTCCGGGAGACAAACTTAACCTCCCTGACACACGGCTACATCGTCTCCGACGACTTCATTTATCGTTCGACTCGCAAAATTGAGCACTCGTGCAAGTCTTGCGCACACGTTGTACAAGTGTGAAAATGCCGCGAAAAATCGCCTTGCTTTTGACTTTGAACAATACTTGCCTTAAATCATCGTAACCACCTCGTCCAGCCATGTTGGATGCACGAAAACTGCTTAGGACGGCGTGGGTCGTCCTCGCTAACTCTAGCTCTGCTGCGCCGCGCAGCAGCAGTGCGCGCGATTTTTCGCCTCAGTTCAGCGAAGGAATCAAGCCCTCCCCCGGCCACAACAAGCTGCTCTGCCGGTAGGGTAGAACTATTCAACGCGGTGGCGGATCTTACGCCAAAATTTGAAAATGCTTATAATTTTTCATTTTTATTTATATAGACTCGCAATTACGTAATACCAAAAGATTGTTGAACTTGACACAGAATTTGCTAATTTTAGTTGATATCTATGTGGAATTATTACCATAGTCAATCAAAAGTAATCTTATATCAAATCTTACTTAAATTTCGTTGGAAAAATACTGACGGTTCTAGAGTAGATGCGTAAGCTGCAGTATCATAATTAATTTAAGCATGTGACAATTTCTTTGCATTTAACCGTAAACTGTTAACGATTTTTTTAAGAGCAAGTGCGACTCGTTGGAGCGTACAAGAAGAGAAAACAGCGTGTCTCTAGAGCTACGCGCGTAAAGAATTTTACGCAAAAAAGTGCGAGCCTGCAGGAAGGGAGCGGTAGCGGTAGCGGCGGGGCAGAGGCAGATGAGTGTGCGCGTAGCACGATTACATTTTTCCTCGGTTCGCTCGACCATCCGCTCCCTCAACTTGGCACGTCCTGTTTTTATTATTGCGCGAGGTTGTGTTCGCGAGAGTGTGTGTTTTTGTTTTGCGCTGGCTGACGTGAAAATTTAACAAAATAATCACTAAACAGCCGTGGCTCTTTTTTACTCGTATATCTTAGCAGCTCAACAACCGCAGGTGAGTAGTTTGCAAATTAAAGCGAGTGAAAAAGAGGAGTGACAGTTCAGTTTGTGTGGTGGAGAGTCAGACACGCGATTTTGTGATCGATCGCGTGGAGAGCGCGGCCAACCGTAAATACGCACTATTGCTTAAGCAAAGAAAGAGTTGCACGCGACTTTCGCAAGCAACGTCATGGATATTTTTGGGAAATAGGGAGAATGAGAGAATGATGGAGCTTGTGAAAGAGCGATAGTTCTATTTGGGAGAAAGAATAGTAAAGGTTTATTGTTATATCCCTCGGTCGTGTTAATTCGTTTCAATTTTCAAGGCCGCGAGTTCAGATATTTTCGGACTTTTAGAGAAGAAACCACTGCTGTGTTTATAGATTTCTACTGTCTGTTCTTTCGTACTACGATTATTAAGTTCAATCAAGTGTCACCAGTCATTTTAACAGTAAATTTACATTTCTTATTTTAAACGGTTAATCTAAGCAATGTTTCTGCAAAGTCAAGTTCATTAAAAAATATAACTGCAGCAACGCTACTACATGTAAAAGGCATATCAATCAAGGTTTATAAGATTATCTCATTGTCATAATTGGTACTTATAAATTCTGTTATTTTAAGTGCTTTTCATAAAAACTAATTGTAAATATTTAAAATATAAAAGTTTCTTGTTTAAAAAAAAATACAATAAAGAAAAGCAAAGCAGTGTTTTGTACAAATCATCATATTTCACTTCAGTTATCCAATGTCAAGCTTGTTTGAATAACCTTGTGAATCTCATCTGTTGTAGGAAGCTATAAATACCATGAGTCGATCTGGACCACCACCTCCATATGATTATCCTCCAACAGCTCCACCAAGCTATTCCCAATGCGTAGGAGGTGTGCAACCAGCAAGCCCATTCACACCAGCTAAAACATGTAAAGCATTGTCAATGTCTATCAAATGTTTTTGCAAATGTTTCTTTGTTCATGAGAATCTATTATCTAACTACTATCATTATATATTTTTTGTTCAGTTGTTTTTGATGATAACATTTTCAAGTTTTTGTCTTATGATAATATAATTTCAAGGATATCATTTGATCAAAAATAATCCATGAATAAACTCATAAGTTCATTGGCTTAGTAATATTATAAAATAGTAATTAAATATAAATTGCATTTTTTTTAAAGATGTTGAAGGACCTACTATTGTAACAACAATTGTGCCAGTTGGTCCTGGCCCTACACATACGATATGTCCACAATGTTATGCTGAGATTGATACCACAACAAAAACTGAACCTGGGATGATAGCTTATATTTCAGGATTTATAATCGCACTATTAGGGTAATTTAAATTAATTAATTAATTGAATTGCTTTTTGAATTTTTAATATAATTTAATTCAATTCAATTATAGCTAAATAATAAATGATTTTATAATCCTGATTATAAATAAAATTGATAATGTAAATTATAAAAAATTTCGATTCCCCTATATCTTTAAGATATAATTTTTTATAGATGTTGGGCTGGGTGCTGCTTAATACCATGCTGCATTGATGACTGCATGGATGTTCATCATACCTGTCCAAATTGCAAAGCCTATCTTGGTCGTCATCGAAGATAGATTCAAACAATGATATTGTTAGTTTATGGAATTCTATCTCAATAGTTCATTTTTACTTGTAATTGCAAAAAAATATTTATCCTAATTATGGACGCAGAATCTCACACAGTTGCCTTGTTTTTTCTTAAACATTCCTAGTAAATATTTCAAGGTATACTTTTAATCTCTAATCGCATAAATACATGGAATTAAGTCTGGAAAAATTTGCAAATGCACATTTCCATCTAATTTGTTTACGCGAAAAATGATATTGCGCCATTACGATTCTTTAACTTAATTAGTTTCATTATCAATGAAGCTCAAATGATAAATGCAAATTAAAGTTAAATTGTAACAACATTTTACAAGAGAAAATGCAAACATTTTTTTAATTCAATTTAAATAATAAAAAAAATTGATTCTAGTTAATCAGTGATTTAATCAACTAAAATCAACAATTTTTTTTATCATTGTGAGTTATCAATTTCCAAAAGAAAAATGTACTTTAGTACCTGTTTTGTCCTGTAAATGTATGATTAGCACAATACTTCATTTGAAATTTAATTTATTACTTACGTCGACATCTAAAAATTATATAGGTACTAATATTCTGACAGTGTTACAATGTCGTAAAACTAGTTTCGATTTTCTTAATTTACAAGAGACTATATATTTACTTATTTTTTACTATGATGCAAAAGTGTATATTGTACATCAAAATGTCAGTAAAAAGCATTGTGAATTTGTCTTAATATTTTTACGAAAGCGTTATAGAAAAATTTATTCAGTCTACATATTTATATACAATGATGCTTTATAAAAGAAAGAGTATATGTTGTCAATTTTCTGACAGGACAGTGAACAATGTCATCAATAACGTACATAAATTTAAGAAATCAAAAAAATACAAATTTAATTAACAATTTACAAAGAAAACTATGTCATGATTTCTTTTCAACTTTTGCAAGTTAATCTTTCTATATAATATTTATTGAAATGTAGAAAAAAACGATTATACTGAATTTTTGTGCAATACGATATTAAATTATAATAAGTAAATCATTAAACGAAAATTTTTTTACAAGTACAAAGTTACATATACGAATTAAAATACTGTTTAATTATATTATAGCATAAAAAATCTAATCGACGTGTTCATTCTTAATTAAAACATTCTTATCATTTAAAAATCAATATATGTATACCCATTTGTACACAAACGATAGAAGTACCTCTGTATCTGTTACCATGTTCAATGTTAAAAGTATATGTCAGAAGTTACATAATATTTTGACTTATACTTGGCAGCTTTAGGATTAATGATTTATACATCTTCAAGTATTAACAATGCAAAGAAAATATAAATAATTGACAATTAATTTAATCCTGTAATATTACACTGTAAACATTTTTGCTTTAAAATGTACAAGTAGATTTTTCATTAATCTGAATGATACTAACTGATGATTACCTTGGTTAATTTGTTACTTTATGTTATTTATTGTACATACCAAAGATATTTATATTCATAAGTTATATTACATCAAAAATTTTTACAGTGTAGTTTGTGTTCATGACAATGTTATATTTATATGTTATCACAATATTTTTCAATATTACAATCCGATATGTTGCATAAATTATGCTCATCAAATACAATTCTACGATGTTTTAGAAAAATATTTTATTAGAAATCATGCATTTCACTGAAAAGTTCAACGATATCACGAGTTTTTAATATAAACATTTGAACAAATAACGAATATATATTTACACAAAAAATTGCACAAAATAACAAGATCCTGAAAAATGGCTTCAAAAATATATAATTCAATTTAAAAGTTGAATTTATAAACTCATTAATATTTGTACATTTAAAATAATGAATCAAACTATTTAATTTTGTTAACTTTCAATAATAACTTGTTTGTGTACTTTACTTATATACAAAAATAAAAAGCAATTTTTACTTACAATAAATTTTGTATAATTTCATAAAATATCCTAAATAATACATTTTTTTGATTTAGTTGCTGAACATATATGAAAAATAAATTATCTCTGATGCATTTCATTATTCTATCTTCACTCCTGTACTTTTCTTGTTGTGAGTATTTTCAAACAGCTGATTTTCTTATAACCTTTTAGTTTTATATATGATACCCTGGTTTTGTAACTGACCAGGACCTAGAAAGCTTCAATAAAGCATGATAGATAGGTGAATACATACTTTACATTATTAAATTCATAATGCACTGTTTTCAATCATTTCTTTACATTTAATATGTTCAAAATTACTTTTAAAGCGTTAAAATCTTTATTTACAGAATCAGTATAATAGATTTTTTACATAATTGAAGCAGTTTTAAATCACTTTAATTTATACAAGTTTTGTATTTTTTTATTACAGGTGAAACTCATACAATTAAAAAAGCTTCCAAATAGCTCAATTTTGATAATGAAGTTTTATAATTGATTACGACATCTAGAAGTTTATGTTTTCTCAAATATGTGGCAACGAACTGGAATCTATTGCCATCAGTTTTTGACAAAAAAAGTTAAGCTATGCAATATTAGTCATAAAATCATTACAAGGACAAATATCTCATCTACAAGTGATGATGGTCTTCCAACAGAAGCTGACGTAGTAATATGTGGTGGTGGAGTGATGGGAGCTGCAGTAGCATATCATCTTGCTCTGGCAGGATGGGGAGAAAGAACTGTTCTGCTGGAAAGTAGCAGGTAAATTTTAGATATGATAATAAAATTTCCAATATTTTACATAATTATGGATTATGAAAATTAAAGACTTGGTGGAGGAACCACATGGCATGCATCAGGACTTGTTGGAGTTTTCAAACCCTCACTTCCTCAGGTGAGATTAGCTCAAGATAGCATAGCTTTGTACAAAGAACTTGAAGCTAAAGGCTTGCAGACTGGTTGGAAACAGTGTGGCAGTCTTTCTTTGGCACGCACAGGTGATCGCATGACTGTTTTCAGGAGGATGAAAGCACAATCTGTGTAAATATTTATAGAATATTTATTTAGTGATAACAATTTAATTTTGTTAAAATGATACCCTATGATAATCAGTCATTTTAGGAGCAGTAGTTTGCTAAAGATAACTTAATTGAAATACTATTACAGATCTCTGGATATAGAATGCTATTTAGTATCACCTGAGGAGATTCGATCTCTTTGTCCTTTACTAAAAGTTGATGATCTCTATGGAGGTCTTTGGATTCCTGGTGATGGTGTTGGTGATCCTTACCAAATTTGTTTAACCCTTATTGCAGAAGCTGTGAAAAATGGTATATTTTATCTATTCATTTAGTATCTATTCATTTAAAAATATTTGCTTTGCTATCTATTAATTGATTGATCTATTGATTGATCTATTGATCTATTTGAAATCTATTATGATTATCAGGAATTCGAGTTTATGAAGACTGCAAGTTGTTAAAAATTAAAAGCACAAATGAGAAAGTGAAGGCAGTGGAAACTACTCGCGGATCAATCGAGTGTAAATACTTTGTAAATTGTACTGGCTTTTGGGCCCGAAGCGTAGGAAAACTGAGCGAACCTTATGTTAAGGTAAACATAAAAACTTAATCTCTACGATGTTTTATTAAAATTTATATCAATTGTATTCCTTTATTCAGGTTCCTTTACATCCAGTAGAACATTATTATTTGCATACTAAACCAATTCCTGGTTTGAATCCAATGACTCCAGTAGTTCGAGATCTAGATGGATATGTCTATTTCCGTGAAAATAATGGGCGAATTCTAGCAGGTGGCTTCGAACCTGTTGCTAAACCAGTATTTGAAGATGGAGTTATACCTGGTATATAAGGAAAAGCTATTACGATTAAAGAAGGCGCAACATTTATTTTATTTTTTTTCTCGTTAGAAAATCCAAATGATCGTTATTTACCACCTGATTGGGATCACTTTCATGTACTACTAGAACAGATGCTCCACAGGATACCAAAGTTAAATGACGCAAAGCTCGAGATACTCTGCAATGGTCCTGAAGCTTTTTCACCAGACTGTAAGTGGATTATTGGAGAAGCGCCCGAGATTAGAAACTATTACGTTGCTGCTGGAATGAAAACAGTGAGAATCGTTTGATTTTTTTTTCAAAGATGAATATTTATTTTATTTCACATCTTTGGGATGTTCTTAGATTGGAATTTCAGCAGCTGGCGGAGTAGGTCGGGCCACTGCTGAGTTAATCACTAAAGGAATGACCTCTGTCGATTTGTACGAGTTGGACATAACGCGTTTCCTTGGTTTGCACAATAATCGTAAATTTTTACGCGATCGGGTGAAGGAAGTTCCAAGTTTGCATTATGGCCTCATCTATCCACATCATGAATTTAAAACCGGTCGAAATTTACGAATGTCACCAATTTACCCCAAGCTTAGAGAAGCAGGTGCTGTGTTTGGGCAAGTGATGGGTTATGAGAGGCCTACTTGGTTTTCGAACAGTAGCGAAGTCGGTAAGCACGTTATTTGTCTTAAAAAAGTGAAAATTATTATTTCAAGTGTATTACTGAAACAGATATAGATCCTTGCGACGGTTCGCAAAAGTACAAGATTGCTTACACCAATACATTTGGCAAACCGCCTTGGTTTAACCATGTAGAAAATGAGTACGCTGCGTGCAGAGAAACAATAGGTCTAAGCGATTATTCTTCCTTTACTAAAATCGATCTTTGGGTAAGTTTCGTAGTATAATTATATGCTCATTAGTAAACTATTTTATTGTGCTTTTTCTTTCATTCAGTCGAACGGAACCGAAGTAGTAGACTTTCTGCAATACTTATGCTCAAACGACGTTGATGTACCAGTTGGAAGCATCATCCACACGGGAATGCAAAATCATCGAGGTGGTTACGAAAATGATTGCAGTTTGGCCCGGATAGCTCCAAATCAGTAAGTCTTGCAGCAATGAATCGTGATTTTTGATTTTGTGGTAACTGGTTAATTTGATTAAACATTGCAGTTATATGATGATAGCGCCAACGATCCAGCAAACTCGCTGCAAGTTCTGGCTAAAAAAACATTTGCCTTCCGACGGCTCTGTGGCCGTGTCGGACGTCACTTCGGCTTACACGGCTATTTGCATTATGGGACCTGCTACACGTCAATTACTGTCGGAACTGACTGATACTGATTTGAATCCGAAAAACTTTCCATTTTTTACTTTCAAGGAGTTGGACGTTGGATTAGCTAACGGTATTAGAACTATGAATTTAACGCACACTGGAGAACTTGGATATGTTCTGTACATTCCTAATGAAGTATGAATCTCGATCTTTTCGATGTTTCGTCAGTGCTTTTGCTGGTAACATTAAACTTGATTTTGTTTTTCAGTTTGCATTACATGTCTATACACGCTTGATAGAGGCTGGCGAAAAGTACAAAATTAAACATGCTGGTTATTACGCTACGAAAGCCTTGCGAGTTGAAAAGTTCTACGCTTTTTGGGGACAAGATCTAGATACGTTTACCACACCCTTAGAGTGCGGTCGGGCGTGGAGAGTCAAGTTCGATGTGAGCAATCTTTAACGAACAATAAAATAATTACCTAGAAATGTAACATAATTATTCTGCAAATTGTAGAAAGGAGTGAACTTTATTGGCAGAAATGCTTTGTTGAAGCAACGAGATACAGGTGTGAAACGACAATACGTTCAGTTGCTGCTCAACGACCATGATCCTGACATCGATACTTGGTGTTGGGGTGGTGAACCGATTTACCGAAATGGACAGTATTGTGGAATGACGACAACTACTGGATACGGCTTCACGTTTAAAAAGCAGGTAAAATATCAATACGATATTAATCATCATGTAATGCATTAATAGAGTATTTCATTTAAAAAATAATGTGTTGGTTTGCAGGTTTGCTTGGGTTTCGTACAAAACTTAGATGCTCAAAATCAATCTCAAACCGTCACCAATCAGTACGTTTTATCAGGAGATTACGAAGTAGACATAGGCGGTATAAGATATCATGCAAAGTGCCACCTTCACAGTCCGAATTTGCCTACAAAGTTCCCTGATCAAGAACGAGACGCCTATCACGCTACTCGAGATCATCAAACAGTATGATAAAATTCAGTTTAAAAGCTAATGAACATTACATTATCATTTTAATGAATTATTACCATCGCCTGTATACTTGTATTATTGAGATAATAGAATTAAAAATTTTTAAATAAAATATGTTATTGTTAAGGACACAAAGGTAATAAATATTGTATTTCTTTGTTCGATTAATGCCCTATATTATACTATATTTTTTAAAAAATATTACAAACCATACATAAATATGCCAAATATGAAAGCCTTGTTAACTTAGAAATTTTTTCAGCTAAATACACTCAATAGTTCAGTTTAAAAAATGTTAATTAAAAATAAAATTGAATCAGGAAAAATAGGGAACTGTTAATTAGGCAAAAGTGTTCAGTATTGTAATGAAATCAATGTTTATAGAAATTTGTTCTTATTTAATAAATGTCATTCGTACATCTTTACATAACGTTTTCGATTTTTTCCTTGTGCCTTTACAAGCGAAAACAAACACTTTTTTGTACAATATTACATTGAAGTACCACTTTTCATGAGAATAAAGAAACATACGCTTGGACATTCTTTTCGCGTTCATTTTAAACGCGCATCAAAATTTTTCTTATTTCGCTTAAATAAATCATTATGTGAGACTTCAAACTATTTCACTCAACACCTTGTTTTTTTTAATTATTCGTATCTTAAACTGATCAAAATTATCAGAAGAAAGTATCATTAATATTTATCATTGCATTCTATGAAATGCCACTGTGTCTCTCACATATACTTTTTGACATTTTCTTCATAATTTTTATTTTATTGTATATATCCTACAAAGTATATAATACAATACTAAACACACCTACTGGTGAATACATCATTCAGAAAGACACGATTGAGGAGACTTCATAGAGCTTCGTTGCTTGTCTCATAAACCTTATTTATTACTTCACTTGTGCAACGAAAATCCACCATTTATATTAAAATATCAACATAATAGTTGCATTATCTCTACTTCACTTACTACTACTGCTTAAAAGTAATTATATGTATATATGTATATATTTATATGATTATCAGCTATGTTTGAAAAAATGTTAAACTTCGAAGTATGGTACACCTAAGTCAACAACTTTTTACACACTTATTTTCACTGAATATACTGTACAAGAAAATCGACATTGAAGAAAAACGTCTTATCACTCTGGAATTTCTGGTTCAGGAGTTGGTTGCACTTGTCTTTGGACCATACATGAACGAGCTACTGATTCGAATAATCTGAAAAAAATAAAAAAGCACAGAATTAATACTACGATTAATGAGCCCAATGTTGTTAAATTAGTTTTTACAGTAATAAAAAGTTAAATTAACTTTCAGTTTAAAACAAAACATACTACTCTTTTTAATTTTTATTACTTACTGATTACCGAAAGAATATGTTATTAATGATTTATTAAAAAAGAATTTACTATAGTTGATTATTTTTGAAAGTATCAAATGAAATTAAAAATACAGAAGTTAAAAATCTAAAGAATAACAGATTCATTTTCAAAAGAAAACCAAGACGAAAGTAATAAAAACAAAAGATTATAAAATTATTTCTATTACTTTTCTGCAAGTTCAAATATTGATAGTTTTTTTAACTTTTTAAAATGAAATTTTGTTAAATTCTAAAAAGAATTATAAACATTTTGATAAACAGAGCTTAATATCATGAAAAGTGCAATAAATTCTGCAGTTAATAACGGAATGATTGATTTGAAAATATACAATAAGAGTAAAGAGTATAAGCTAATAACTAAATTGGATGTGAAATGTTTATTCTTCTTTTTCTAGTGATGAATGAAAAATAAAATTTAACAAAAGACTATTACGTGTAATAATAATCCAATGAATGGACAAAGCTCTCACGACGAAACGTTGCAGGAAGTAATAAGAAGCAATTATTTTGAGAAACCCTTTCACTGAAGCGGGGTGATTGAGTCAAAGAATCTTAAAATAAACATGAAAAATGACAACTATGTAATTTCGGGTACTCAGTTTTAAATGTAAATTAAAAATGCTTTCTTATCACAATTTTTAATAGAGCTTTTTGAAATATCCGTTTCACTACTGAGACTTAAGATTTTTTCCAAACGTGCACGAAACAGAGATTAGAAAAAAATATATTAAAATGAAAAGCTTTACTAAAAATGGTGATAGATAGTTACGTATAAAAATATAAAATAAAAATCAATAATACTGAAAAGAAAATATAGATAGAACTAAAAGTAACTATATTCATTACTCTCTACTGTCATAGGATGTCACACTTCTTATAACGGTCATTCTAATCATTATAACTTATATAAAAATACACACGTATACATACACCAATTAAAAAATTAAAATTAAATATAGAAATTGTTGTTAGAAAGATCAGTCCAATAATCTCATTAAGTAATTCATAGAATTTATTTTTTATACTGATCTCTTACTCAAGACTTCAAATTATGGCATATTATTTTAAATTTAAAAAACGTGTGTAAATATTAATTTTTAGAATAATAATGTAATTTTTAACCTGAAAATGTACAATAATTATTTTTTAGGTTTTACAGAAATGTAAAAATGTTTTAACATCGATGTCTTTCATTGAATTAAAATACGGATTTTAATTTATGCATCAGTATTATTAGTCTTATCATTGTACTTACTATTTTGTCATAGTGACTAATAATTATCCTTTTTCAGATAACACAAATTAACGAAAATGGCAATTAAATTTTTCCAATATAACATATTATCATGATAAAGTGTGAATAGTAACGAGCTCAAATAATCTCAACGATTTAGCTAAAAAAAGGGATTTGAATATCATCTTACAATGATATAAACTTAGATCATGGCTATCCGGATAGTGTGACATCCTAAGATTGAAACATGGAAAGCTTCCATTAATTGGCACTATGAATATCGTAGATAGAACAATTTAAATATTTTACTTTATTTGCATATAGTAATAGAGTTACGTATACGATACTTTACTGTTGAGGCAATAGAAGAAGCACACAAAAAATAATCCAATAGAGAACGAGAATTACTGTCAAAAGAATATAATGCACTAAAGACAAATAATTCAGAAAATATTTATGAAATTACTATATTTCGGAAGTATTCAACGTAAAAATATTCAATAACAGAAATCAACAATAGAAAAAAGAACAGTATCCTATCGATAAAAAAATTAGTATATCAAACAAATTAGAAAAATCAGAAAAGTCGTGAAATAAAACACTCACTTCTCAATTTCCGGAGCACAGTGAACAAACTCGTGATGCCAAAACTTGTAGCTTGGATTCTTGATAAGCTCGATGAAGGTAATGAGAAGTCCCCATGGATGCGGTCTATTGACGATCAATCGCTCTAATAGAACACGAGTGATCTGCTCTTGTATGGCCTCGGTGTTAGCCTCTTGGAAAAGATAAAGCAGAGTGCAACTGAAGTAATGAGTATGGCTGTTAGGATAACGCAACTGATTGGCAATCGCATTCAAGAATAAGTAGCGGCCCTCAGTATCTAAGTCGACCGCTAAATTCTGGAATATATCCATGTGAGCCGAGTGCGCGATTGTAGTCATATTTGGTGCATGACCCTTGCTGCGAATGAAAGCAATCGCCTGAGTACCCACGTAAAGCACCAATGCGTTCATCAATGGGATGTTGTAGCGCATACCAGGTTCCTGTGAAACCTGGTTCATGCAACATTAGATTAGAAATATAAATTTTTTTATGTTTCACGTGATTATAACAGCTGTAAATCTATATGTATTTTTGCTTATAATTGAGAAAAAATTTAAGCATTTGACACACCACAAATTTTTACACTAATCATTATAATTTCTTTTCTAAAAAAAAACAAATACCTGAAGGTTAGTTCTAAGATCACCGAGGAAGGTAACTGGAGCACGAGCCTTTAGATACGAGTCTAGTTCTTTTTTAAAGTTTTGTGGCTGTATCTGTGTAGCAAAGTTGGTAATGACACGCGGTGCAAGTCCAATCTCAGCCAGCATATCGACCTTCAGGTTGGGTGTGAATGGATCAGGCAGACGCATATTGCGTGGGAATGCGCTAAGAATCAAGTTGCGCATTTGAATGCAGTTCGGCGGAATGACATCGCAAAAGCCGTAATGGTAGTCGCATAGAAACTCAGGGAAGTCGTGCAGAAGGACAAGCAAGACTCTGAGTGTTCCTTTGTACAGGAGTGTTACTGGTTTTGCTAAAATTTATCAAAGTAAAATAGAAATACAAAGATTGATTCAGTTTTTATTTAAAAAATGTTATTTTAGTAACAATTATTAAGTATACTGTAATTCAAGGCAATATTAGACTAAAAGTAAATTATTTCATTTTAATCGAAAAGTACAGGAAATAGATTATAACTTGATAAAAGATCATTTAAATTTACACTCACCTAACTCAGCATTACGAAGATAGGGGGCTAAATATTTGAACAGATCGACAAGTAGTTGCGCGTACAATCCCCAGCATCTCTGTTGCGGCATAAGGGCGAGCATACGTCCAATAAAGACGCGGTGCGAGACAAGCTCGAGCCACGCGTAGCAGAAGCCAGGTGCCTTGGCGGGTCGCAAGATGTGGAAAGTGTGGCAAAATGCAGTGAGTACTTGATAATTGAGAGCCTCGAGAACAGCTTCTGGTTGGCACAGCTCGAGGAACAACATGATGAAGATACGGTGATAGGGCAACTGTTGGAAGTCAACTCCACGCATCTCGTGGTCTTGTAGCAGTACCCCGGCCACAATACCCAACACCTTTTTCCAAACGAAAGGATTGAGTAAGAGGTGCTGTTTTTGTTATTTCATAAAGTCGTGTTAATGAAATAAAGTTATAAAAAAACTCAGGTGATGATGTGTGCATTTCCTTCACCATGATTCAATGAGAAAAACAAATGGAAAACAAAACAAAACAAACGCGTCAAACGAAAAAGAAAAAATTAAAGCCATAAATTTGATAGATAACATTTTACAGATAAAATGTAAGTTCATCACAACTATCTATTGTTAGAAGATGAGAGCTTGCTACTGACATGAGTGCTATCCCACTGCATGAATTCTGGCAATACTCACTTTGTTTAACAAGTTGATCTTGGTATGAGTGTTGGCCGTGTCACCAGAGTGCTTGACGAGTAATGCAACCAATCTCACAAAAGCGTCAAGAGTATGGAAACACTTGGCTCTGATAACGGATGGAGCAGCATTGGTTTCAGCAAGTGCACGATAACAGTGATCGACACACATCTGAGTGCTGAGCTTGAAGAAGCGCGTTATCAAGTCGTCTGTTTTAAGGATACCATGAATATTCATTTGATGTACAAAAACGCCAAAGGCCTTGGTTGGATCACGGGAATGCGTTGGGTTATGATACATGTTTACCCATTCACGAAGGAGATACTCAGTTTTCTCCATTAAACCTGGCGGGTCTTCGTAATCGCGAGTCTAATAAAAAGAGTTTATTACTTAGTACACATCAAATGTTAACTCATGACAATATTCGAGGGGTTAGTTTACTTACTCTAGCATGAAGCATGCCAGAATGGATATGAGATGTCGGACCAACAGGTGCTCTATCACTGAGAACAGTAGGGTCATTGTTTATCCGCAGTGACTCCAACAATGAATTCAAACGAAACAGTGATATTCTGTAAGCAGGTACCAATTATATTGTTATTAATTTTGAACTCAAGCACAAACAAACAAAATTTTAATGCTAAACTCACCCTTCAGGCGTAGCTCTATGAACAGCCATTCTAGTGAGTACCTCAACAGTGTGGTAAAGATCATTTTCGTTTACATGAGTAGTTTGTCTTTCATCGATCAAATACAATTGCACTAGCTGCATTGCAAAAGCTGTTGCAATTGCGCTTCCATTTTCAATAGCCGTGGCTAATGCAACATCGTAGTTTTGAAGAGTCAACAGATGAGACCTAGGATCAAAGCATCAGAATTATTTATCATGAAAAATCATCGAACAAACAATGCCAAGACAAAAAGATATAAACCTAATAAGACAATCGATAGCCTCAAAATTGTACTTGAATTCGTCCCTGTTCTCGATGACACATCGGCTAACGTTTTTGCTAACCCAGGCCATGCCATAAGCTCTCTGATCTTGCAAGCACTTAAGTATTCTAAGATAAACTTCTCTGTACCGCATGAGAATCTCTGAATCCATGATACCACTCGATATTGTTGGTCCATCTAATAAGCCATCCACGGCTTTTTTTAATAGCTGTAGAGCGACATTACCATCGCGTGATCTTCTTGTTAAAATTACCGCTTCGAGCAAGTTATGAAGAGCTGCCTGTTGAGGTGGTGGTGTCGCTGGGCCCATGGTAGCAAGAAGAACTTCAACTTCTTGACCAAGTTTTTCCAAAATGGTACCAACTTCATCGGTACCTACAGGAGCGTAAGCGGCGACTTGTTGTACTGTCGGTGGTACGGGCATTGCTGCTTGTGCGTTGGCAGCGAATGTTTGAATTGGTCGATCGGTTATGGTTTTCGGCATGAAGAGAGTTTGAGTCTCACGCTCTGATAACGGCAGGAAGCCTGGGATGTTGCGGGCAAACTCTTCGTAAACTGTCATTTGCTGAGGTGTCACTCCACCGACTTTGAGCCTTATAGGTTCCGGCATACGTTCAGCCTGATATTTGGCTAAAGGATCACAGTAACGTCTGCCTTCTTGTCTAGCAATTTTCCTTAGTTCAATTTCATTTAATAATCTCTTATCTATTTCTGGAATAGCCTTCTCGATCGCAGTTTTCTGCACAAAAGCGCAAACGAGTTCCATGTTGTCAGCCGCGATGATATTAGCAGCTTGTTCGGCAAGCTCTTTTTGTTGGGGCGCAGTACTGATTACAGGCATCAAGAAGGCCTCCTTCAGGTTCGTACTGATCGCAGCGAGCATTTGGTCACGGCAAGTTATCATTGCCATACCGGCGGTTAAGTTGCGCACCATCTGACGAGCTGCTGTGCGCATCTTATTTTCATCTGGATCGAGGGCGAAGTCCTTCTTTACAATTTGGTCCGTGGTGGTTAAAGCGATCTTGATTGAACGGTCAACCACTGGGTGGATCCATTCTTGGATTGCTCGCTCAATGGCTTGACGCACAAATTGCTTCAAGTGTGGTTGAACCTACAAATGACAAAATATTATTTTAAGATAGAATTATACAAATAAGATAATTAAGAGGAATTAACTTAATAATAACAAAGTTTTTCACTGATAAATGTAAAAATTTATATTTACCTGGAATAGAGCCAGATTGTTGTTGATAGAGATATGTGGAGCGATATTGGAAATAGCAGTAATATTGATATCCATATAGCTGAATCGAGGTTCAGGTGGTCCAGTCGGCAGTGATGGCGTTGTGTTAGCGACTGGTACTAGCTGTTGCTGTTGTTGCTGCTGTTGCTGTTGTTGTTGCTGCTGCTGCTGTTGTTGCTGTTGCTGTTGTTGTTGTTGTTGTTGCTGCTGCTGCTGTTGTTGTTGCTGTACTACAGCAGGAGATGGGCCAATCAAATTCTCCGGTTGTACCTGCTGCTTTAGTTATAAAAATCGTGAATTCATATGCGACAAACTGTATTTCTTGTATCTGTATAAAGTACGTTAAATAAAAACTTACTTGTTCTTGATGATGTTGTTGATTAGCCGCATTGTTTGCTACGTCTTGAATTTTCTTGTTAGGTTGGGATAACTGATACTCAATATGTAGTATCTTTTCTGGATCTTTCAGATATATAGCAGGTTTAAGTTCGGACACATCAATATTCAAGTTTTTGCAGAGCACCTCGATTTCAAATTTGAGATTTAACTTGAGATCTGGCTCTTGATGAAGTTCTGCCAATACATTCATTATCGCCATGGTCCAAGGATTTGGTGGTCGAAAAACTCGGCTTTTAGCACAGCTTTCAAGTACTTTGGCAACAAACGGCACCACGTATAACAGCTCTTGCTGACCTTTACAGTATGCCTCAACAAGTAAGCTTTTTAAGTCGATATCCACTTGTAAAATTGGTTTGTTTCTGCCAAGTGTCAGCATGCCGAGCCAGTGACCAAGATTCTTCAATAGAGAACGATCAGAAAAGTTGGCTATACCCTTGTCGCTACGTAGCAGTACTCGGATGTTTCTAGGGAATGAAATATTTTATTTTATTTTATGAGTAATTTATAACTGAGTTTGTATTGTAGAAATATTTACCTGAAAGTCTCTCTCGTGACCATTTTATTGACATCTGGAACCTTGAGACAATCCAAAAAGTTGGAGTACAGCACGTGAAAATTGAGTTCGATACTTGCCCTCTTCATGACCAAATACTGAGCCATCCAAGGCCAGTATTCTTCCGAGACAAGTTCCTTGATTTCATCGCATTTCTGCTGTAGATTGAGTTGACTCAAATTGTTGAAAATAAATGCAGTCTTATCTTGCAAAGTCTCAGGTGGTGAACTGATCTTTTCTTCCTTGTCAGTTGCTACCAATAAAGTATCGATATTCGTAGCATTGGCAATTGATGGTCTAGCCGACAGCGAAGTGGTTGGTGTAGTGGTAGGTTTCGCTGGAGTAGTAGTAGTGGTTACAGTGGTTGTTGTGACAGTCTTGTATGGCGCCGTTGTCGAAGTAAGCATCAACAAGAGCGACTTTGGCAAAACTGGACCTTGCGGTCGATTTGGCGGCTCTTTTCCTTGCAATCCATACTCCACGTATTCGATTAAGTGAGGTGGAAACTCATTGAAATGAGGTATGCCACGCACATGCTCGCAATAAGTGCTGTATTCTTTGAGGCGAGACTTGAAACGATCAAGTGCGGCTAAGCCGAAATAATACATTTTGTGGCCCTCGGGTTTGCGTAAAGCATCCAAGACGAAACGTAAGGCGAGACCGAGAGACATATAACTGTTGACCAAACCTCGGTCGATTATTCCGCCGAACAGCTGAGCTGTGGTATGCAGTTCTTTATCTGGGTACTTGAGAAAGACGTACATATAAATTAGTACACAGAAGTACTTCTTTGGCTCAAAGCTCATCAGGTTTCAAAGTATCTCAGTCATTTAAAACTTTTTATTTTAGAGAAGTTTTAAAATAACGCAAAAATAACCATTTTATTACGTATTTATACTAGTAGTAATTTTTTTATAATGAAAGAATTAAAAACTGCTTATAACTTTTTTATAAAAATTGATAACTTACTAATCAACGTTACTTTTGTAAAATAAAATTTTCAACGTTTATTCTTTTAGTATTTTGTTAATGATTAATAATATGCCAATGAATAATTTATAGCTTATTATTTGATTGATAACTGCGTGAATCATACAAAAATGAATGAAAAAATTCTTACTTGAGGAAAGAATCTGTACTCCTCAAAGAGGTTACGCAACATGCATTGAAACACGTCGCGTTCCCTCTTATTATTGGATTCGTCAAACTTCTTCAGCATCTCAAGCACCTCGTCGATAGACAAAGTTGGATGTGGTGGATGATTGTAAATTCTCTGGAAATATCCATTGGCTTCGTCTTCGATTTCTTTTGAGACATTCGCACTGATGTCCAACAACAAATTGGAAATCTCGGGCATACGTGTCTTCTCCATAGTCGATGGGGGTCCTAGACGACTCAAGCCACCTATGGCTGCACCACCGGAAATCACAGACGAACCCTGAGTGCCCACTGGGCCAGTATGCAGCTGCGATGATAATGGCAGCATAGAAAATGGTGATGCCGAAGGTCCCATTAGACGCGAGGGTGAACCTGGTGCAGATACTAAAGGGCCTAATGTGCCTGGCAGATTGAAAGCTGAATTGTTTGGCGGGCCTAGATTCGAATTCAGATTCATCGAGGCTAGACTTGAATTTAAGTTGGTTATATTGTCCACTTGCTTTGGTGTGAATAACTAAGGTAAACAAATAAACGAGGTTAGTATTTTGTTGTTTTTTCCCGCTTTCCGAGTCATATTTCAAGGGTACAGTTAATTTACCTGTCCACCAAGAGTTGGATTAAAGGTTTCGAGCGCTCTGTGTCTAAGGACTGTCGGTGGCATTCTATTTATAGTTCCTTTGCTCAACATCAAACTACAATTTTGTACCATAGCTAATATAGCGTCTGCGCATTCTTGAGAAACACTCCTAAAGGTAATCAAAAGACAAAAGAACAATGACAAAAAGTAATACGATTAGATGTAAATATTAATTTTAGATTAATTGAAAAAAATTTCAAGGAAACATTTGAAGCATCTTTTTTTTCAAGGAAATGTTACATCTGTGTTTTCTAGTAATTTTTTCACTGTGATTAAGTAGAAATATTACCGACAGTAATTTTTGTGAATTTCTATCATAGAAAGTGTGCATGTACACCACCCAAACTCACCCAACACAGACTTGTAGGCAGTGCAAAATGGTAGTGAGAGTTTCTTGAGGCAACTGAGTAGCCTTGGACACATTAGGATCGTCCTTCATTCCAGGTCCAATCACCTGTGGACATCTTCTTTGTAAAAATTTAACGCAAGCGGCAACAAATGCTTCACCATGATCACGAATCTTATCAGTTAGCCACTTTTCCAATTTCAGGTACTCGCGTCTCGAAGCTAAGCAAGCTAGATCTATCACAAAGGGAAATGACTGGGCATTGAGGAGTGCCGATAAGGCTTTGAGATCTTGCGCAACATCCAAAATTCGCGATAAGCGTGTTTGGTCGTGATCACCGCGCAAATACCATTCGGCCATCGAATGCATGATAATAGTCTTGATTTTATTGTTGGAGTGCCACGCGTGGTGGAGAATCACAGCGCTGTTCGGATGATTTCCGAGGAACATTGGCATTAAAGCACTCAGCAACTCTTGTCTGAGTATCGTAATTGGTGGACTAATTTGCAGAAGTGCTAGGACAAGTAAATCCGGACAATGTTGCAACGGCCATTTGAATATTTCTTGTACTGGCCCTCGCAAACCTCTCTCGGCCATGTGTAATAACAGTTCGACAACGTTTACTGATCTCCATGTTTGGGTCTCTTTACTGTCACCCTCGGGTGCAGCTTTAAGTACGTCGACCGGGACTGTGTGATATGCATAATCAGCAAGACAAAAGATGTCTGGATACTTGAGTATGTGCTGTATCAGCGAGAACTGGCCTTTAACGTTCTCCCAGTGGCGATAAAACAGCTCCACTGGGAACATATCTAGTGGATAGCCTTGTGTTTGTAGACCGAGTCGTAAACCTGTTATCAATAGACTCAGACCTTGCCGATCTTTGATAAGAAAATCTGGATGGTCGAGTTTTGCTATCACTTCATTCCACGATAGATTTGGATCCTAAAATAACAATCAACAAGTTAATCGATAATTGAAACCGTTTTTATTATTCATATATTAATAAATTGTGTTACTTACAACTTCCTTCACAGCCTGTACAAAAACTTCGACATTCCAAGTTGTAGGAGCATCCGACGACTTTTCCTTATCTTGGTGAGCGTTGGAATTTTCCCAGAATGAATGTAAACCACCTGAATCCTCGAGACCAGTGGAAGTGCGCGCCATGTAGGAGAGGATTTTGGCGACACATCTTGCCGATAACTCGCGAGCGCCAAGGTTCGAAAGACTCGAACGACAATCTTCTACGCTATTCGTGAAACCATATCCCAATTCCATTATTAGTTCTACGAGGTTAGAGTTGTCCTAAAACACATTGTAAAGGTTATTAGTCTGAACGAGCAGATACGTAAGTTGACAATGAGAAAATAAAAGTTTTACAATTTGATTAGCAGCCATGTTTAAGTCAATGTCTTTCAATAAAATTTCCCCGTCTCCTGGATACAATAGTGGTGCCAAGACCACTGGTACCAGTTCGCGGGGAAAATCGCGTCTCAAGCAACTTAAAAACTTCTCTTTGGAATCCAAAGAGAATTCAACTTTCGTCGATTCTTCAAAGACGTAGGTAAGAATGAGATGTAAAATCTCTGGTGAGGAATCGTGGAGTCCTTCCTCGATTTGCTTCTTATTATTGTCCGCGTTCACGTAGTTTTTTATTAACTCGGTCAATTGCTTTTGCACGTGTTCAACGGCACGAGCGGATATATCAGAATCTTGGCAATGGTGAAGAGCTATCGCAAAAACGACCTCTTGAACAAGAGATAATCCTAGAACTCTACGTAAATGTTGAAAAAACTTTGCTGGTGCTGGAAATACCCGCTAAAACAATAAAGTTTCAATTAAAACTTTCAAAAAATTTCAATTTCTAAGAATTGATGTTGACTTACATTTTTGTGGTGAAAGGGATAATCAATTGCAAAACACAGATTAGAAACAAGGGATGGTTTGCACAGAAGGCTTTTACACTCTTGTTTCAAAAGTTGTACTTGATAATAATCCTTGGAATTGACCTCAGGTGGTTCTCCAGTTGAGAAATCAATATATGAGAACAAACAGCGCAACAAATGCCGGTCTGCCTCCAGTCCCTTCCACCTAACCAACTGTAAATAAAAATAGTTGTCATAATTATCTCAATATAAACTCATTATTTAATAATTTTATTATAATATTAAAATTAACAAGTGGAAAAAGTTAAATTGACATTAATTGTACCAACCAATAAAAAGTAAATAATATAAGAATAAATTTAATTTACATGTGATTTTACAATCAACTTACTTTTTCATATGTGAAAAAGTTATTGAATATTTATAATTAAATAATGGTAGATAAGGTAAGCTTTCCCTACAAACACAATTTCTCTTAAACAACTTAAGATACTAGAATCTCGAATTACTGATAGAAATCGATAAGTATTAGTAATGACTTAACCTGCAATATTTTAATAATCATAATCATTTTATAGCTTTTCTCAAAGTTAAGACTTAAAATATACATGAATTTTGTTTCAAATTGTGAAGATTAATTTTTAATAATTTATATTAATAGACTCATTTTTAATATCAGTTTGTGATATTGATCACTTTGCTAATATAAGTTATTGCTATTGTGTATGGTAAAAAATGAGGAAAGGAAAAATTTTTATTTTCATTTGTTTAATTACTTAAAAAATAAGCAGAAAAAATTTTTATGAATAAAATTATAGATATTAATATGTGAACAGACTAAGACAAAATATTTCAGATAATTAAAATAAATATGATCAATTGAAAGTATGTCATAATTTTAAAGATTAGTACAGAATTTATTATTATATAAAATTTTTATTTCACTGGATAAGTTCGGCAATGTATTATGAAAAAAATGCTACCAAGAATTATAATATTTATCAACGTTACTTTTGATCTCTAATATAATTCGATAATCTACTTTGATAAAAAAATTGTATTTTCATTGAAAGAATTTGCGTAGATTACAATAATTTTTTTTTTATGTTTATACCACAACAACACTTGTAGTAAGAAAATGTCGTTATCGTGCCATATCCTTATAATTTATAGATACCATTATATATATTTGTCATAGTCTCATGAACATTTACTTATCAATATATTTAACTAACTCAAATCTGCATGCAAACGTGTTCATTTTTAAGTAGGTCATTTGTAAGTAGTATCAAATAGGCAAAAGAATACATTGGCTCCAAAATAAATTCAACCAATACCAATTAGTCAAGTTAAATTAGCATCATTCTAAACTTCATTATCAAGAAAAGCTTTATTTGTAACTGAAGACAAAATTTGTACTGAAGTATCTATTTATATTGGAATGAAGTCCGGTATTGAGTTTTAGCGGATAGATTTCACCAAAAAATACAACGGTACGCATTGGTCTTCCGCAAAGGGGTTGCGTTGATAGCCAGTCTGGGAGAAAGCAGTAGGACATCAAATGGATCAACGAGGATGGAAAGGTAGATGGAAGGTTCATGTAAGATCTGAAAAGAAATATTATCGAGAGAAAAAGATATCCTCGACACGAACACACGCATACAGATGGACATAGAGCAAGAGGCGCTCGCGGGTGAGCATACCCACACACCCGCGGTAGTTAAGCATGTGTATGTCTGTGTGGTGCGAGAGAGAGCAACAAGGACGCAAAAGATATCCGCAGCAACACACGGACAAAGCTCGAGTGAGAGCGAGAGGTGCGCACGCATACTTACAAGCGATATTTCCTGGCAGCTGTCCCGAAAGTTTTTCTTAGCGAGGCTGTCGACCAAGTAACTGATTTGTGACAAAGTAAAAGACAACGAGTCCAGGTTCATAGTTCCATGAATCCGACCGCGAAAGCTTCAAACGGCAGGTTTGAAGCTTTCTCCGGTGTCTCGTCGGTTGATGATAAGTGGTGGTGGTGTCGTCGTTGTCGTCCCTGTCGGATGATGATGATTTCCCGATGTCGCCGTCGCCGCCGCCGCCGTCGTCGTCTTCTTCCTCTTCCTTTCTAACAATCCTCGATTCTTCCGCTCTGCTGCGATACTTGCTGCTGCCCGCTGCTCGTTGCTTGTGTTGCTGCTCCTGGACTAAGACCAACATCGGGGAGACCAACAAAAGGTCAAGTCGTGAGCACGACCACGAGAACCGAGCGCTTCACACACGCACTCTTCTCTGTTGGCCTCAACAGTAGCGGCGCGACCACGTCATGGCTACCTTTCCGCGAGTGAGAGAAAGAGAGAAGCACACAACAACGCGCTCTTGCGCGCGCGCCCAACTGGGCTCCTTACTTTTCGCCTTTCCTTTTGCGTCTTTTAAGTTGAGATTAATTCAAGCTGGATCTCTTCAAGACGACGTACTCTAAAAAGGTGTTGGAACAACTCCTCGCCTTGTTATCGCTGTGAGGATTATTGCGAATTGCGACAGAGTGGAATTAATTTACTCGGTGTTGCGACCAGTTAGAGCACTCGGTAGGTACTGACTACTAATTATCATGTCGGCTGGCGCGTGATTCTCTTGCCAACAGATCGAGCCACCGTACGCACGCTCCGTTTGCTCCGCGATATTTTTCCTCTCCTGAGGCTTAGAGTTCAGGGTACGTTCAGACGCGACGATAGGGCGATTCTATCTAGTGTATTCTAGTGAAAATTGTAGCGCGTGAGTGCGGCCAGTGGCAGGGAGAAGAGGGAAGCTTCTAGTTATGTACAGGTGACACGATGTCGCATTTGCACGTCGACACGTTGCTGGGTTTGAATAGCGCCACGTTTAGACGCTGTGAATTAAATGACAGTTCCTGTTAGTTATTTGTCAGAAAACTAACAAGTGATATGAATAGCAGCAACGTAATGTACGCAGATGAGGTAAGTTTGTAATTACAAAACACTTATTAATTTGTAATTTATTTATTTTTGTGTACATCATGTAGTTATTCGAATACAATTCACATTGAATACTGATTTGACGAATAGTAAGTTTAATAAATTCTATGATATGTATTTTCTTCAACTTCATTACAATAGTGTAATTTATCCGACGTACGCTATATACTGTATTTAAGACTATTTTCAATTATTTTTCTAAATCTTAAAAGTACAATGCACAAATGCCTTTTAGTTCTCGAAACTATCTTATACCTTTAATATGTATATATACTAAAAAAATAGTAACTTAATGATAGTATTTGCGTAATACAGGATGCTGTAAGATCTGTATCGTACCACCCTGTAGTGCACAATGAACATACACGCGTGACTGCAGGCATAGTTTCATAAATGTCACGGAATTGGATGTAAATCTATTTCATGTCATAACCGAAATCAATGTTATTCGTGTTAAAATTAACATGTAATAAATTAAATGTGCCCATTTTCAAATATAACTATTGGATTTCAGCTTATGACATGAAATACATTTACATTTATAAAACTGCTCTGCAGTCACGTGCACTAAATGGTAATCGGACAATACAGATCTGACAGCATTCTATTATATGCAAAACTATCACCAAGTCACTATTCTTTCAGTTTCAAACTTCACTACAAATATAATTTCTTATTTTTAATTATCAGCAGTTTAACATTTAGTTTAATACTATAATTCCATTAAGCATATAAGATAGTTACGAGAACTAATAGGTATTTGTGCATTTTACTTTCGAGATTTTGCAAAATAATTGAAAATTCAACTGTACACGACTGTATTGTATTCCAATAACTATATGATGCATAAAAAAATTAATATATTACAAGTCAATAAGAGTTTTATAATTACGAACTTACCTTATCTTGAAAAATTAAATAAAATAATCCTTAAGTCGCTGCTTTCCACGTCACTTGTTGATTATCTCACAAATAATTAATGGCAACTGTATTTTAATAAACAACGTCTAAATGCCATTCCAACCCGGCAACATGTCGATTCCCTGGCTTGTGCAGATGACGCGGCGCCGCGTCATCTGCACGTAACTCGACGCTTCCCTCTCTCTGCCTCCCACGCTCCACGATTTTCACTAGAATACACTAGATAGGATCGCCCCATCGTCGCGTCTGAATGTGCCCTTATTAAGGATCATCGTCATGTCAAATCAAGGGTAAATTGGAAAAATATAAAATGTACAAATGTACAATTTGTAGCTTTCAATTAATGTTGCTCCAATTTGTCAGCTATCGACTGTTGAAGTCGTCAATTTACTGTAGAATAATTTGTTCCAAAATGCGTGTATGAAACTATAGTTGTACACTTAAATACGTAATTTGGTATATTTATTTGCTCCAAATTATATTTAAATGGAAATCTGTGTAAATTATTTCTCAACGACAGATGAAACTAGCACCTAAAATAGAATAGTTTCGAAAAAATCAAACAATCATGGAAAAGTCGACATTCCATTTCATTGTTACCAATTCTTATAACCCAACAAGTCCGTATCAATGCCAATCGCAATAACAACAAAAAAGTGCAGCAACAACGAGACAAATAAGTCGATAAGTGAATGAGTTTTATCGTGCGCCGATAATTTTCTTGCAATGTATGAATATACTGTCAATCTGAAATACAAAAAGCATTCATCTCACAATTGCAGAAATCAATCAGCACACCTATAAAAATATCCGATCATTAATCAAACCGAAAAACTAAAGTAAAACACTGGTGTCTCAAAAAGAAAAACTAAATTTCAATGCTTGGTGACACATGGTCGCACACAGCGCAAAAACTTGTGTGCTTGTATGTGTAGCGGGGAGGGCGCTTTTAATAATACACGCGAGAGAGAAGAGAGCGCTCGCTGTCGCGCACACACATTCGTGAGGTGTAAAACGGGCGCTACACTGGCTACACATTACACAAACAGTGAGGCGGCGGTGGCAATCAGGCAGCGATGCACACATTTATACGTACACACACCATCGCGCTCGCCTATATAGCTGAACGAACGAAAAGTACATACATCCAATACATGTGGGGAGGGTGCATAATTAGCCGCTGAATGGATAATAATTGTGCGGTGCCAACAAAGCTGTGGAGACAACTCCGTCATTGCGAGAGCGAAAGAGAAAAGGGCATAAGTTAAAGAAATATAGCGAATAGGAGTGACATGAGTGTGTGTGTGCTAGCTCTCAGACGCATGACACGCACACATCCAGCAGACACACACGCGCACGCATACAAACAAGACGGTTGGAGAGACGGAGACGGACATGGCGGGGCCAAGAATAGCCAACAGCACGCGAATCTAGCCGAGTACCTAGTCGCTGAGCGAGACTGGCCGAGGCATCCTCGTCAAACCCGAGAAAAAGACAGAGAAAGAGAGATAGCGAACGGAGCCGCGAGTGTGTGTGCTTTCATTTCGTTCCAGCCTGCAGTAGCACGGGAGAGAGAACGAAAGAGAGATTGAAGAGTGTGGACGCGCGACCTCGTCCTCGTAGCAGAGCTGGCCCACACGTATCAACGACACTTATGGCGAGAAACACTCACATTGCCTACCGGGCTGGCACCACCTTCAGACTCCTTCCTCTCCAGGTTGGTTTATTCGCTCTTTTTCTACCCTATGCACCGTCTGCGCGCAACAGAATCTTATTTACGAGCTCTGTATACTACACAACTGGAGAGTGTAACCTATCTTTCTTTCTATTCGTGTACGTAATTCTTCTGCCCTTTTTTTGAAGTTTCGATTTAGCATCTTAGGTGCGTTTGGTTTTTTTTATTTCTGCGAACATTTAGTGTGTGGATTTTCCCAAAGTGATGGCACAGCCTTCTTAAAGTATTGCTACTGTTACTGCTGTGGTGGTTTGAGGTTGTGATCATGGGTGTTGCCAAGTTAATGATGTGTGTGACCAAAATACTCATGGTATAGTTTATCTCATCTTACATTCAGCTCTTTTTACTGCTCTCGTTGCTCATTTTCTGTCAATGTTAAATACGTCTCTTGCTGTAGCTCCGTGATGCTTGTTCAATCATGATTATCAAAATAATATTTGACTTAAACATGTTCAATGACAATTTCTAAAATTTAGATTTTCCACTTTAGCTTATTTATATATGATTGACACATCACTCTATATTTTTACCTTAACATTGATTTTGAAAATCTTCCAAGGTTTTAACTATAACTTCAACATTCACAATAGCTGTTAATTCAATCTCCTAAAAACTATAAAAAACCTATGATTTTACAAATTGGCTAGCAGCCAAAAACATCTAATCCTCAATATACTGTTTTGCCCTGAGGTAAAGGAGTTTTCACACCATGAGATATTAAGATAAATCAAACTATTAGCTCACAAATAGCAAGTGCATATAATTTGCAGTCTATATTAATGCTTCAGATTTTTAATCTGATGGAACTAGTACTTATTTATGAATAAAATTATTAAAAAATCGCTTATTCAAATATCTCTTGGTACAAGTGATTTTTAATCGTATATGGCTAAAACAATTGAACTGGTTTTAATTGTTGGAAGCAGGAGAAAACTGGTTTCTTTAACTTTAGATTAAAAAGTAATTTGTGCAAATATTTTTTAGAATCATTCTCATAAAATGTAAATAGTTCTCTAGCAAATATAAACAACAAACATTTGAAAAATAACTAAAAGGACTAATTATTTTTCTAAATTTTAATTGGTTATTATATCAAATTAAAATATTATATTTAACATTATAAATAGTGAAATACTCATTGATTGCTATATTAAACATTTTTCAGATATAGGAGTGGTGGAGCAGAAAAGGAAGATCATTTGGAGAGAATTTCCAAGTGATCAACAAAAAGGCTGATTTAACCAGCCTGAATTTGTTCATTGATTGCATCTCAGTGCATTGAGTGCAATGTCACTGGAAAATAGGTCCAGCTCAGCTCTATTCAAAAGGGCCGAGCAGCTCAAAAGGTGGGAGCAGTCAGACACTAATAAAGAGCCACCGCATCCCAAGCAAGTGTCTAAAAAGATTAAGTTCTCAGCTGATTGTGTGTTCCTGGCTGCTTGTGCTGCTGGAGACAAAGATGAAGTTATTCGATTATTGCAGAAAGGTGCTGACATTAACACTGGAAATGTTGACGGTCTTACCGCATTACATCAGGTGAGAAGATTCTTCTTTTATAATGAATACACTATGGGAATACTTGCTAATCATTAGCTATACACATTGAATGGTGTCTAAATAGCAGTGCTAGGTGTATGGTGTGAATTGAAACATTTATTTGAATGGTTTATTAGAAAAGTATCAACAATGTCAAGAATGGCTTCTGTTTGCTTACTGGTTTATATTTCTAGCTCTTGAAAATTAAATGACCGACAATGGAAAATACCAATGAATTGTCTTGGGTGCTGCAAAATGCTACTGTCGGCTAATTATAGAAACATTTTTCCTGTTTTTATCATTTTCACCTTAAATTTTCCATTGTTTAGTAACTCAAATTTTTAGTCGCTATGCATTTTTTTCATGGTTTGCTGCGACGCTAGAATCTCCCATCTTCAGTTGCTCCGAGGACAACTTATCTGCCTCGAAAATCACGAGATATTGGACACAGAAAGTTGCATAAGAAGAGGCACACGTTCGCATCACGTATATTTGTCGAAGAAATAAGTGCATTTGGTCTTTTGAGCGTCAATCGTTTATCAACAGCGAGTTAACTTCGTTTATCGGTCATCATTTTTTAGTGATGCACATTGATTCATGATTCACCCTTTAAAGCGCATTGTTCGTTTGCGTAATTTGACGATAACCATCGTCGTCGTTGTCTTCTGTTCGATGAATCAAGCCTCATTTTCTTCTTTTCCACTACGCTAAAGTTAGACGTGAGGGAGAGCAAATCCATTGCCCGCTCTACGTACAAATAGTTAATCAAACTCAATTAGTCTCTGCCGGTTTTTTTTTATTTATTGCCTTTTAATGAGCAATCAATTCATACGCAAGGTGATTTTGACTATGAGATTCTCAAATGAAAAAATAGTAACGAATACTCTAGGTTCCAAACTCTCCGTCTAAATCACTAATTTACGAACGTAGTTTGAAAAATACTCCACGACTATTTAAACGATTTTTTCTAAAATAGCCCTTTGACGTTGAGAGAAAATTTTCTAGGAACTATTAATACAATGTTTGTTTAATTTTAGCGGATTCGCGTGAAAAATTCTTTCTTGAAATCTGTAACGCATTTCTCTCGATACTGTTAGCTACGCGTTCGGCGTCACAAGAAATTTGCAAGAAAACGATAAGAGTTGGCTTTTCTTGTATAGGAGTAGAGCCGACGGTCGTCAGTCAAGGCAGTTTTTTTCGATAATCGCGTGAAGAGTAGATGCCCCCCGCTGCCAATTGGCATACGGACGCAGTGTCGATTTTCTCAAAGGTCGGCAAATTCGCACGCAAAAGTATTATATAAAGCCGCTACTCCACTTTTTCCGGGGAGGGGACAAGGGATAAATAAGCTTTTCAGCTTTGGGCTAATACGAAGCTCGATTGTTGTTTTTAGCGCGCGGTAGATCAAAGTACATAGCTAATATATGTGGCTCGTAGGTTTTCTTTTTACAACTGCACGATTGAGGAAATGATCATTTTTATTCGACAGACTTTTATGTGTGCGTGCGCGTGTGCTTGACCTGCTAGTATTTTCAACAGGTTCGTGGATTAATTCTTTGATGCATTGTGGACTGTCGATCACGCTGACGAATTAATTAATGACACATGAAAAAAAAAACGAAATATAAATAACTTCACCGGCGTACGGAAAATATTAGCTAACTGCGGGTATAACAGCTATTTAAGAAAGTTGCATTTATTTGGAGATTTACACTTGCGTTTCCTAATACATATCTAAACATAAAATTACGGATATCTGTTTGTTTTTCTGAATTTTCTTGAAAATCTATTTTTTACATTTCAAATACATCACTTTCGTATGCTCACAGCTCCAAAACCCCTCTCATTTACTTCATAAAACACAGTCGAAAATTCTCTAATCACCACAAAAGCACGCGGAAAATAATAAAAGAATTGAGGGATGGAGTGTCGTGTGCGCCACCACTGGATGAATCAGAAAGGCGGAAATAAAGCCTCGCTTTTTGGAGATGTAGATGAAACGGAGCGTGGGAGATGACGAACGATCAATTAAATATTGAAATTCGACAGATTGACGGCGATGGGGACTGTTTTCCCTTTGCCTACTTTTGGTAGTGTTGGGACACTTGGGAAAAGCTCTTGTTGCCGTTTGCTCTCGTTTTTCGCTCGAGTAATTTTGGTTGACAGTATACGCGTGCAATATTATGTCTCTGTCCGTCTGTCTCTTTCTCTCTTTTGCTCGTTGTGCAAATATATCTACTTTAGATAAGTACTCCGAGTTTTCGTGGAGATCTTTAAAAATTAGCATCTCAAGAGTGAAAAAACTTCTCTCGACAATAACAAACGAAACTCGAGCGCTTTGCGTAAAGACAAAAAAATGAGAGTAATATAGTCACTCGAAAATAGCCGCCAACTGGCAAAACAAAGCCTCTCGACATATTGTCAAAGGCGCACTGGCAATCGACGCGTAACGATCCCTCGAATCCGCTTAGCATAAATCAATGATACACCTTCGCGCTGGAGGCGACTGGAAGAAATCGGGATTCTCGTGAATCTCACGAGAAATGTCTATAGAGCCGTATACGCGCATCGCGTACGCGAAGCGTTCAAGCCAAGCGCTCGTGTGTATACGCGCAGCGTGCATGAGTTTATTTATAGTTTCTCTCAGGCAAGAGAGGCGAAAACGCGATAGTTTTTTTGGCTGGACTCGAATATGCGTATACGAGTTGTACTGCCACTGTTCCCCTACTCTCTGCCTTGATAACCGATAATTTTATAATTGAGAGTTATTCCCGCAAAAACGGTCAGCTCCGCGCTGTTGCGTCACTGTTGTACTCACAGGATGCCCGTATTTCAGCGAGGAAGCGAACTTGTTTTTTCCTTCCATTGTTTGTGCTTTATTGGCTCAAGTCGCACTTTTGCCGAACGACCGACGGCAATTAATGCGTGCGGCTGGCTTTTGTAACACCATCGTTCATTGCGATCATCGTGCCATAGCTTTTTGTTGTGCTTAAATAGACAAAGCCCCGAACATCGAGTCTTATTTCAAAACGACACGCTGCGCTCTTTCCACAATAATATGAGTCGCCGATGATATTTTTAATAATTTCGGATGCACACGACATTTTGTTTTTCCGCGTGTTACGATGCAACAATAACATTTTTGAATGAGGCGCATGTTTTTTCTGCTATTATTCGTCGAATAATCATATTTGTTCTCTACTGAGAATCCGTCTGCAATAAAAGCGAAATCATTTATCACTCGGTGCTTTTGTTGTCAAAGCACAAGCACCGGATATAACGTTGTTGAAGGAAACCGACGATGCCATTTTTCAAACCGCGAAAATAGTGGATCGCTCGCCACTGTCATAAGTATTTTCGGAAATAAATAATATCGTGATCTCAAGGCAAAAGGTCAAATCGTAAATATTCAGCTGTGGCAAGTCGGATAATTTTATAATTATGCACTATGTTGTTTCTTATCGGTGATGACTAATTTTCGCGTTTTTTTTCTTTTTAATATCTCCTTGGAAAGAACGCAATACACGCCGTGTTTTTCTCTTATCAGTCAGTAAGCATTTAACAATATACATGCCTAATTCGTTATAATTAAGATTTAATTCGATTTTTCGTTTACGTTGAATTGTGCGTAAAGCAAACACACACTGTATATTCCAGTTAATTCTGATAATAGATAACCACTTTCTCGAAAAACGTCATAGCATGATATTTGACAGTGAATAGTCACAAGGTTATTTGACTTTATTTTTTGTATGATTGCACCGAACGAAGCAAGTTTTCTTTTGTTAAAAAAAAGAAAGAACATTATGTGTAAAGCTGTGCTGTCATTGATTATAACCCTTATCATTGATGATAATACACTTGCAATAATAAGATAATGAATAATCCTTCATAGTTCTAATGCGGTATTCATTGACTATGATGATAAGATTGGCGATGAAATAAATGCATTTTTTTTGTGCGTTTATTATTAATTTGAAAAATAATATACTATAAAAACCTGCGTCATCAAAATTTAGATTAATATAGATAGAATCCATTTGAGCCGAATGTTTCTTCAAATCTTTCATATTTCTTATGTTGGTTGCACTTTTAAAAATATCGCTTGCTTAAAAATACAAACGTTTGAAAAAATAGAACGAATGAAAAAATAATATATTCACGCTGTAGCGTACATAAATCGTTAATGTCTAAACCAATTGTCTTGTCATACGGTTAGGCCTGCATCGACGACGACTTGGACATGGTGGAGTTTCTGGTGGAGCAAGGAGCGGACATAAACCGCGGCGACAATGAAGGTTGGACACCTTTACACGCCACCGCATCATGTGGCTTCATCTCAATCGCAAAGTTAGTAATATATTTGTAACGTCGTATGTATACATATATGTAACTTGCGCAATGAATGCAAACACATATATACGGGACCCATTGTCTGAAGCAGTCGAGCGTTTTAAGTTTTACGACGGTTCTCTATAAATATAGGCTTTAACGATGGGTTTGGCTCTCCCGTGTGTGCTCTACGGTTTGCAGTTGGTGCATGCGGGAACATTGTAATCTAGAATTTGTTTGATTGATTGTTATAACGGGAAAATTGCTGTAAAATAATCAAATGTTTGTTTCTGTTTATACAGTGCCACTTTATGTTGATTTAGATTCCAAACGAAATTGAATCTTTCAATTGTAAGAGTAACGTCGATTGTACTTTAAGAAGATTAGCGTAACGCCCACATTCTCACAATTGATGTGGTTTGCAACGATTAATTGGATCAATATTGTCATCACTTAAAGTACTATTCTAATTAACGGCGATTTTTTACTTGTCCCTTTCCTTTCGTCGTAAAATAATGCAAGGCACCCTCAACTTTAAGTATATAATCGTCATTTTTGCCGAGTCAAGTTTCCATCCGCCGGCCGCACGCTCTTATTTTCCGCGAAGCACAATTGTGTCGAACGGATGTTTGAAACGCCTAAAAATGAACGAGACTAGAGTCACTCACTGCAACTTATTGTCGTGTGCAACGAATGACGAAAGTACTCGACAAGTAAACGAGTATCTGTCACTCTTATGCCACGAGCAGCTGAATTTTTTATACTCCGTTCGAGTGTATTATATGACGACAGAATATTTTCGTAAATTACATCAAAATGTAGTAGGATTGTTTAAAATGAGATAATTAACAACGTTTTCTTTCAATGTAGGTACCTGATAGAGCAGGGTTGCGATTTAGCAGCGGTGAACAACGATGGAGAATTGGCCCTCGATATCACCGAGAGCGACGAGATGGAGGACATGCTACGCGAGCACATCAACAAGGCAGGCAAGTGTAGCATACTTGCTTTACTTTCCCAATCGATGCGTTGCTGCTTTTTTTCTTTTTTAATCGAATCCAGTCTCATTGTGCAATCGCACGCGACGACGACGGTGATTGCGCACGTGCTTTAACGTTTAATTGGAGCTAGAGAGATTGATTATAAGGCGCAAGTTTTACAGATAAATGATGATGTTTTGTTCTAAATAAAATGCACTTTTAGTTTGGTTATTCCTGAGTGCGAATATTAAAATCGGATTAATTGATGGTTCGATTATTGCTGCCTGAATTTTTATTAGATTTGACTCTTTGAGTAATGAAGGCCCCATGTGACCAGTATGATCTGCATTCGTTTGTTGTTTTCTCTTAAATTTGCACTAGAGATAAGACTGTTGTAACAGTTTGTCATCGATAGATGTCAATGCCTGTTCTTTCACGAGCAAAGAACGATTCATACGCACGATAATAATTTTTCAACAAAAATAATAAAAATATCTTCGTTCTTCTTGAACTGACTAACATGGCGATTGCCCTTTCGATGTAGGTATAGACTGCCATCAAGCGAGAAGCGAAGAAGAAAGGCTGATGTTAAACGACGCGAAGGCATGGAAAGCTGGTGCCCCGGGTAAGGATGTTTTGCATCCACGCTCGGGTGCCACTGCACTTCACGTTGCTGCTGCTAAGGGTTACCTCGAAGTCATGAAGTAAGCGCATCTTTAGTCAAATAGAACTGTGAAAAAAAATTTTACTACTATTGAAAACATTTGCAGGATTTTATTACAAGCGAGGTGCGACGTCAATGCGCGAGATTACGATGGCTGGACACCTCTGCACGGTGCGGCGCATTGGGGCGAAATCCAAGCTTGCAAGCTTCTTGTTGAGAATTACTGTGATATGGATATTAAAAATTATGCTGTGAGTTTTTATACGAAACATGATCATTGGAAGTGGTTAACACTGTCGTTTTTTTTTTTCATATAAAACAGGGCCAGAATGTATTTGACGTAGCAGATCCTGACATTCTCGAGGATTTGAACGAACTCAAGAAAAAACAAAAGGATTATCCACAAATTATTAACAAGCAACCAGCGATACCAAAGAAACGGTAATTACTTATTACGTTTGATTTACAAAAGTCATTGAATGTTTTTTCACTTACAACATATTGTTACAGTGTATCAACAAATAAAGAGAATTTAGTTATTGATCAAGAAGGAATGGAAACATTTGAAGAGGAGACGCCCAACAAAGTTAAGAAAGTCGAATTGGAAATACAATCCGATAAAGAGGAGTCGAGTGTTGGAACAAATAGTGACGTTGGTAAGTTGACGTTGTCACTTAACGCGTCTTCGGCTATTCTAGTTAAGGCTTTTAAAACGGTTGCAAAATGCTTCTCTATTGCATTTTCTGTTTATAATCGAAAGTATTATAAGATGCAAGTTATATGAATATAGTCAAACATTAAATGGTGAGAATATTGTATATTTAAAGTTAATTTTATGATTCCAAAAAAATTAATCTAGTTTGTAAATTTAAATGCGCCGTTATTGCAACAGCTTTTCATGATGGTAACAAAGAAGAATTCATAAACATAAAAATTTCCAATCTGAACACATTCCTCCATTATCAAAGTTGTACTAACAATGTTTTACTATAAAACTATTTTCTTATCGTAATTACTCTTAAACTATGCTGCGTGGATATAGAAGAGGGAGTCGATTCGGAGGAGGCTAGTGAGGGTGAGAGTGAATCTGAGACTAGCTCAGATACACAAACATCCACGTGCTCCGAGCAATCGAATATATCGAATCGCTCAAACAACTCGTCTTGCCTTACCGACGACGGTGAGTTTAAAGAAGAAATTGCACTCCCTCGTACTGAGGGGAAAGGATATGATCATTTTACCAAATAATTTTTTTCTTATTATTCACACTTTCTGTCGCTAATAATTCCATTTTATATTTATATCTGATTATCACTTTGCGTTGCGATTAGAAATTTTTGTTGTTGACTGTACTTAATTTTCTCGCCTCGTTTGACACTTGTACATGTAATACCATGGTACAACAAAAATATATATTGTCATCCAACATGAAAAAAGACCTCATCTGTTGCATTGTCATGGGTAAAATATTCAGATACAATTAATAAAGATACTTCGATTAATGTACTAACTATTAACCATTCGTAACGTTCCTTCTCGAAAGAGAAATACCAGTATCTTTTTACTTCTGCATCTGGATATTAAATTATCGTTTTTTATTTATTTTCCACCACTACATGCTGCTATATCGTCCATACGTATTGTTTATTTATTTTATTTGCCCATGATCAATGTCATAAATTTGATTTTGAATAACTCGTAATATTTTCGTTAGTGTAGACACTAAGTCAGTACTGTCGAAATTACAGAAAAGAAGAACAGGGTGAACCGTGAAGAAACCGCCACACATAGCCCTCTGCCGTCGCCGGATGCGAACAAAGTTCCTAATCAGGCACCCACGACACCACCCAAACAACAGACTGAAAACAATGAAGACGGTTCTGTACCATCGTGGCGACGATCCGGTTCATTCAGGAATCGAGGTATTGAATCAGAAGCTGCCAATTCTGCACCTACTAGTACGTTGTTTTGTTATTAAATCTCACATTAATATATGCGCATAAAAATTAATTTACATATAATTTTATTTTAGAAATCGAAGAACGCGAAAAGCCCGTAATAAAAACATCACCATCGCCAGTAAAAGTACCAGAAGAGCCTGAAGTAGTTCTCCGAAGAACTCACAGCTTCAAAACAGACGAAAAGTAAGTACTATTGACAGAGTTTGCTGTCCAGTAATATTGAATGAAAGCTTTGGAGCTTTGAAATGACTCTTGACGTTTGATTTGTTGTTGTTGTTGCGATTTTGCTTCAAGTAATCGTTATGCACGAGACACATTAATAGTTCATTACAATTATTAATTTTCATTGATAATCATTTGCACTTTAAAAACAAGAGTCCTTTAATTGACAGAGTAGTTGTACAAGCGCTATTTAATTCAGAGCGTCTTTATGGTTTGTAGTTTTTTTTTTCTTAGTTTAAAAGCATTTATTGTATTGTTTGATATCTTGTTTGAAGGAAGTTTTTATCTGAATTGAAACTATGTTTTTTTTTCAACTTACGGTCGTTTACACCGAACATTATCGAGTGTATATATCATTCTCTTTTTTAAATATTTTACGGGATGGAAAAAGAGAAAAGTATGAAAATCTGGCACTTTAGTTTACGTGTAAAAAATGAGAAAGAAATGCACGGCACGGATGCATGTTGCACAGGTTCTATGAGCAGTACCTGGCACTGAGAGCTCGTATCAAGGCAGCATCTTGTCCTACTCTCCATCGCTGCAATCCAGCCACTCCCACCCATAACAACGTTGCCACCGCTCGATCTGCATCCCTGCGCGATACTCAGAGGTACGCGCTACCTAGCAGGACATTTTTTTTTCTTAATTTTTATCAAAATCAATATTTCATTTTCATTGCATTTATGTCTATTGGCAAATCTCAGTACTTCTACATCACATATTATGATATGTTACGGTCTAAGCGTTAATACTTGGAAGCAAATTATTTTTGCTACTATTGTATTTTGATTTTCAATGTTGGAGTTGAAGGTTTTTGCATGTTGATTTTGTAAAAAATGTTTTGAAGTATTTATAAACTGAATGGGTTACATACCGTCTATTTTGTTTGAATCTGTTAGAATAAGTCACATATGCGTGTTTCGTGGCACCTATAGCTTTCTTGGTTTACTAATAAATCATCACTGCGTGACTCGATTAGTATGCGGTAAAAACTTTAAGGTTACGCACATATGGTTGATCATAAACTAACTTATTTAAGCGATAAATCTTCATTTGATAAGTTGCATGAAACAACTATTAAAATTATAGTTAAATAAAGTAACTGTAAAAATGATTAGTCATGCTAAAGGCATTTGGGAAGTGTCATGTAATTTGTTTATGCAATCGGTTTCACATATTCCAGCCGTATCTATCACCATTATTTTCTTTATCTCTTTAATAAAGTCAGAAAGAATAAAACAGTAATAACATAGTCAACTATGAAAAAATGGGATAAAATTTCTGTTATTTATGTGTGTCTGGCATAATCATTATCTGCTCATGAAACTGTTACTATCAACTTTCATAAAAGTATTCCGATAAAAAAACTGTCTAAATGAATCATGCAATATTTTCCAGGAAAAAAGAGATAATGCTTAACTTGGAGGCAATACAATTGAATCTGGACTTGTCGGGCACACCTCAGGCAAATAGTGCGCACTCGCCGACGAACAAATCGTTACCAACTATTCCGGTATCCACAAATCTCACGTCCAGCGTCACAAGTCCGCTACCTACCAACCAAATTCGCAGGTATGTAAACACTATATGCATGATTTTGTATGTGGCGTTTAGTTTCTAATAATTAACGCGATATTGTATGAGACAAATTTATAACATTTTATAAAACGAATTTCTTGGTCTAATTATGAAGCACAAACGTGATATATTGAATTTATATCAAATTCATTTAATGCCATAAATGTACTTAGAAAAGATATACTTTCAAAGTGTGTAATATACTAGCACATATTTTCGTTATAATTGAATAGAAATAGTCTTTTAAATTCAATGTTTCGATGCGTTTGTAAGCATATAACGAAATTAGATAGTTTTTGTAGAAAATAGATTTTTATAGATCTTTAATTATGAAAATTGAATTTGGTCATGAAAAATGAAATGAGGAGGTATCGAAACAAAGGTATTTAGAATATTATACTCATGCAATATAATCGAGTAGCATATCGACTTCGGCTCAAGCGTCGCCAACAGTAACTACTCCGTCAAATAATAATTCGATGACAGCACCTGCGACTCCTACCACGCCTGGTGGAAGCAAACTCAGTCCAGGAAATATCTTCAAAAATTTCTTCAAGTGCGTACTCTCGTCGCTCGTCTCTGAAGACTCACATAGTTGGAAAGAAATCAACGTTGAACTCATAATTATAATTGTTTTCGATTTAATTTTTTTAATATTTCAAGCCCAATAGTTATGAGTCTCATTGAACTTGAATTTTCCTCATTGATTTGCTTAGAAATATTCATTTCCAACTGTGTATTTTGCCAGCGTGTGAAGATTTTGCATTTCAAGTCTTATCAGTTTTATTTTTCTATGACTTTTCAGTTTTATTTTTCTATGACTTTTCAGTTTTATTTTTCAGTTTGCAGCAGCATGATGATAAAAATTGTGCTTTTTTTTTAAAAAAAGAGTGAAACATTTTTGTTCTTATTTTGTCAACTTCAATATTTGCGTAGTGATTCTCATATGGCTTTAATCATTAAAACTGTAGTGGAAAAATTAATATTTTCCAGTATGTGCTATGCATTGCATTAGAACGTATCTATACTTTGGAAACGTATCATACTTTTAACTAATTTTTCCATTGTAGTTTTTATTATTATACGTCGAACAAACATCATAAGTAGTGCTTGTTTTCCCTCAATTTTTTGGCTTTAAATCTTGAGCGCGCTTGGATTTTCGTTGACTGATAATTACAGGTCACACGAATCTGAGCAACCTGTTGAGTCAGATGGCAACGATGGATATTTGGATAAATTTAACAGTGATTTTATCATGTTAATATTACTAATATGTTTTATGGGAGTTAAGTTGAGTACATGTAATTTTCGTTATTCTAACAAATGAAAAATCTGAAAAAATAAATCAGATGCATTTTGTAAATTTTGATATTTTTTTGAAACTACTCCCTATAAAGCAGACATATTCGATAAATATTGTTACACGAACTAATGAAAATACACCTAACTTCAATTTTTGAAGTCGGGAGTTTGTCTTTTTTTTTTGTTGTAAGTCTAAGTCATTGAAATTTCGATGGTTTGTCTCAATTTTCCACAGCTTATGCTTAGTTATACTTTTTTTTTCATTATGTATTTATATAAATGTCGTCTTGTCCTATTTATCGTAATTTTCATATACTCATATATTATACACAAATATACTACATTATAAGATATTGGTGTAAAAGTCTTATATAAACCGTATAGCTTCAGCCATCGTATTATTACACTAATCGAGCACATGCATACAAAGTAATGCCAGTACAAACTATCGAAGTATCAAACGTAATATTAATTTTTTGACAGTTATGTGCATCGTAAAGGGTAAAACCAGTGTTCTTTGCATTTGTAAAATATTTGCTTAATACCAACGAAATTATCTTTATTCAATCTACTGATGACTTTTAGCTGTGCTATCAAAGCTGCTTTCAGAGCACTCCTAGAAATCATCAAAGCCAATAATCTCGAGAAATACTCAATCGAGAAAATGAAAATGAAATATGCGATTTTATTTAGATCGTTCGTGCCACCTGTTCGGGACGAGGAGAGTGAGACGCAGCGCAAAGCTCACGCGAAACGCGTTCGCGAGACCAGGCGTTCGACTCAGGGTGTCACCCTCGATGAAATCAAGAGCGCCGAGCAACTCGTCAAGAAGAAACAACAGCAGAACAACGACGTCGCCACCGCCACTTTTACTACTACTAGCAGCGCTGCTACACCAACTGTTACTCAGGTACGACGTAATCTCCTCTTTATGAGTTGCTTCGAGTGGCGAAGCAGCAATGCGATAAACACAACTGCCTTTCACGAGCTAGAAGTACAATTTCAAATATAGCACGTCATGAAATATATCAGTGTCTCTAGAAACGTCTATTGTTCTTTATTTTATTAATTTCACGGGATGAATTCAGTTAACGGAATGTTAGAGTCAATTGCCGAGTTCATCAGTTACATTAGTTTGCTGTTGATAGTTTTCACCAGTAACATTGAAAATCAACTTTTCATCTTCTTCTTTTGTTTTTTTACTCATACAAAAGGTTCGATCGTTCTCGACCGCGATTAAACGATATTACTCACGAATGTCCTATGATTCACGAAATTCGTTCTCATTCTTTCTCCGCGCATGTGCTTTTCAGTAAGCTTCCGTGCTCTTGTCTTTTCAGTATCGTTTCAGTTTATTCGTAGAGAGATAATTTCGTTTGTTGACATTTGCTCAAGTGACAATCAATAAAGCAACGCAAAGGTGACGGATTGCGATTGCACTTTTCTCTATTTTTGGTTGCGTATCTCATTCTCACGCTGTGACTAACGCTCGCAACACATCTGTGATATTTCTACGTTGGAAATATAACGGATATTCACCACATTCATCTAAATCCAAAGCGCATACCGTAAATTAACGTTTTAAAACGAATGCTTGAACAAATAACGTGAACGAAACCGTGTGTGTCGAACCTGCTGTTGTAGTCGGTAACGACAGCAGCAGCAGCTTGCAGCACCGGCACGGGGATAACGACGACAACGGCATCAATCACGGCGACGATAACGACGGCAACGCCAACTACGGTGACCACCACTGATAGCAAACAATCAGCTTTAGCTGTGAGCGAGGCAACCAGCGAGTCTAATCAACCGGAACGGCGACCATCCTGGCGACTTAAGGTCGACAGCGGCAGCAAGGTCGGTGACCATGATGATGATCATGATGATAATGACAGCGGCGGCTGGTGTGCATGGATGTTGAGTTTTTTCGGCTGGGATTATCACAAGTAGCACTTGCCACATATCTTTTATTTATTTACTTTACTTTTTCTTCTTTATTTTGGTTACATTCAAACGGAGGCATGCACATTTTAACACTTTGCGCTGTGCATCGCCGTTGATGACAAATCTGGTATTTTTTTCGTAGATCTCAGTAGATTGCACTTCTAATTGACGGAGTTTGGATATGAGAAAAGTGAAAACGCTGTGACTCAGTATTTTTTCAGACGAAAGTATTTTTTTGTATTTGTATTTTATATGAATACGTTGAGCTACGAACATTATTTATATACACGTATTTTTTTTCGAGAATCTTACAACTAATTATTTTTTTAATAATTTAAAATATATTAACGATGACGTTTTCAAATATTTAAGTTTTTCTGGTATTTAACTAAGCATCGGAAAAAATTTTAATATATTTTTATAATATCGTAGAAATTTAATAATAGAGTTGCTAACAACTTCTTTTTTATTTTTTAATACTTTTTTTATTACTCATGTCCATGCCAACTAAGACTAGGAAAAGTTGGTTGTGCAAAGTTTTTTCTCTAACTATTATATATAAGTGTAGTCGTTTGAGATATACAAACACTTCCACATGTAAATACTGAATACGCAGTACTTATTTTTGCACAAAAATTATTGTTACACAGATCAAACAAGGTACGTTCTTATTTTTTATACTAGTTTTTCCAAACACACACATTTAAGCTATGCATAAATTTTGTACAGATTTTGTAGCAATAGAAATGAGGGGGATATATATAAATTTGTTTTAAATATGTAAGTGCATGATATACTTACTGGGCATGCTAGTCCTTTAACAACTTTTTTGAAATTATGTATGTATGTGCTTTATGGCGATTTATTATATTTTTCTTATGATATATGTGCCGCTATACCCGCAATGTTGTTTTTTCTTCTTTTAAATACACTGTAAATATATGCATACACACATATATTATTACTTTACAGTTTTATGTCACGAAGAGAATAATAAAACTGCTTCTGACAGTGTCAACAGAAAAAAAAACCAAAAGGCTGTTTTATTTATTTGTTTGCCTCGATTAAAATGCCAAAAATTGAATCAATGGCTGTTGCTACTGGGAAATCTCCAAAGCAGAACGTGTTAATAATGAAACCGGTTGCTTTTTGTGCAACGTTGCATACTGAGATTAATAGCCGCTGTAGATACACACGCTTTACCGTAGCTTTATGGGCCAGTTTTTGTACCACTATGATGATCCAACACTTGCACTTTCCATTAGTACATCCACACATACACAGTCCTTCACTATATTCAATCTCAGCATGCAACTCGATGATTCATTTCCCAGCAGTCACGTCAAAAGCCTCCGAATAGAAAAGTTGATGTTATTGTTCCCATAATGAGGGGACCAACACGAGCCAAAAACCATGTGTTGTCGTTAACAGTTCCAGTTAGAGGACGCGAACAACAGAACTTCGGGGACGACTGGCGCTACCACTGATACCACCACGGCGTACATACGGAGGCCATCGGCTGGCACGGTTTCGCAGCCACGGCCAAGCTCAGCACCCGTAGATACCAACACCACTGCCACGACCAATGTCACGAGCAATGCCGATACCACTGTCACTCTGCCGCTCAGGCGGCCGCTTAAGCCGCCTGAGGATAAAGGTAATTTCATTGGTTTGATATTTTTCTGGACAATGTTCTGGACAGCGACCGTTTCGCAAAAAGAAATTACATTTTCGTCAATTTTCTAATTCATCACGGCATTTTCAAGAGTCGATGGGAAATTTAACAATTTAAATTTACATCCCGACATCGAAACCTATGTTTGTAAACAAGTTTCGAAACCGAATATATATCGGTAGGTCAAGTTCAATAGCATCGAGCAAACGCTCCCGAGATTGACCAATACACGACCGATTTACAACAACAAACTTCACTGATTTATAATGTTGAGTCTAAAAACGATCGCGGCTTGGCATATTTATTTAATCTTTCGCTTATTATTTCACCAAGGCCGTGCGACGCAACAATTTTTCAATTGCAATACGCCCCGCGCGCGACCTCGGACTTTCATATATCGGGTTTAAACGCCAGAGATCGTAGCTCATATAACTTGGCAAAATTCTAAGAAAAAAAAAACGATATCACAAAGCCACCTCTTCAACGAGAACTTGAATCGAAATACAACTTGGCGGTGCGCCCATAATTAAAAAAAATCTCGCACTAATAATAACGATCGCAAACGAGTCAATGGTCTATAAAGGCAACGGTGAATAATTTTGGATTTATTGGCCTTTCTTTTGTGACGCAACCGCATTAACTGAAAATAAAGTCTAATTAAGCTTTCCGTTTATTTTTTTCAGAGCAAGACAAAGAGAATGACAGCCGTAACGCTCAGGCCACCCAGGCGGTCATCCAGAGGAGACGGAGACCCAAACGAAGGTCTACCGGAGTCGTTCATGTCGACATGGATGTTAGTATATATATTGCTCGGCTCTGACCGATCGCCAATTTTCCTTAAATTGTGTTTTGCCTAAGTTATTTCCGACGGAGCGTGCATAGTCGATGGATTTATTACGAATAGCCAAGATAACAAGTTCAGGGTAGACTGTACATTAAAAGAGATTGTTTGTCTTTGAAACTCACGCGCTAAAAGCTCTGATCTGAAAAAGCTTCTTAGAAGTATTGAATGCTTTCTTGTTTGATAGAGGAAGTAGAAGATATACGAGATTACACAAGTAGGAACTTCTAAAAGGGTTATTCCTTTACGAGGCTATACATGGAGTTTTATTTATAACAAAAAATTAATTGAAATTATGCCAAAATGTAATTCTTTGTTTAATATTCGCGGCTTTGAAAGTCTACAAATGTCGTGTACAATTTTGTGGACTGCAAGCGTGAAAATTCATCGACATTCGATTGGTATTTGAATACTGAACGCCTAAACAGATATCAGTGCCAAACACACAGTAGCCTTGAATCAAAGCCTCTCGATTGCATATCCAAGCAAATCCCGTTGAGAAAGCAAACCGGATATACATCACGCGCGTTTCGGTTAATCCTTCCCGAATACAAGAGCCGCACATGATCCCCGCGTGGGCTGTGCATTTGACGTCAGATGTAAACACACACGAGAAAGAACTATTAATACGCATGGACCGTAGTTATATGACTCCAATTTTATTCTGACCTCGACGGAAAAAGGTCTCTAATGCTTTTTTCTTTGCTCTCGTTGTATTTGCAGGAGATCGATCCGGATAAACAAGATGCAACGTCGGGTGGAGATGTCGATGACAACAATATGAATCACAATGAGGTTAGTCGCTAATTGATATTTCAGCGTAGAAGTGTGTACGATTTATTCGGACAAGCTGATAATATAATTACTCGCCGTGTGATCCATTGTTTTTGACAAAGAGAGAATAAGTAAATATGTTCACTGGTTATTTTGTCGCAACACTTTCGTCACTCGTGGAAGGAGTTGTTACATAGTCGAGTTTTTGGGCGTGGACACCTGTCACAGCGAGACGCGGTGTCTCCTCTCGATGCGCTAACGCACCGACCGTTGGCTGAGATTTGCCGCAGGAGATATCCGTTATTTTTAGGAAGGCTAAGGGGAGAAAAAGATGAACGCTTGATCGAACTGTGACGCGGTCTGTTAATTTTCCTCGATCAGCGTGTCTCAGCGAGATCCATCGAGTCATCGCGTAATTTTGATTTTCACGATTGCTGCGAAAGCACCCTCATTCCGAACCTGGACAGTTGTAAAAACAAAAAAAAAATAGTAAAGCCTCGTCCGACGTGAGAAAGAGCAGTTCTCAGTGTTTCGACCTGGAAACCCACTTGTTCGAAAATATTCGTGAGTCGCGCGCGCGCGCGCGCGTCTCGCGTGATTTTTCCGCGCTCGCGTGTCTCGCAAAAGGCAGCGTATTTGAACGGTTAACGGCTCTTCACGGATTTAGCCGCAGCGCGAAAATAGCCTCGCGGCAACGCCGTTTTCATACGCGCGCTAACTCCGTACTCGAAGTCTGCTTGCCCGCGGCGCTCGCGAGCGGGGCGGCGGTTTTCGCGAAAAATTATACTTGTCGTGAAGGCGCGCGCCGGGAGCGAGCGCTTGATTAATGAACTTTCCTTTGTGGGGCTGGGAGGGGGGAGGGTTTATTCGAACGCGTGGGTATTTTCGGGGAGCTTTTTAGTATCGATTGCGATATATTTGAACATCAGCGTGCGCTTGCTTGGTTAAGCAATGTAGCCACAGTGCGATGTGACTTTGACGAGATATACGTAAGGGATGTTACAAGGGTATAAGCTTTCGTTAAGTACGACGTCGAAAGAATGATTGTTTTTAAAACAGCACATCATTGGCAATATGCTTGGACTAAAATGAGTCGGCGGTTTATCAACATCGTTCCTTAAAATTATTATATTCTTTGGAAGGTTTTCGGTACAAGTAGCGATGTCTATAGTGTTGCCGTTTATTCGTTTCTTTAAAAAAACTACCCTTAATTTCAGAGCATTTATATAGTTGTAATAATCTCAAAATCCAATTAGAAATCTTTATCTCTAAAAATTAATTAGTCGATAGAATTACCTCAAAATGTGCAGATTCACTTAACATTGGACTTGCCAAAGCTTCAGTGTATAAAGATGACTTGACCAAAATAATAGAACCGCCCACTTCGCCGAGCTTATGATTCATTCAACGAAAGAGACAGAGAGAGTCCATAAATATTTTCGATAAATGGTGGCATATTAAGCTGCGACTTGTAGCGTTGCAAAATCAGTCGCAGAAGTCATCGTCTGTCTTTAGAGGCGTAGAAAAGAGGCGACAGACCTGGCGCGGGAGAAAAGTTAAACGAGACGCGTCCACGCGGAACTCGGCGTCAATTAGCGTTCGCTCGCGCGACTTGCTTCGCGATCGATTGCACCCAGAAAAATCTGCGCGTTGGTATTGGACGAATCAGATCGAGCCCGCGTGGCCCGAATAACGGGGTTCGTGTCGCGGATGATCTTTTGACGCGTGATATCGCAACGACAACACCATTGGACCGTGACCCTTCGTCAATTTTGATGTGCGATCAGGAGGACGAGTCGCCTGGTCTTGTAGTAATTGTATTTACTTTCGTTTCGGAATAGGAACAACAAACAGACGCGGTATTTTTGAAACTGATGAGGAATCTATTTTCGAAAAGTTTACAAGGAAAACGAGAAATAATATTTCATGCTAGACTTCTCATTCGATGCATTATTTCTTTATTTTTACGCTTGGATTTGAATTTATGGTCGAGCATCCGTATTCCATGAAAGGAATTGTGGATCGAAAGAAATCGAAGACGCGACGCAAGAGCTCGGCGTCGGTCAAATTTTAAAAGAGAGAGAAGAAAAGAAAGAGACAAGGCCGCAAAATGTAGCACAGGTAAACATAAGAAAGAAGGGCAGATCCGAGTGAATTACGAAAATACGGCGTCTCCGATTGAGTTTGACGCGCGACGAGCGTTTCGATCACTCGGCGCTTGTTAAATTAGTCGAACGCGGCGCGAAACAAATTGGCTAAAATCAGGCGACACGGGCTTGTGCGCCTAGACGCACGTAGCATCTATAATCGATCGTTTCGCCGTTGAAATCGAATGGTTGTTCGTGCTGTGGGTCAAGGGGAACGCGTTTGTATCACTCGCAGCGAACTCGGCGCGAACGCGCGATCGAAGCATTGAAAAGTGACTGTGGGTAATCAGGGTTGGCGGGTTTCTCGTCTGCCAGAGCGAAAAAAAATTTATTTTCGTCCTTTTTCCGGGAGTATCTCGTCAGCTGGGGGTGCGCCCACGGCTGCAATGGTTTATCGTTCGACGGCAAATGAAAAGAGAAGAGCGAGAAAATAAAGAAAAAGAAAGTAGAGTGTGGTGTGGTGCCGCAGGCGCGAAGTCGCGCAAACACTTGAAAATAGCCCTTCCGCCTGTCGGCCGTGTTTTTGTTTGGAAAAAGAGCTCCCTCACTGATCCAACCGCACGCTCGCATGCGGCGCATCCCGATACAGTTCGTTGACGGGCGCGCGCTGGCTATCTTTAAGCGCGGCCTGCCACTGACAAGCGTCGTCGTAAGGTATCGAGCTCCGACGAGTGCTCGCGTGCCTCGAGCTCTTCCCTGACTAATTGTCGCAGTTTTGTAGCTTCGGAATATCGCGCCAATGACGAGCGTCGTACGATTCGCGAATCTCGAAACACCTTTGACGTACTTGGCAATCTCGGAATAGTCGACGCGCGAAACCTTGACGAGTCGCGCCAATTCATCGCAGGTGCGTCCGAGCGATCGACATGCTCGCGCCGCTCGATTCAAGCTCTTATCGGCTTCGCGATTGTTCATTCGCAGATGTACATCCGACTAACCGCCGACAACTTACAACGTTGAGCTTAAAACCAAGAAGCGTACGCGGGTTCAAGCTCATCGCAGCGAGGCAAAAGCTCGCCGACGATTTTTCGGCTTGCCAATTATTTCTTAAGCCGCGCGGTAAATCATCGAATGCGAGAAAACGATAATAACGACGAGTCGCCAAACTGACACGAGTGCTAACGAGTTGTGGCTAATGTAAATATATAATATGAAGAATCGTTGGGTGAAAATTGACTAGTCGTCGTGTTGAGTATCTCGCATATTGCGTTTCGCGAAAACGTCAACGTTTATCACTGGTCGATTGTCAAGTTCACTCGTTTCTAAAAAAAGGCGTCGACGGGTCACCTGCGAGCGTAACTTTCCATGGGATAACAACCGATGCTCGAGTGCAGAAATAAACGTTTGGGAATAGTAATGCGCAGGTCGAAGTCATAGATTTTGTTGGCACAATGGGAAATTTTGCTCCTTCGCGCTTCTCGGAAAAGGGGCACTAAAAGTAGCCAAACGGACGAGCGTAGCGAAGACTCGGCTCGGGAGGAATCGGCGTTTCTCGACGAACGATAAAAAAACACAGACAACGAAGCGACGTCCGCGGTGAAATTAACGGCATTTCCGTTGGCTAAGCGAGCGAAAAGGGAAATCGGCGAGTAACCGCAATCCGGACGAATGAAAATCGCCGAGAGAGCGCGTCGATAATTCGCAAGCAGCATCCAATCAGCGCCAATAAAGTTGAAAAGGGCTCGCAAGAGTCTCGCGCGCACGCACGCACGAAGCAACGCTCGCAAACTCTCTCTCTCTCTCTCTTTCTCCCTCTCTAGAGCATCTCCGTCGCGCCTTGAAATCACAACGCTCGTTCGGGGGATCCACAAATAGACCCGCCACCGACAGCACAGCGAGCCTCCGCGTCTGTCGCGGTCGGCGGAGTCAGTCGAACGCTCGCTGTCAGGCGAGCAACAGCCAGCGCGCGTCCGTGCGCGCGCGTGTCCTCCGCGTTGTCGCGACTGGTCCTCGGTGATCCGAGGCACGGCGCAATGTCGAGCTACCGCAAGAGAACGCAGCCAAAGCCGACCACCGCGGCTGGCTTGCGAGCCCAAGCCTCGGCAAGCGGCAATTCGATTTTCCGAAATCGCCCACGGAGCATCACCGGCCTGTTCAACAGCTCGAGCCCGACCAGTTACTCGAGCCTGCTGGGCAGTTCCAGCAGTTACCCGTCCTCGCCGTCCTACAAGTCGACGCCCAGTTACAAAAATGCGTACTCGAGCTCGGCGGGCAATTTGAGCAGTTATCAGAACCCGTACACGACTTACGGGGGCACTTCCTCGGGCTACGGAGCCTTGACGTTACCGTCGAGTATCGGTTCGTTGAATCTGGCGAGCCCGTCCACGAGTTACGGATATTTAAATGCCCTGGGCAGTCGGCCGTCCAGTACGTCTGTGCATCGTGGTGGCAGTTTCAATGATAAGGTCAAGCCGAAGCTGGAGAGTAACTTTGGCTCCAGGAGCTCCAGTCTGCAAAGCCTCGCTGGTTCCGAGGGATACGTCGTAAGATTCTTCTATTCGCATTGCCGACCTCTCGGCACGGCTTTCTTATCAATTGCCTCCGTACGGACTCGGTTTGCTTCCGCGACGCTCCGTAGGTGCGACGCTAGCAATGAAAATCGTCCTCTCGTAATAATAACGCGCAACTGTTGACACCGAGATCGCCTTTGGGTGTTAACGAACGAATGAATCTTGAGTAGAAAATTGTGACAACAGAACTTGGCACTGACATTTCGCGTTGATTGCTACGTCATTTCCAAAGTGTAAAATCGATTTGGCGAATGTTTACTTAAATTTTTGTCGGGATACTTTCAGCATTTTTCACTTGACGAATTGAGCCAACGGTAATTTCGTTATTAAAGTTCGTTCCATCTTATAATCGGATCCGTTGCACTCTCGACAGATGTGTCATTCGATCGTATTTTTAGAACATATCCACCCTCGTGCATTTATTTTTTGCTTTTCCAATGAGCGCTGATCCTCGCTATGTTTAGATATCGTTCGCGGTCATATATGATTTCAGTTATTGGGATTATTTTCGGGGTACGATCAACGCTCGCTTATTGCTTTCGCTGCACTGCACTGCTGGCCGAAGCAACGCGCGTCGAGGTCGCTTTCATCTTGGATGGGAAGCTACGAATGCAAGCCTCAGCCGCAAGCTTCGCGCTACAAATCTGACGTGTGAAATTTAAGGTGCGACATTGAGAATGAAGGCGGCATCGTAAATCTTATTTTTAGTTTGATCGGCGTCCGACAATAAAGCTCACGTCTCAGTGGGTCGTTAAGAAATTTCAAACGCGGCGATTGTTATTCAATTTTTCGAGAATCTGCAACGAGACAGTTGCGGGGTAAGTGAGTTGCCAAAGCGAAGAGAAGCAGGCCGCGAAGTGTCGTATTTCGATAAACGTTGCGTCTCCGCAGCGTCGCTTTCTCTCTCTCTCTCTCTCTCTCTCTCTTTCTCTCGTTCTCTCATTCTGCATTCCACGTCTCTCTTTAATGCTTCTGGACAGAGAGACCGAGGCGTACGTCGGAGTTATTGTTTCGATAAATAACTGTTATTTGCAAGCTGCGTGTCACGGATAATTTTGCTCGCTACTTTCACGGCTGTCTCGCTGGCATTTGGAGCGCAAGCGAGCAGCATTCGCTTAAGTAGGTTCTGATATATTTGCTAGTTTCCAAAGTCAGAATTCGACCAATTTTCCGATTTCTTATTGAAAATAATCTGAATATCATTTGCCATTACATTTTCCATGAGCGTGCTCAAGTCCAACGCCTTCGTTTAAGTATATCACAGTGTAAACAATATCGAACGTTTAACGCGTCGAGCGTTAGTGTATTTATTCGACTTCTAAGGATTCGTGAATTTTTTAAAAGTCGAAAATATATGAATGTTCGTTGTATAAAACAGCGATCACGGGTGCAACGTTCTTTGATTATTCGTCTTAAAAATGGCATCCTCCTTAAATATATTTTATTCCTTTATTTTTGCTATTAATATTGAATTTTTCCTAAAATTGAAAGAATAACATGTGAAAATATGATACACAGGTTCGAATATCTGACTAAAGCTATATTGCACTTCTTAAAAATGTCAATGAAATTTTTTTCATGCACAGAGCGGACACGAGCGTTCGGGTCGTTCGAGCAGACTGGGTTCGGTGTCGTCGTTGAGTTCCGAGACACCGAGCAGTCGGACGAAAAGCAGCAGCATTAACACGACAACGGAGAACGGTGAACTGGATTATAAGAAATTGTACGAGGAGTCGCAGATTGAAAACGAACGGTTACGCGAACAGCTGCGCAAGTCGGACGAGCAGCTCAAGGAAACCCAAAGCCTGCTGGATAAGGCGCAAGCGGCCCAAAGTAAAGCATCACTGTCCGAAGTTGAGAAACGCGAGCGCAGAGCTATGGAAAGGAAGCTCTCTGAGATGGAGGAAGAACTCAAGGTAATTTCGCCAGTTGAGTGGACTTTTTCCCCCGAGACTTTATTTGCAGTACATACCGTTCTCTTACCGGTGCTCAGCCAAAATTAATTAGACTTGAGCTATTTTTCGTAATAACTCCTTGCAAAATAGAAATATTAAGCAATGTTTGACGCTTGTCGTTTGTCAAATCCAAGTTTACTTGATTTTGGTTTTTTACGGGCAAACTTTTCTAAACAGTGTATTTATGTGATATATTCTATATCACGTTGATGATAAAACTGGGTAACAAGCCGAGTCGGTTCATAGGAAATAGTTCATGTAATTGACTATGTACATCATTCACGTCGCACAACATTAACATCTTTGGCTTTTTTTATAATTTTTTTTTCTTTTTGGACCAAACATCGATAAAATGAATTGAACAAAACTAATCTTACTCTAAGTTATCCTGATATAAAGTTGATATATAATTCTACTGAAATGATCAATACTCTCGCAATATAATAACGCTTCGAAAATCAAGTTTATTTTTTTCTTTCTCTCTTGACCCTCGTAGATTGCACGTGGCAACGTTTTTTATCTGAATATCACGACTTTACGGTTGAGTGACGCAACATGAGATTAACGGATATCTCGACGCTTGTTATTTCTAATTTTAAATTCACAATTTTTTAAGAGAGAAATCAATTGAAAATGAAGCTTTGGTGCATCGCTTGAAAATGTCTCTTTTGCCGAATCTACTTTTTTTCTCTCAATTGGCTATTCTCCATTTTAAATTTTCTGTTTAACCGATTTTATAGCTTGAATGTGTTTTTTACTTTTTTTTTATTTTTCGAACACATCTATCTTTCTTTATATACTTGTCGATATTAGTCATGTCGCGTGACGTAGAGACACCTTTTTTTTACTCTGACTCATTTTCGGAGGGTCTATATTTTTCTGTCATTATTACGAAATGTGTCTTATTGAGAACGTACTTGAAATAATTTTGATAGCTTCGAATGATTTATAAAAATAAATGTTTTTCTTTTCACTGAAGGAAACGACGCATTGATAGATTTATCATGATATCGTTTTACCGCTTCACACGTTTTGTGAAAACCATCTGCGACAAATGTACATTAGTGCTGTATTAGCACAAAGCGTTGAGCTGCAAGAAAAGAAAAATTGGGGCTATGGGCTAATCGTTTAATTGTTTCCAGCAATTGCAAAAGCTCAAAGCTGAAAATGAGAGATTGAAAGCCGAAAATCGGGCACTTACCCGCGTGGTATCCAAACTCACCAATACTTCTAAATAGGTAAAGGATCAACCAAAAAATGAATGATAACGGCAAGCATATTGTCTGCGTTTAACAAAAATCTTTGTACATTGTACTTTATCGTACAATCATCCGTTTCTTCTTATCGTTTTTATTTATATTAGTATCCTTTTTGTTTACTCTTTTTCTTGTTTTTTCTTGTCTACTTACGTTCTATTTGTCTGCCATTAAAAAACATTACTTCTTTTGTTCAGTTTGTTTAAATATTTTTCTGCTATACTCACCGTCTCACGCCACTAAGCTTCTTTATTTGCATAAAGAAAAAAAACTGTTCGATTTCGACTTTTAGTTAGTCTCACAGTTTTTTCAGTTTTTTTAATTTCGATCGTCCCTAAAGATTTACTGTCAAAATCACTGAAAATTTGTATCATACGTTTCTTTTTTTCATCATGTTCAGTGTGGGTATATCTCGATAGTAAACTAGTATATTATAGATATAGATTTCTATTAGGTGTCTTATTCCGGAATAGAGTTGTGCCGCATTAAACTTTCTTTCTTCGCATCATATATCTGTGCACATTCGTTTCATAAAAGGAAAGCTCATATGATTCAACAACTGTAACATGTGTATTTATGTAATAAAACAAAGCTGCATGGAATAATAATTGTTTAGAAAAACTTTTGCACACTGTAATAGAAGAAAGAATAAGCATGAATGGCTAATTGTTTATTTCAAAAAGTTACGAGAGATCAGCTATCAAAAATTGAAAACTCTTTTAGTTCATCCACAGCTCTACAGTTTTTAGCCAAAAGCAGTGCAGAATGCAGCGACTAACCACTGTTTTCCATTTTTTTGTTCTTTGTGTTTATTTATAGCAAGTCGACAGTTCTAAAACAGCATGAAACTATGAAATACTTATACACTTTGTTTCTTTCTTTTCTACAGCGTGTGTTTCTTGTAAATATAAAGCCTGCGAAGGTCCTTTCGTTTGTGCGCTTGTTGTTGCGCGAAGGACACGCCTTTCCGAGTTTGCATTAATTCACTGAAAACACAGCATTGTCAGCAGTAACCTTGACTATTTTTTTTTTTCATTTGTTTTCAGCATTAATACATTTCATTTACATCCAACATTTCGTTTGTGTATTCGTACATGCACACGGTTCATTCGGTTCCAATATTGCACTTTTTCGAAACGTCATTTTATAATTTTTTTACTATTTTATTATTATAGTTAGGTGTCGACTGATGCTCAATTCCTTTTTGTTTATTTTATTATCTTTATTAACAACTAACGAATTTGTGATTTGGTGTAAATTTTATTTTTTTTAACCGTAGTTAATTGAAGTATTAATAGAAAATTGAAGTTTTGAAAACATGCAATTCCATTCCAACATTTCACTTCATAATCACTTTGGTGTCCTTAATATATATATATTTAAACAATTAGTTTCTGCATTGAGTGAAAAAACAAACAAACAAACAAACGTTTGGAAAAAAAATACAACGCTATTACTCCACGAGTATGTAAGAGCTAATAATAAAAAGGGCGAGCTCTGATTTGTCGGTATTTTTTTCTTGCAGATGTTGGAAACACTCAAGTGTGAGAACCAGAGGCTAAAAGACGAGAACGGTGCCTTGATCCGAGTCATTAGCAAGCTATCCAAGTGAAGAACAAAAGTAGAGCGGATCGATGGAGCGCCGCGAGATTGAATTGACAAAAAAACTGAAAAAAGAAAAGGGATCTTGTAGCTGCGCGAGCAGAGCTTATGTAGTTATTTATTAATTGGTGTATCGATTGCTCTTGTGGCTGTGCCAGACGAAGACGAGATTATTTATAATGACGATGCGCCGATATATTTTTTTTCAGCATTGAAACAGGGCTATACATGATTGACTTCACTGTCACGTCTATTCCTGCGAGTGTACATGCATTTTGTGGTTTTCATTAGTGCATTGAATGTCGACTTTTTTGACGAATCAAACTTGTCTTCTTTCTTACTTTTTTTCTAACCAAACAGTACTAATACGTTTGTTAGGGAAAATCTGTCAATTATTGTATCAGTATTTTCAAGTTGTTGAAATTTTGAAATATTTTAACGAATTGTTTTTTAATGTGAGATGTAAAACTGTAGTTTAGCGTCGTCGAATTAATGAATTAAAAAAAACATAAGAAATATATACGAATATACGCGTGACAAATGACATTATCTTTTTAGTTGACAAAAGTATTGAAAATCACGCGTGTGCACTCTCGAGTTCTCTGCGTAATAAAAAAAATTAAGAGAAAATAGACAATACTAAGATTTATAGCCTATAACAATTATTTGCGCATCTAAAAGTGCAAGGCATGCATATACCCGTACGATTATTGTCTATCGAGCGAAGGATCGGTGAAAGTATTTTAGCAAACATTAAAAGAAGAAAATGATAGATTGCTGAAAGACTGCACCTTTGTGTATAAGTAAGCGCAGTAACGTGGTTTTTTTCCCCGTTGCTTACTTTGATCTTGTACACCGCGATCCGTGTTGAGAAAAGAAGTCTTGCGTGAACAAACAAAACGATACACAAAGTACGGTTAATTATATAAGAAAATAAATAACAATGATTACCGCCTTTGTCGCGATGAAAACCTTTGCAATATTGTATTTCGTGCGCTGTAATGACGAGTTTTACTCGGTGCGAAGCTCCAAAAATTATTTCTTAGGGGACTGCATCAGTTATATACTTAGAATGTAACATCGAGTTGAAAACTTTCGTGTTTTGCATTCTTATATGAAATAAAGAAAAAGGATAAATGTAGAAAGATGAAAAAAGTGAGTGAAAAAAATTATAAATTTCCTCCTTAGGAGGTATTTACGTCAAAATGATTAAAGCGAATTGTACATTACTTCTATAACGATAAGTGATAGAGGAAATAAACGGTAATAATAATGATATCTTCGTGAGTCAACTTATTGCGTTTAGCGTTAGATCGTTAAGTATGGCCTTTCTTGAAAAGACTGCTATTAGCTATCGGACGTTATCGCTGTAATATCGTGATTTTAGGCGCCAGTGGAACTAAAATTGTTCGATAACAATTATTAACTTTGACGATTAAAATATTTATGGATACTTATCATTATTATTAATTTTATTTGAATTTTGTTTTTCAATCTATCGTTACGTAACGCCAAAAACTTGTTTTCTATATTAATGAAATAATGCTATTTATGCACGTTATGAATTGTTCTACTATTTTCAATTTTTGATATTGAAAATATGAGGTACTCAAGATCAATGAAATTTTTTAATCAAAGATAATAATTGAATTATTTTCGAATCATTAACTGATGTATATTGTATCGCATTTTACGCCCGAATATTTGCCCTATTGTTTCAGAAAGACTTTTACACAAATTGTTGTGATTGTATCAGATCTACAAAGTGCGTTGTTTGCATACGTAAGTTTTATAGCGTAAAAAGAAATTTGACATTTTGATAAAAGAACTTTTGCGAGCGACATATTCTCAGTCGATATTTATCTGGCCTCATATACGCAAATGCGAAGATATCGTACGATTGACTACTGATTTACAGTTATCGTGTTTTTCTTTTCTTAATAATATTGTTGTACACACTTGTATAAAAAAATATATGAGTATAGTTGTTTCATAAAAAAAGAAGTTTGTTAATTAAAATAACCATCATCTAAGCGTAACCATGTTTTTTCAAAGTAGAAAACTCATTGCATTTTATAATAGTGATATCTATGTGCTTATTGTATTATACAGTTTGAAACCATCGGATAAAACAGTATCAGTTGCGAGTCTCGTAGGAAACTCTTAATCCAATATTTATAAGAGATTCACTCTCTAATATTCTATCATATTGGATCAAGTTTTAGATGTATTCGCTATTTTACTTATTGATGTTCACCAAATACAAAGCATTTATTGTGAAATTTATGAAACTAAATTAGAAAATAGTGACGGTTTTGAAGATAATTCAAGTCGGCTTTACATACGACTTCTTAGTCACTGAATCATATGATATACATAAATAAACAAAAAAAAATGTTGAACGCTGAGGCATTTTTTAAATCTGACTAAACGATCAAAATGTTCTATTTCGTCGACTTCATGATCATATAAATATCATACATACACACGATCTACACGTAAATATACGTGTACTATAATTGCCAACAAGAGCATTATAGTTACAATGGGGGACTGAGGACTCTAGTTCCCGATTACATTGTACGACAGATATTTATTTCCTACTTCATTTTGTACTTGTGAATATGAACGATAATGCAATTAAAAAATTTTGATCATGTGTTTTATATTTTCAATAATTCTTTTATCACCATTCATCAAATTGCATGTATTTAAATATTAAGTGTTTTATTTTCTCTTCAATATTTTTATTATGTCGACTGCTGTAACTTTTTCTTCAACAATAACGATTATGAGATACTATGAATTACTCTTAAGCTTTTATTTACCAAAGATTATAAATAATTCATACACTCTTAATTTGTAACATTTCTTTCAACAACTTTTCAACTTTCAATACATTTGCTGTATCTTTGGTTGCTTCTACAACTTTACGCGTGAATACAGGAAACAATTTAATTTTTCCCTTTTCATATTTCTTTACCAAATCTGGATTGTTGTCGAGTATGTTTTCAATTATTTTTCGTAACTGTTCTTCGTCATTTATTTGATACCATTTGTTTTGTTGTATAATCTAATATGAAAAAGAAATATTTTATAATTTAGTGTTGCAAATAAAATTTTGAATTAATTTATTTTAAGTCATACCTGTTTTGGATACTTTCTTGGATCTTTCAAGACTTCGCTTAAAACTTTATGGAATATTTTTATATTGATGGAGCTTGCATGAAGAAAATCAATTAGCTCGCAAACATGATCACGAATTGACATACTGTAAATAATTATAAAAATTTAGTATTAATGAACCAAAAATATCTTGGATGTTTAAAAAACTTACCAATAATCTATGTCTAAATCATTGTCGTTGATAAATTTTAATAATGCATAAACTATAATGTTAGCAACAAATTGTGGCGTTCTTTTTGCATCTTTTTCTGATATGTACAAGAAAAGTTTCAATAATTTTGGTTCATTCTAAAATAATGATATTTTTCATAAGTTTTCAGTAAATATCTTTTTTAAGATCACATGATAATACTTACAACCAAAATAATTGACACTGCTTTATTTAATGCGTAGTTTTCTAATAATTTATTTCGCGTTTCTTGTGGCAATTCTGGAATCTGTTTCCTCAATAGAGTAGCATCTACTAAATTATACTTATTTTCTAAATTTTCATTAACGTGAATGCATAGTGGTGGTAAATTTGGTTCAGGCATAAAACGGTAGTCCTACAAAATTCATAAAAATTAATTTCACCTATATGCAACCTCAATCGACCTTAAATTATTTTATATACTTGTTTTTCTTCCTTGTCTCTCATAGCGACAGTTTTTTTATTAACAGTATCCCAAGAACGTGTTTCATTAACAATGATCTCTCCTTTCTCGCGAAGTATTATTTGCCTTTTAATTTCATACTTAATTGCTGAAGCTACAGCTCTCACGCTATTTATATTTTTTATTTCAGTTCTTACTCCTAATGGTTCACCTGGTTTGTTTATTGATACATTAGCATCAACTCTCATGGCTCCCTCTAATAACAAAGAAGAGCAAATAAATTTACATGGATATCTAATTCATTCATTTTTATTTACCAGCCATTATACAAGAACATGCATTCAATCTTTCTAAAATAAGCATAAGTTCTTTGACAAGTGCAGCAGCTTCTTCACCATCCTTTAAATCAGGTTCAAAAACGAATTCCATTAGAGGTATACCAGCTCTGTTTAAGTCTATCAAACTCCTAAAATTATAATTATTAAGTAAAAAACTTATCAAGTGTTCAAAATGAAACATAATTATACCTCTTGCCTTCTTCATCGTGCAAGCTTTTTCCACTGTCTTGTTCCAATTGTATTTGTTTCAGTCTTGATGACTTAGAGTAAGGTTCCTTGTGAACTCCAGGGACAAATACATGAAAGTTCAAACATCCATTAACAGCCAATGGTTGACGTTGTTGCGTTATTTGATAACCAGCCTATATAAAGTTCTTCAATACAATTTCCATATTATGCTCTAATCAAAATTATACTTACAGGTAAATCAGCATAAAAGTAATGTTTTCTATCAAATAGCGAAATTTCATTGACTTTACATGACAATGCAAGGGCTGACAAAACACCAGTTTCCACGCATTTCCTGTTCAACATCTGTTAACAAATTTATGTAAATGGAAAAAAGTCTTAAAAAATAGGAACTTCATAGTTTTGTATTGAACCTACAGGCAATGTTCCCGGTGTAGCACAGTCAAAGAAAGAAACACATGTATTAACTGAATTTCCAAATGCTGTGCTAGCTTTAGAAAATAATTTGGATTTCGACAAAATTTGGGCATGAATTTCCAGTCCAACAACAGTATTCCATTCTACTCTTATTATGTAAAAAAAAGAAAGAAGAAATTGTATAATCTACATGGTTTTAATAGAATAAAATTTATATATTTTAATACAAAGTTAAATGTACGTTTTTGTACAGAAGCAGTTTCACTGTCGATAATGTTTATAGATGATAAATAACTTACTATAATTGAGCTCAATAAGAAAAATAGAAAGTAGAGACTATTATTAGACATTACTTAACCGTCTTCAATGAGTAAATAAAAAAAAATGCAAATTTAATCTGATAACCTCGGCATTATACTTTTTCAATGAAGTAAACAAGTGTTAACTTACTTGGATTTCGGTTTTTCTTTCGCTTTACTGCAAAAGAATCTTTTAAGAAGTGAATAATTTTGCTTCAAGGTTTTCTTTCGAGTGTAACACCGTGAAATAGCAAATGACTTCATTTTATTGTTAAATGATTAGAAAAAAGATTTATTCAATTTTCATTATTATAATCATCGATGTTAAGCTATCAACAGTATCGACCATAGTTGATTTTTTTTTGTATATACGTTCGTTTGCATGATAGTGGGAGACTGGTGGGAGAAGGGGAGGACTAATCTACATATGCTTTGCTTTGACTGTGTTATTGAAAATATAACCTCATATATCGTTGAATGAATTGCGGAAAGGAAAGTGAAATAGCGTAGTGAATAGTGGAGTCGCAATTCAGTTACTAATCTCTGGTTAGTTTGTGCCTCACTGCCACGCATCTCGTAGACCTCGTGGCCTTTAGTACATTTAATCACGTTCTCTGTGCATAATAGTTCCCAACTATGACTTGAATCTATATCTAAAACAGGAAATTGCTCAGGTATTTCTACTGCACTTAAGGATTCTCTTTTTTTACCGCTGCAATTGTTTTGTAAAATAGTGCTGAAGTGACGAGTTCTAGCGTGCTAAAATAATATGAAGTAAAAATTTATATTTCGTACTGTGACCCAAATCTATATCTATATCTAAAAGAGGAAACCGCTGAGGTATTTCTACTGCGCTTAAGGATTCGTTTTTTTAACACTACAATTGTTTTGTAAAATAATGTTGAACTGACAAGTACTTGCGTGTTAAAGTAATGGAGTAAAACTTTATGTTTCGTATTTTTAGTCAAAATCAAAAATCTTGTTTGTGAGTAGAAAGCTAACAATAATCTTTTTATTTAATTTTTCAATCTTATTAAAAGCATAATTATTATTTTCTTTTAAATTTCAATTTACTGTTCATGACATATAACCTATAATGTAATGAGTGTGAGGATGATAATAGGGTTTTATTTTGTTTACTTTTATTGGATTGAAAAATAATTCTTTATCTTTTTGAGCCATTACAAATGAAATATAACTAGTTTTAATAATATTAATTCATTTTATTCCTTTAATCAACGTCATATATGCCATATTTTCACATTGACTTAAAATTAACTTTCGAAAGTAGATGAGAAGTTAGGCACTAATATTTGCATTCAAATAAATGAAAATTCAGAGCACATAGGAAGATACATTATCATTGTACAAATTATTACTTTTATTCTGGAAAAAATGTCAATGACATGTTTAGTCAACTATAAATATAATCACTGTATTGCCATATGTCTACAAATTAATTGATTTTTATTTTCAGAATAATTATTGGATGTACATACCAACTGTATTTTGGTTCAATAATCATCAATCCAGATTAAAAATAACTACAGTTATGTCAAAGTCTATCAGCAGGTGCCTTTATGGACCATTGAGTTTCAAAGCAAAGAAATCGAAAATATCATTATCAATGTGTATGTTCATTTAAGCTGCTGTTATAATTTAAATAGGTGACAAGATATATGTTGAGTGTTGAAATGGTGTATTTATGATTAGTGATAGCTTATGTAATCTATAAATTAGAACATTACTATAGATTCAATCATGTTTAAGTTACAACACGATACAGTATGCCTAAAAATATCCTCTGCTCTTGGCTATGGTATATCGTCCTTGATGATAACTGTAATAAACAAAACAGTGTTGACATCGTTTGATTTTCCATCGTTTCAAGTACTAGGCATTGGACAAATGTTGGCTACTATTATAGTTCTTTTCATTGCCAAAGCATTTGGTTATATAAAATATCCTGATTTAGAAAGGTCTACCTTCAAAAAAATTTGGCCTTTGCCATTGATATATATTTGTAACATGATCTTTGGTCTTGGTGGGACTAAGCAAATAAGTCTTCCAATGTTTACTGTGTTAAGGAGGTTTAGTATATTGATGACAATGATAGGGGAATATTATATTCTTGGTGTTAAAGCAAGAACTACTATTCAGTTAAGTGTGTACACTATGATTCTAGGAGCTCTTATAGCAGCTTCCAATGATTTAGCTTTCAATATGGAAGGGTATATTTTTATTTTACTTAATGATTTCTTCACTGCTGCTAATGTTGTGTACATGAAGAAAAAATTGGACTCTAAAGAGTTAGGAAAATATGGAATAATGTATTATAATTCTCTATTTATGGTGATTCCAGCTGTTTTGCTTGTCTGGTGGACAGATGACATTGACAAAGCAATAAAATTTCCTCATTGGACTAATGCACTGTTTTTAATACAATTTGTAATGTCTTGTTTTATGGGTTTTGTATTATCTTATAGTGTGATTTTGTGTACATATTATAATTCTGCTTTGACAACTACAATAATAGGATGTCTAAAAAATATCTCTGTCACTTATTTGGGTATGATCATAGGAGGAGATTACATATTTTCTTGGGTGAATTTCATAGGTCTGAATTTGAGCGTTTTAGGAAGTTTGATTTATACTTGGGTTACATTTAGTAGAAAAGAGCCTTCTGAGCCAAAGTACTCTCCTCTATTAGAGGAGCAGAAAGACATCAAGACACAAGTTGTATGACCTTCAGGTAGTATTTTTGTTTAAAGTTAAATTTTAATTTATGAATCGGAGTACATTTTTCAAATAATTGTTTCTTATTCCAAGCATTTATATTAGAAATACAATTTTCAATAAACATATATCAAATAAAACGAAACCCTCTCGAAAAAGGGTAGGATCTTCAAAACGCACATTTTCAAGTAAGAATACATATAAATACATTGACGTGATCGTTGATGAATGATAGTCAAGAGTGAAAATGGTTCAATCGACATGTGCTGTTTTATCGTCTTTTATCAAAGTATTTTCGTTTCGAATTATTTTTTTATGTAAATGCTCATGTCACGAGATTGTAATCACTCATTACGTACCAAAGCCAAGTTACTGTTACCACGGACAGTATCAAGTGCCATAAGTATACAGTAGCTTGTATATTGTTTAGGCCAAATAATTAATTGATTTTATTAGTTGTGAAGATTTATGTTTAGATCTTGTGTATTGTATCATTAAAATGTTCCAATGTGTTCCTAGCGCTATCACGTGTAAAAATTAAGAAGCGAAAGATAAATAAAATGTATTATAAATTATTTTTAAAATATATGCCTTTTTATTTGTCACTTTTATTGTTACTTAATATATTAAAAACATGTTTCATTTATTTATTGCAAGAATATATTGGCAACATTCTTTCTCAATAAATTTATTACAATACAATATCATGATACAAAACTTTACATTTCATTTGTATAATTACCAATGTATTAAATTAAGTAAGTGAAAGAATGATAATTAAAAAAATGTTATTTACTGTTTATTTAAAAATTTTTGAATCTAGTTAGAGGTTGACTTGAACATTACTTACTTCATTGACGGATAATGCTGATAATGTTGATGCGAAAATGAATAGTCATGTAAGGAAAATTCTAAAACAACTTGTTTTAAAAATAATCTTTAACATTTCTGGCGATATTTTACATCTTGGAGAATTCGTTAAAGAATTTAGTTCCTCAAAATATAAGTAATAAATGTTATACAATTTATTCTTTCCAAGTTCTTTGTACACTTTCATTACATATAGAATAAAGATGTTAGGTAATCATAATATTTGATACTTGTTTTGATCGGAAATATTGTGATATAACACCGGAATTCCTTTTTATATCATTTCATTGTTATTTTTGGAAGAGTAGTCACTGATTATTAAGAGAAGCACGTAGCAAAAGTGAATCATTTTATGGGCGCCGTGTTTGTAACAATTTTATGAAACAATATGTTCAACAAATTATTGCTAATTTTTTATGGCTGTGACATAGAAGCAGCTTGTTCCAAAAAAACTGTAGTATAATTTTTCAACAAAAAGAAAATTATATCGTTACAGCGCCATCAAGCACGTACAAACCGTTCTCTCACGATGCTTTTGTTGAGGACTACGCAAAGCGTCGGGTGGAGCTGTCGATTTTACAACGAGCATTACTCGCTGCTGGCTCGGCCACGATTTCAATTACCAACCCGTACCGTGGCGATATGATTGCTTGTCTTGGCGAAACAACTGGAGAAACTGCTTTGAATCATTGTCTACGACAGATGATGGCTAGCGAGGAGGGCCAAAGGATTCTCAATGACAAACCAAGGATCAATACCGCTACCGTTGATCTTGATTATCTCAAGAGTTTACCTGCGGCAACCGTCGGGAAAACTTACTCCGATTTCCTCGAGAATAACGTGAGAGTTTTTCTTTTCTCGAATTAAAAATATTTATGTTGGCCTTATTTTTTTTTGAAATTCCACGATCTTGGCAGTTACAACGAAAATCTGTGAACAGACTTGGCGTTATCTACTTGACAGTGTTTCCGTGATAGATAAAAAAAATTGTTCCACTTTTTACTAGCTTCACCTGATTCCTCACTTGCCATAATAATTAAAAATTACTTACATCAATTTTTGCAAATAATTTTCGAATTTCAGTTACATTTAATTCAATTGTTTTTATGCCGAATCAATTTTTTTTCAATAAAAGAATCTGGTGTCTCGACTCCCTCATTCTATATTTTTTACGAATTATTTGGTAGATGAAACATCGTAACATTTATATGAAAGTAAAACAGTAAAACTAAAAAATAAACCGCTAATAATGAACGTTACAGAAAGTATCGCCGGACGATCGACCAGCGGTGCAATTCGTAGACGACTTGGAATTGGCTTATGTAATGCAAAGGTATCGCGAAGTACATGATATATTTCACGCAATGCTGTTGATGCCAACGACAATGCTCGGCGAAGTGGCCGTTAAATGGGTCGAAGGTTTGCAGCTCAAACTGCCGATGTGCGTTGCTGGCGCGATTTTTGGTGCTGCCAGGCTCAAACCCAAGTATGTATATTTATACGTAATCAGACATTTGTCATTTGTCTGAATAAAATTCCTAGCTACATTATAATCATTTGTTCAACTAGGCAAAGGTATTTGTACCTGAACTATCATCTTCCATGGGCAATACAAACCGGCAAAAACGCAAAATTCTTGTTGGCAGTTTACTTTGAAGAACGCTGGGAACAACCATTACTCGATTTTCACAAAGAAATGAATATAAAAAGACTAGTTTGAAGGTAATTTTGGTCAATTTAGCAAGATACTATTTAACTTCGTTACTAAAAAGTATTAAAAGGTCTTATTGATGTACGATACATTTCAAGGCATAGATATAAATAAAATTATCACAAATACTGTTTTATTTGAAATATATATGCAACGAGCGTATTTTCTGCAGCTTGCGGGTTGCCTATCTCATATAGTTACAAATGGGCGGACGACAAGGACGCCATACATTGACATCCATATCGCCTGAGAATAGTAATTTTGATTAACATCGACAACGACAATTAGTTACAATTATTGCCGCTAGAAAGCTTGTGATTCTCATAGTACATATTATACTTCGTGTCTTGTTCTCGGATTACTACGTACTATAGTACTACGTCACCACACCTTTCAAAGTCGATCTTATCGTAGCGCCGCACTGACCCGCCATGGTAAGGCCCGCGCTCGCTTGTCATTGCGCTTTTTTTGCGCGAAACGTGAGCCATGCTTTTTCACAGTGGGGAGCACAATGGCTAGAACTATGCCTAAGCGTAGTTCATTACCTATGCTTGAGGAGTTACATGCTCGGATGGCGACTTTACAAAGGCACATTAGCAACAAGTTAAAGAGTACGGAAACAAGTAGTAGCGAAACGGACGAGACTTCTAACGAAGATCTTTCAGGTCAAAGAAAAAGGGCAAAATAGCCGCGAACTCTCACGAGAGGGGAAACATTCCGTACATCTGACTAGGTTTGTACCAATTACCTTAGAGATTTATCAACAGGCGAACAAGAGGCATCAAAGAAATCGCCCGAAGATAAAGAGAATCGTGCCAGTAATAGCAGGATCCTCGCCACTCCGAACCATCGGAGGAAGCACTGCAAGTACCTACGCGCGCTCTTAAAACTCAACTATCGTCACCGTGACGCGTAAAACTTGCAACATGTTTAAATTAACATTCAAGAAAAGGATGACATTATTTTCTAAAAAAACATTCTGTCAAACCGTCAGGTCTGTTATCATTTCCTTTATCAATCTTTGCCTTAATTATCGAAAGGACATTTATGATATATATACCTACGTACACGCGGCTACACGTCAACAATATAATCTGTTACTTAATTTTAATAAAATTAAAATTGACTTGAAATTGACAATTCATATTGAACTCGTCATTTCTTATTTCAAATCGCGTTTTGGAGTCTCTAAGCAATCGAGTCTCCACTGGTTATATATTTACTCGGGGCTGATGTGCAGGATTTTGCATGGCGAGCATAAGGGCACGTACACAGTTTATCTGTCGATTACGTTCGGCAATGCGCGCGCACCAAAAGTTGGCCGTGCTCTCGAAAAAGCCAGCCGGCGGTACGATAACTGGTGTGCGCTCCTCGCACTTTGCGCCGGGCTTAGTCTCGACTGGGCAGCCAAGAAATGCTAGCGCTAATTTTCACGCTGCTCCAGCTGTCAGTAAGGTCGCCGGCTGGACCACCAGCCGCGCAGCACATCGCCGTCACCGGGATCGCCGCCGCCGTTGACCTTCTACACCTGCCGACCGGCGCCCTCGCCGGTTCAGTCATCAGGTCGGCTTCGTTTTCTTCCTTTTTTCCGCGCGCTACGGAAATACGTTCAATGTTTATTCCACGAAGGGAGAAATCCGCAGGCCGATCTTTCAATTCAACGGGATCCCACGGTGACGATAGCTCGCGCACATACCGGTTCGCTGCTCGCACGGGCCTTATCCCCTTAGCCGGTATTTCGAAGGTGTCGCGTACGATGTATTTCTTGGGGGCGGCAAGGCGGCGCCAAGTGATAGCAAGCCTGACAAACTGCATAGGGGCGTGTCGAAAGAATAGTCCTTCGTACCAATATTGAGGCCGCATCCATTTCTTCAGCGTTGCGCAATCAGGGGGTTGCGAAGACTGTTCGATTCGACAGAAAAAGAAAAGCTATTTTTTGATCTTAAATCAGATGAACTCCGAGGGGCATAATGTTAATGGGGCAGGGCAGGTTTCAGCAATTCTTTCGAGTTACCAATTATTCGACGTATCGCTTTGCTTGTATAGGTACATGACAACGGAATGGAAGCAGCAAGCATGCGCAAATTCTTCCGGCCTACATGCCGGCTCCCACTTTACGTGTGACGCACAAAAAGAAATCAAATGTCTACCAGGTATTATAAATTTTACTCATTGTTATATATTGAATTTTACAAAATGGAGTTGTAGACGAAATATGCACTCGCCGTAATGAATATAATCATTGATCGACAGTGCACCGAGAAAAATCGAGCTGCTCAATTTTACTAGACTGAATAGTGAAGTGGTAAATAGCAAGTGACAATAAAAAATACGGTAAATACGGTATGATATTGTTGAAAATGCAAAATAAATATTATAAAATCAACTTATCTGTATATTAGTTGAAATATAGTAAATCATACTGTATTTATTATTTTCGGTAACAATTTTTCACTGTCATACGCGAATAGCTAACTTGTCCAATGGAATAGCTCGAACATTGTCGTAATTTCTACTTCACTTATAGTAATTAACATTACACGTTAGTTAGCAAAATAAATTATTTTCTCATGATCGGTTCGATTTTCCACTATATATATTTTTTTTTTCTCGGTGTACAAATGATTCCTCAGCACAATTCCTAGAATATTATATCCGTGTATAATAAAAAACTCCAAATCAAGACAATGAATATTCAGTTGAAGAAAAAAAATGATAAGGGTATATATAATAATTCAACGTCTAAAATGAAAAATTGCGTGCCATTAGGATGGACTGGAAGCCTATGCGAAGTGCCAATTTGTCGGAAAGGCTGCGACCCACTCCAAGGCCACTGCAGACGACCCGGCGAGTGTTATTGCAAGTTTGGTTTCTACGGTGAACTCTGTGACAAACTTTGTATGATGCCTGTGGGACAATAAATGAAGCATATTCTAAATTGACTATGTATTTTAGAAAATATTATATGAT